TTTTCATTGAAATGATACTTGACCACAGGCAGCACGCACAAGACATTAACTTTCAATCATGATAGAAGTGTCAGACATATCATCCGGGCGACAAGTAATCCATGCCAGCAGGAAACTATTGATGGGGGTCACGGTGGTATCAGCACTGTAGTCCCTGTCGATACATGCAATGTGGACAACCAACCAGCAGAAGCCGAATTCCCGAGTCTCAATTTCAATGGGGCGGAGATGGGAGCAGGGAAGTCAGGGAACAGCCATCAACTCGACGTGCTCGCGGACGTCCTAAAAAAGGTGTTAGACATACAGAAGTCAATGGTTGGTCGATCTCAAAGTCTCTGTCGAAGATGTTATAATATATTCTATTTCCAGCGCCCAGGACACATGTAATCCACGAAGTTTCTTCAAACATCATCCAACTACAAAATGAGGATGATGCACACAATAAGAAAGTGAGATGTAAGCATTGACCGTCAAGGTACCATGGTTGTGTGAGCAGGCTGAACCATTTATTTGTATATCAGGGAGATCACAGTCGATCGGAGGAACGCTTGATCATGACTATAGACCCACGCCCCCCCGCAACACGAGTTCAGGACACACTCGCCTGAAGCGCCTGCACCTACATTGGCTGCACTTACTGAGCAGGAAATCGCCTGTGAGTGGAGTTCAGAGTATAAAATGATAGACCTGGAGTCACTCATGCTACCAACTAACAGCTCGTGCAATGGCGCAGCCGGGTGTCTGGCTGTCTGTGCTGCATAGCTGGACGACCCTTGGATTAAACGAGTGGCTCGAAGCAGCAGTCGCAATTTTTACTTGTCCATGTGTGGTATGAGATGCTGGGCAGAACACACATGAGATATGTGGACTGGAATGCAGTGAGGGCAAAAAATCGAGGATGAAGAACTGGAGCACTTCCGGCGGAACCATTTTGTGCCCCATGACGGCAATGTGCCATGGCCCCTGTCGGATTCATAGTGCATCATTCCAACCATTTCTTCGTGGTCATATTCGACTATGAGCGACGCATGGCGCACGTCTTGGGTCGCCATATTTCTGCGGATTCAATGGATGTAGACGGAGAGGATCCACATGACTGGAACGATTGGAGAGGTCCGGAATATTGGAGGAAAATCGGAGCCCTTCATGGATGGAGCACAGGAGATGTCTCAGACGTGTCCATCAACCCAATGGACTGGGAGCAAAATGGGGTCGACTGTGGTCCCATCGCTTGCTCCGTGCTGGCGCAATGTCTGAAGCTGGGTTTGGATGAGCAGGGCAACTTACCCGACTTTGAGATCCAATGCGGTCACAAACTGCGGTTCACATGCTGCGTGCTATTGCTGCGCATGTCAAGCTCTGTTGCAGCAACTACCTGATGCTCCTAGACAGCCCACGAGATGATTGGAAAGACGACGAGCTACCCGACGAGGACATCATCAATTCGATCCAGAATGGGCGATACCAGGCTGATTGCCTGAAGGTCCTGCGGAGGCTGACTGTTGTGAGCGCCACCTGCTCCATGTGTCAACGCCCCATCGTCCATCAAGATGGAGAGCATGCCTCGTACAGTGGTGAGAATGGAGATAGCACCAATGCTGAGCAAGATGGTCCAGATGCAGGATCAAGTGAGGATGATGACCACGAATATGGTACATGCAATTGGCAAGGCGCACCTTGACAAGCTGTTCAAAGCAACAAACACCTCGCTGGATCTCGGAATCGCAATTCAATAGTCCCTCGTGCCATTGGAACACACCTTCAACTCGAGCCAGAATTACCATCGGTCGTCCATGATACCGAGGACTCTCAACGCACTGTAGCTGCCACAACATCTCGGAGCGAGTGAAAACTGGTATCTTGGAAGCAACAGACGATTTCCACGTCCAACCGCACCAATTCCATTGGCTGCATACGGAGGTAGGAGATGGCTGCCAGACGACCATGGATTCGATGAATATGAGGGCGGACCTACCATTGAGATGATGCTGACTCCTAGGGATATCCATACGACGATGACATTCCTGCTGGGGGATGCAGATCTCCACGCTTGGTTAGACTGGGTCGATTGCGGCTATCGCATCACACCAAGTTCATTCCACATTTTCTATCAATGCGACCCCACAGCAACCATGGACCACATCATGCCTATCGGAACAACAGACTCCCATGATCCTTCGGACCAAGTTCCTGATCGTGTGACAGGTGCATATAGCCTGAAGCGACGGGGAACTGATCACGACGAACAGTGCACATACATCACTGATGTAGAAATACTCTCCGCATCTGAGCTCGTCGAATCCGCCCAATATGATCCCCCACTGCAGGATGAATGCAGGTTCGGACACAATGCCTTTGTGCGGGGCTGCACCAGTCATCGGTATGGCGATGGTCCTGCCTTATATGTTGATCCTCGAACGAGATGCTGTTTTCACTCTCAGAAGACAGAGATAGAGATCTCAGTGGACATAGACAGCATCATATGGACAACAAAGGTGTTCCGATGCAAAGGGTCTGTTGGTGTCTACATCGTTCCCGCCTTTCCAAACGAAACCAGGCATATACAAGCACAATCACACCTATGTAGAGATCACCATACCGCAGTCGGAACAGGATGCAAATTCACCCGGTGGGAGGGACTGAATGGCTCTCCAAACGATTTCCTATGTCTGCCATCCCTCATTGTCTGTATGGGCCGCATATCATCAGCATCATCGACACTCAATCTATACATCGCGTTCCCAAGGATGATCATCAGCACCCAACGAACGGTCGGAGAATCACTCTGATGCCAAAGGAGGTCTTGGACATATTCTGGGATAGGGTACTGCTTCCATCGATTGGACAGTGCACCGACGTCAGCTGGGAGCCCTACCTGAAACACACATTGGAGGAAAGCACGTTACAAGGCCAGAGGTGCGGACGGGAGAAGGGGCGGATGGGGACCTCCTAAAACCATCCCCCTCTCAGACGATGACTTTTGTGACGTGCAGAAAACGCATGGAAGCTCGCATACTGTGATGGAGGACCTGAGCTCAGCATGTATGGGTCGGTCTTTCTTTATTCTGGAAGGAAAGGGAATCAAGCTGCTCACGAAGGATGGCCAGAGGGGGCGTTTCTCAGGACCAGAAGAGGCCCTGCGTCGCAACCTGCCTGACCTTGACTGGCAATATATGATGAACAGGAGGCATGGCGAACTGCTGGTAGATGTGGGTGTCTCATTCACGCCCCACTCTCCAAATGTCCCACTCGTAGGGGTGTGGCGCTTAGATGCACTGGAAGCATCATTTGGAGCGGGAGGCTACAAAAGAGGGGAGATACATCATCACAACACGCTGTCTAGATATGGGGCGCTGCAGGCCGAGATGCAACAGGAGAGATCTCAGCAGACGCACATCGCATTCAGGAGCACCTACAACCTGTACTATGAGTCGATTCGAACAAACAGCAACCAAGCGAATTTCGCATCCGACAGCGACGCCTATAAGCTGTCCCCATCATATATGGCTGAATGCACCGAAATCGCCAAGGTCGTCGAGGGTTGCAAGGAGAAAACATATGGTGTCAGGGATGAGTATAGGGTGAGCGGACATGCAGCCAGAATCATCCTGGAAAATGTGGAAGAAAAGGTCAGTGACACACGCTCCAATCATCGTCGACTATAGAATGACTTGGGCGATTCTCGTCATGCAGGCCAGAGAATACCTGAAATCAGATCCAGTCCTGTGGATTCCATCCAAGATCTGGTTCGAGCTTCTGAGGAGACGGGTGCGGGAGATTCAGAGGACCCAGATATCCATTGTCAGAAAGAATCCACCGAATCTTGGCGTTCTCACTGGAGTGCTCAACCACATGCTTCGCTCTACAACATCAACTCCTATCATCTACGACTCTCACATCCGTGAATCTCTTGCCCTACTCGAGTACAGAAACATCCTCGAAACTGCAGGAATGTTTTTCTTACACGACTTCGACATCAATAGCGACACATGCCTGACTGAGGTGCAGCAAATCGACTGACGTGCATGTACTGGCCCTCATGGGAGTCAATGCAAAGGCTCAAAGGGACCGGGCAGTGAGCAGAACTAATGTATGGCAAAGCACCGAGTCTGAACTGGAGGACTATCCTCTTGGTCGCACACCAACATGGACTCGACTCAAGGCAGCCATGTCAAACTCGCCTGCAATGATCATGAGACCCTGGGTGTGGTCACCCAGATTGTCCAACACTCAACTCTCCGTCGGACGTTCGGTGGTCATGTTCACTAGGCACATGTGGCTGATGCTCACACCCGAAATCTTCAAGGGCATCAGACCTCACCCAAACTCGCTTCAAGAGGCCATGAAGTGCTGGACAATCACCAGCATCGATGACACTCTCGCTGCAGTCGCATTTGAAGCATGCAATGCCGGGCTGAATGATAGTACGGGCGTCACTCCTGGTCGCATGGGTCCGAAGTCGAGGCCCTTCCTTGACAGGTGCACTCTGTTCTTTCCCGACCCTGATGCCGCCCATAAGGACAATACTCAGTGGTCTGGGCTTTGGGAGGGCTGATGGATACATTGCAGAATTTCACAGGACGATGAAGGCGATGGATGAGGATCAGCAACAGTTGCTGAAACAGGGATTACGTGAGGTATTTTCGGAACTTCACTGCCTTCCTGCTAGCGGAGCAAGAGTGTGGACGCAAAAGAACGAATCAATTGTGTTCACGACCAATCCAATATTCTACAAGATCGATTGTATTGGAAGGGGAGGAGAGAGTCAGAAGAGGGCCCCAAAAGCACGTCGAACGATGAAGCTGATCAAGGGTAAACGCATATTTGCAGCCGACCTCATGGACTCACAACCCTTCGACACTGATGGCAATCTGCGGAGAAAGACAGAGAGACAGAAGCGGCGGGAACTTCAGAAGAAAATGACCATGGCCAGGAAAAACAAGAGAGTCCCCCCTCCCACACGTCCACGGAGACCATTTCCCATGACCCAACTAGAAGATATTGTGGAATGAGCGATGGATGTAGATGTACTGTATTAATCAATTTTGTGAATAGCACCTTGGCGCCACCATTGCATGAACTTGGGAACGCAAAACTGCCATGCAAGTGCTCATATACCAGATGAACCTCAATGGCAGCTAATGCCTTCATTCTTTGGCTTGATGTATAATGTAATGCGGGCAACGGGAAGACTAGGATTTAATTTATCATCTGACATCAGGCATTTATTCACATTTGTGAGACACATTACAAAGGACTATGAGGTACAAAAGATGTGATATTGCCACAGTGCAAGACATAGTCGCACGCGCGAGGTTTTTTTATGCAAATGCGGCATCCACATACTCTTTTACGAGTTCAACCACTGTATATTGTGAACAAACTCCATGATGTCATTATGAGATCTTCTCTAGTCCATACCTCCACAACTGTAAATACCTGGTCAGCCACCTTGATCTGAAACTCAATGCGAGCTGAGGTTGGTTGACCACATCAGATGTACCCCACAATTCTTATCATTACACTCCTCTACCAATAGGTCTTTTGACTTGCTAGTAGCTAATCAAACATATGTTTCATGATGATAGAACACAGTTCTGTCAAGCGTAGCTACCTAGGGACAGCATTTAACTTATGGACAGGCAATCATTCCTGGAGTCGCTTCTCTTGTAGTCTACATCAACAACCGCTGCCAACTCAACGAAGATGTGAATGTCACCAATAACATATTGGATACATTTACATCATCATTCATTGGTTGATTGCTGATGTAGACTGTGTTGGAGTTTCTCGGTCAAATCATAATGACATTACAACGAGGCACATTTACGAAGGCAAAGCCAGCCAAGAAACAAAAGTCAGTCAAATCTAAGACTGGGACAACCTTTGTGTGTGAACAAAGGTCATCTGAGTCTTAGACCTGACTGACTTTCGCTTCTTGGATCACTTTTCCCTTGTAAGTGAAACCTATTCATAATCCCATCAGGATTTGACCGATGTTGTTGGAATGGTGCAAACAAGGTCAATAAATAGTTGCCTGGATTGAGGGTTGGATTGGGCAGAGGGTTACACTGGGCAGAGGGTCGGATTGGGTAGAGGGCTTTGCAGGGCTGAGGGTTGGATTGGGCTGAGGGTTTCGCATTGGGTTAGTAAACTGATGCTTAGCCGCCTGGTTTGAGGTTGTATTGGGCCCAGGGCATGATTGGATGGGATTGAATTTGGCAAAGGGTTTCCATGGGCTGAGGGCTGCATGTAGCTGTGGGCTGATGGTCAGTAATGGTGATGATATTGGTGTTCTGTGGAGCAATGTGGCTGTTGGTTGGCATAGGGTACAGATCATCAGAGCATTATGGCATATCAGTGTCTGATTTATTGTCAGGTTCATGCAGTCTATCCATCAATTTCTCAAGAACAACTCATGCACATGACAGTCGGCTATGTGTTGGCCCATGATAAAAGTAGGTACACTTATCTTGCCATTGCACACAGAAAGATTGTCCGAGTCTTAGATTTGACTGACTTTGGCTTCTTGGCTGGCTTTGCCTTTGTAAGTGTCCCTTGCCATAATGTAATTACAATGTCATTGATGTTGTTGCAATGATGCAAGCAAGGTCAAGAAAAAGTCGCTTGGGTTGAGGGTTGTATCAGGCGGGGTCAGGAGTTGGCATGAGTGGGGACACATAGAAAATACCATGACCTACCCAACGAAGTATATTTGAAAATGAAGATAGTTGCAGGATAGTCCAAATCCCAGTAATGACTGTACATTGTCTGTTCTTCTTGGTCCGGTGATTCTTCCCCAAGGCTTAGCAAAATCTTAATGATAGAAAGTGAGGCATGGGACGAATTGATACACACCTAACCTGGTGAGTACAACCCTTTTTCAAGCGTTCATCTACCATCCCTTCACCCAAACAACTCGGAAGAATGTTGTGATCCTCCTTTTCTGGCTTTGACTTCTTGAACCTCCTTCTTCATGACCCCATCACAATTTTTGCACGTCTTCGCATATATTCGGTGTCTAGCTAGTCCCTGATCCTCCTCATAATTGAAGAGATTTGCCTCAGTAGCATCCCTCAAGGATGATACTACTAGCACGCCTCTCGAGGTATATATCCTTGTGACCCCCCAGAGTTCACATTCCTATTTCCTCGCCCCAAGTTCGCTCTGAGGGCTATTTGGGTGGCAAGGTCCAGGTTTTGCCAGCCAAGAAGCGAAAGTCAGTCAAATCTGAGGGATTTCCCATTCATGGGCTCTGATAGAGGTGGCCAAGATTTTCGCTCTGAGGGGTATTTGGGTAGCAAGATCTTGGTCCCTCCTTTCATGGGGGAAACAGCTCTGATAGAGGTGGCCAGGAATTTCGCTTTTGTTACCTTTTCACTTTCTTGTTGGCTCTGGGGGTAATTTGGGTAGCAAGGTCCTGGTTTCCCCCCTTCATGTGGGATTCATCCCTGATAGAGGTGACCATGATTTTCGCTCTGAGGGGTATTTGGGTAGCAAGATCTTGGTCCCTCCTTTCATGTGGGAAACAGCTCTGATAGAGATGGCCAGGAATTTCGCTTTTTTTACCTTTTCACTTTCTTGTTGGCTCTGGGGGCAATTTGGGTAGCAAGGTCCTGGTTTCCCCCCTTCATGTGGGATTCATCTCTGATAGAGGTGACCATGATTTTCGCTCTGAGGGCTATTTGGGTGGCCATGTCCAGGATTTGCAAGCCAAGAAGTGAAAGTCGGTCAAATCTAAGGGTTTTTCCCCTTCATGGGCACTGATTGTAGCTAGAGTGTTAGAAGAAGCTCCGGACACTGCTTTACAAACTAACCAGTGAATTGGATATCCTTGAACATTAACTTTCTTCCTGCGGTTCCATCAGAGATGCAGTCAAATTCCACTGTATCGTCCAATGCCCAAGAACAACTTATTCATATGACAGTCGGCCACATGTTGGCCCACATGGTTTTGCCAGCCAAGAAGTGAAAGTTGGTCAAATCTAAGGGCTCCTTCCCTTCATGCAGGATTCACCTTTGATAGAGGTGGCCAACACTTCATATTTTCGCTTCTTTTAACTTTTCACTTTCTTGTTGGCTCTGGGGACAATTTGAGTGGCAAGGCTCTGGTTTTCCTCCTTCATGCGGGATTCATCTCTGACAGAGGTGACCAGGATTTTCGCTCTGAGGGCTATTTGAGTGGCAAGGTCCAGGTTTTGCCAGCCAAGAAGTGAAAGTCAGTCAAATCTGAGGACTCCTCCCCTTCATGGGGGATTCATCTCTGATAGAGATGGCCAACTTCTACTTATATTTTCGCTTTCATGGAGTTATGAAGAGAGACATTTATGAAGCCAAAGCCAGCCAAGAAGCGAACATCGGTCAAATCTAAGGACTCTGCCAGATTTCCCTCTAAAATAAAGTTCAAAAGTTGGCTGCCCCTGTCATGCAAGTCAATACCAGACAAGAAGCAAAAGTCAGTCAAATCACAGGACTTGGACAAGTCTTGTTTGTGTGAAATCCACCAAAGCCAAGAAGATCGTAAAAAAGCGAAAATATACATGTACAAGATGGCCACCTCTATCAGAGGTGAACAGCTTGGTCCCTGCTGTGCAATTCTGCATAACACCTCTGCAATTCACAATTTTGGCGTTTCATAAGGCAGATACAGGCAGGATCTAACACTCTGAACCTCGGAAACAAATCAGCAAGATTTATTTGCTGGTGCATCACAGTGGCATTGAGTGGTGAGCAGGCCCCCTCTGAGAGGACCGCATTCTTGCTTATGTAAGCAGCAGCAGCACCACACTCTCCTAAGATCGATTTTTACAGCCTTCATATGACTTGGGGAGGATAAGGTAGGACTTGATTTCGAGGTTATTGAGCAATAAAAAGACCATGGTCATGCCAGATTTGCACGAAGAAATCAATTCTCAAAGTTGACCACCCAGGTCATGCTGGCCCCCCCACACATCGATTTTAACAGCCTTGATATGACCTGCTTGACTTCAGGCATGACTCATTTTAGAGGTTATTGGACCATACAAACATGTTGGTCATGCCAGATTTCCCTCTTAAAATCATATTCCAAATTTGACTACAACCCCTGTCATGCCCCTCCCCCCCCACCCAAAGATCGATTTTTTCAGCCTTCATATGGCTTGCTTGGCTGTATCTAGGACTCTTTCTAGAGGTTATTGGAGCATCTGAACACATTTGTCAAGCCATAATTGCACAATAAAATCAAATTCCAAAGTTGACCCCCTAGGCCATGCTGGCCCCCCCACACATCGATTTTTACAGCCTTCATGTGAGTTGCCTGGCATCATGTAGGACTTGATTCCGAGGTTACTGAACACTCCGAAAACGATGGTCAAGCCAGAATTGCACGAAGAAATCAAATGCTGAAGTTGACCCCCTAGGCCATGCTGGCCCCCCCACACATCGATTTTTACAGCCTTCATGTGACTTGCCTGGCATCATGTAGGACTTGATTCCGAGGTTACTGAACACTCCGAAAAGGATGGTCGAGCCAGAATTGCACGAAGAAATCAAATGCTGGAGTTGACCCCCTAGGGCATGCAGGCCTCCCCCACATATTGATTTTTACAGCCTTCATATGACTCGCAAGGGTTGATGTAGGACTTGTTTCCGAGGTTATTGAACACTCTGAAAAGGATGGTCGAGCCAGATTTGCATGAGAAAATCAAATTCCGAAGTTGACCACCAAGGCCATGCTCCCCCACCCAAAGATCGATTTTTTCAGCCTCCATATGGCTTGCTTTTCTTTAGGTAGGACTCGTTCTAGAGGTTATTCGACCATACAAACACGTTGGTCGAGCCAGATTTCCCTCTAAAAATCATGTTCCAAAGTTGGCTGCCCCTGTCATCCTTCCCCCACCCAAAGATCGATTTTTTCAGCCTTCATATGGCTTGCTTGGCTTTAGCTAGGACTCGTTCTTGAGGTTATTTGACCATCTGAAGACGTTGGTCGAGCCGGATTTTGCTCTAAAAATCATCTTCCAAAGTTGGCCACCAAGGCCATGCTCCCTCACCCAAAGATCGATTTTTCTAGACTTCATATGACTAGCCTGTCCTTCAGAAGCATTTTTCCTGGGGGTTATTGAGCCCTCTGAACACGATGGTCATGCCAGAATTGCCTGGAAAAATCGTGTTCCTGAGATATACAGGGTCCTCCCCCTCCTCCTGACCTCCTGTATGTCACTATCCCGGTATTCCGCCTCAATACCGATACCGAAAACATCTCTCCTAGGGTATTTGAGGCCTCTGAATCGATTGGGAATGGTCTCAGACCCTCCGGAGGTCGGCATTCATGTGATATGGGAGGTAGGCTCAAATATCAGTATTTTGGACATATCTCCACAACCGAACCGCCGATTTTCTTAATTGTTGGCTCATATCCATCCCAGAAGTACCCTCCATGATATGTACCAGCCCACCAAAAGATATTTTTTTACAAGTTTGAAACCTATTTCTGTTTTGACCCTATAAGTGAAAGTCAGTCAAATCTGAGGACTCCTCCCCTTCATGGGGGATTCATCTCTGATAGAGGTGGCCAACTTCTACTTATATTTTCGCTTTCATGGAGTTATGAAGAGAGACATTTATGAAGCCAAAGCCAGCCAAGAAGCGAACATCGGTCAAATCTAAGGACTCTGCCAGATTTCCCTCTAAAATAAAGTTCAAAAGTTGGCTGCCCCTGTCATGCAAGTCAATACCAGACAAGAAGCAAAAGTCAGTCAAATCTCAGGACTTGGACAAGTCTTGTTTGTGTGAAATCCACCAAAGCCAAGAAGATCGTAAAAAAGCGAAAATATACATGTACAAGATGGCCACCTCTATCAGAGGTGAACAGCTTGGTCCCTGCTGTGCATTTCTGCATAACACCTCTGCAATTCACAATTTTGGCGTTTCATAAGGCAGATACAGGCAGGATCTAACACTCTGAACCTCGGAAACAAATCAGCAAGATTTATTTGCTGGTGCATCACAGTGGCATTGAGTGGTGAGTAGGCCCCCTCTGAGAGGACCGCATTCTTGCTTATGTAAGCAGCAGCAGCACCACACTCTCCTAAGATCGATTTTTACAGCCTTCATATGACTTGGGGAGGATAAGGTAGGACTTGATTTCGAGGTTATTGAGCAATACAAAGACCATGGTAATGCCAGATTTGCACGAAGAAATCAATTCTCAAAGTTGACCACCCAGGTCATGCTGGCCCCCCACACATTGATTTTAACAGCCTTCATATGACCTGCTTGACTTCAGGCATGACTCATTTTAGAGGTTATTGGACCATACAAACATGTTGGTCATGCCAGATTTCCCTCTTAAAATCATATTCCAAATTTGACTACAACCCCTGTCATGCCCCTCCCCCCCCACCCAAAGATCGATTTTTTCAGCCTTCATATGGCTTGCTTGGCTGTAGCTAGGACTCTTTCTAGAGGTTATTGGACCATCTGAACACATTTGTCGAGCCATAATTGCACAATAAAATCAAATTCCAAAGTTGACGCCCTAGGCCATGCTGGCCCCCCCACACATCGATTTTTACAGCCTTCATGTGACTTGCCTGGCATCATGTAGGACTTGATTCCGAGGTTACTGAACACTCCGAAAAGGATGGTCGAGCCAGAATTGCACGAAGAAATCAAATGCTGGAGTTGACCCCCTAGGGCATGCAGGCCTCCCCCACATATTGATTTTTACAGCCTTCATATGACTCGCAAGGGTTGATGTAGGACTTGTTTCCGAGGTTATTGAACACTCTGAAAAGGATGGTCGAGCCAGATTTGCATGAGAAAATCAAATTCCGAAGTTGACCACCAAGGCCATGCTCCCCCACCCAAAGATCGATTTTTTCAGCCTCCATATGGCTTGCTTTTCTTTAGGTAGGACTCGTTCTAGAGGTTATTCGACCATACAAACACGTTGGTCGAGCCAGATTTCCCTCTAAAAATCATGTTCCAAAGTTGGCTGCCCCTGTCATCCTTCCCCCACCCAAAGATCGATTTTTTCAGCCTTCATATGGCTTGCTTGGCTTTAGCTAGGACTCGTTCTTGAGGTTATCTGACCATCTGAAGACGTTGGTCGAGCCGGATTTCTCTCTAAAAATCATCTTCCAAAGTTGGCCACCAAGGCCATGCTCCCCCACCCAAAGATCGATTTTTCTAGACTTCATATGACTAGCCTGTCCTTCAGAAGCATTTTTCCTGGGGGTTATTGAGCCCTCTGAACACGATGGTCATGCCAGAATTGCCTGGAAAAATCGTGTTCCTGAGATATACAAGGTCCTCCCCCTCCTCCTGACCTCCTATATGTCACTATCCCGGTGTTCTGCCTCAATACCGATACTGAAAACATCTCTCCTAGGGTATTTGAGGCCTCTGAATCGATTGGGAATGGTCCCAGACCTTCCGGAGGTCGGCATTCATGTGATATGGGAGGTAGGCTCAAATATCAGTAATATGGACATATCTCCACAACCGAACCGCCGATTTTCTTAATTGTTGGCTCATATCCATCCCAGAAGTACCCTCCATGATATGTACCAGCCCACCAAAAGATATTTTTTTACAAGTTTGAAACCTATTTCTGTTTTGACCCTATAAATAGAACTAACTCAGTCCCTCCAATGGTGTTCGTTCCATTGGAGGAGTGGTACTGGTGCAGGTCCTCCAATGGTGTTCGTTCCATTGGAGGAGTAGTATTGGCTCAGTCCCTCCAATGGTGTTCGTTCCATTGGAGGAGTAGTACTGGTGCAGGTCCTCCAATGGTGTTCGTTCCATTGGAGGAATAGAACTAACTCAGTCCCTCCAATGGTGTTTGTTCCATTGGAGGAATAGAACTAACTCAGTCCCTCCAATGGTGTTTGTTCCATTGGAGGAGTGGTACTGCCTCAGTCCCTCCAATGGTGTTTGTTCCATTGGAGGAATAGAACTAACTCAGTCCCTCCAATGATGTTCGTTCCATTGGAGGAATAGAACTGACTCAGTCCCTCCAATAGTGTTCGTTCCATTGGAGGAGTAGTATTGGCTCAGTCCCTCCAATGGTGTTCGTTCCATTGGAGGAATATTGTTGGTCAGACCCCCAAAATAACCCCTTCATAAACCCAACCTATATAGAAAAATCCGCTATAATATGTGAAGTATCACTCAAGTTAGTCAAAACTATCCCTATTCTTTTGCGCGCGTCTTGATGCTAAGCTTGGTCCCAGCTTGCGTTATGAATATTATTACTTTCAATGCGGCGTATTCGTTCTACCCAATCGCGACATAGGCACCGTCCGGATGTCCTCACAAAGTATGTGAAAAGAAGTTGGAGAGTCTATTCAGCGTTCAACGTTCAACGTTCAGGCCCAAGGATATTGCGCAGCCCCATAAATCACCATTTCTCCCAAACGTGACGCGATGGGTGATCGTCACTGTTGGACCATTCCGCTAGATACATCGGGAGTCGGCCCCCACACAGCGTCGTCCCCGTCCTCGGAACAATTTTCATGGGACCCCTCAACCCAGAATGGTTGGATAATGAAGATTAATGAAGCTTGAAGACCAAGCCGTCCTCTTTGCAAGGTCTCAGCGTAACAGAAATGGATTCCAATCCCATCATGACCACTATATTCCGTTACAACTATATCGTTCCCAGTCAATTACTCCCTTCAGCAATCTGTAGGTGGGCGATCTCCCAGGGTAAGCTTAACCATGAAATATTAACTAGATATGAATGGACTTGGTGCGTCTTTCGACACCCAAATCATTTATCATGCATTCATACTTGCACTTAGGTTCGACGCTGAAATACCGGGGTTCCGTGAGCAGGTGACATAGAAAATTTATCAGAGTCATTCGGTAGATGGACCAGACCGGTACTGCCGTTCATTTAGTCTTTCTTTTTGTCGAGACTCGTTGTCCCCACACGTCGTACACGGGTCATAATTACTTGCTTATGTCGTTCTCTTAGGCATGCTCTGAAAACATTATTTGATGCATTGATTGCGATTTGGAATACAAATTTTTGTCTCAAACATTGAAAGTAGGCATTGCTAAGTAGTGTGAATTCAGAACAGACACCCACGATGAAAGACAAAGATATATGCTGTTCTTGTACGCCCAGCCCACTGGCGTCAAGGGTTGAACTTGTTAAAATGTAAGATCGCCGAGGCGCCTTGTACGTGTACACGTACTGCGTAACGCCGTACCTGGTGGTGCGTATACCCTCTTCGCTGCAGTGTTATAGCCCTCATACAACATTGGCGATCCCAATTCGGGAAACGCCCATCGGATTCAAGTCAAAAATTGTGTAGTATCGGCGGAGGAACAGCTCGCCTGAAGGCATAGCTAATCAACAGCAAACTTGCGGCAACGGACAGACCACGTACCCAAAATCCACAGTGAACGTCCAATCGCCTTTATATCTGCAATAAACGGCGAAATGCAGTGGTCCTGACTCTCTACTACCACGTAATCACTTCCCTTCAGTGTGTAGGGCTTGCCGTCGAAATAGAACGTCAGTTCCGGCAACGATCAGATTTTGTTGCAGTCAACAAAGAGAAGGCTCGAGTTCTCGCGACGGGTGGCGCCAATTTTGGCATTGAACTTTTCGGCAATATTTGTGGGGGAGTACGATGAGCGAGGTGCCTGTATGTAATTTGATATTTGAAGTCGGTCAGACAAACAGGGACTTACCAGTGTCGAGCGCCCGTCCTCTCACTAGTACTCTTGAAATCCAGTATCATATCTCCAAATATGACCTTCTGAAGCTTAACTTCCCAGTTCCCCGTACTGCTCACAGGCACGTAGGCGATCTTACCAGCGTGAGCCGTCGAGTTTATACCACCAAATGTGACTTCACCGGCGTCAACCTCGGAGCGACCAAAGCGCAAGGAGAAGACGGGCTTGAGACCTCCGTCGACCGTGTTGTAGAAGGGAGGAACAATGTGCTTGTGGGAGTGGGTATTGTAGCCAAGACCGAGGATACCCCCGAAGCTCGTGTACGTGTCAATTGTGGTGCGCTAATATTATAGAGCGAATAGCACACACGTGCAGGCTGAACTACCCCCAGTAACTTCTCCAAAGCTCTGGCCACTGACAGTGAGGTTCCCGATGCGGAGGTCATCTCAGGAGATGATGCCCTTCACGGAGCCAGTTTCGTACCCGGAGGAGAACCTAGCGCCAATTCGCCTTGTAGGTGGGGGAAGCACCGGAATTGCACTTCAAGTAGATGCGACTCGGAGGTTCAGATAGTCATTGCTGTAGCAGGCGCAGATGTCGCAGATGCCACAGAGCGTACTGGGGGTGTGACGGTGAATTTGAAAAGTGATTGCTGTTGGCTTCGGGTTGGGAGCAGTCCATTTTGTTGCGCGGCGGACTAACATAGTAGTTTTTACAATATAGTATATTGTTATGCCTTGCAGGCGTTTGAAGTACATGGCGGCTATGTAGTAGCAGTAGCAGTGTCTGTGAGCGAACACTTGTTGCATACGGGAATTCTCGAAACCACAAATGTTGCGAGGGGGGCCGAAGAGATCACTGAGTATTGTTCGCCGAGACGCCGTAGTAAAGCTGGTCGAGTGAGGTCTCAAGGAGAGAGACAACGGCAGTATATGCAGGGTACTGGTAAGTTGAAGTGCCAGGCAAACCGGATGACTAGCAGATCGATTGCAAACCTGCATATGATATCATGCAACGGGGACGCCGACACCATGAGATACCGCGCACGCACGCTGATATTTTGCCCGCCAAAGGTACTATTGCAAGTGAAGCGCTAACTCTCGAGTAAAGGCGTTGGAGTTCAAAATTGCCAAAAGACTCGGAACCAATTGCCGTGGCAGGATTGCGTAAGCTGAGCTTAACTAGAACCAAAATTCGCCACGACCAAGTACACGACCAGTCACAACAATCTAAACAGAAGACTCGCAATATCTTGGGTACCCGGCTTGAATAGCCTGTGTCGCCCGAATATGCAAGTATCAGTATTTTCTTTTTCAAAACGTTGCTAATATACGTGAAATGCAGGGCCTCTGTCACCGTGCAGTCTAATGAGATTGCTAAAGCCAGCTTACATGTCGCCCTTCCATGGTACACGCACTTGTACACCATTCCATTCCTCTCGCTCTATCCGCTTCTTGCGTATGCGTATTACATCAAGTACGACGACTGGTTGAAAAGCGAGGAGTGGACTTTCCTAGCTTGTGTATCGTTGGGCGCAGGTCATGCTTTAAGTTTCCTGGTCACTCGATGGAGTGCTGGCGCAAAAGCTTGGATAACAACACGAAAGGTGTGCAGTTGTGTTTGTAGATGTCAAAATAATATCCTTATATATTTCGAAAGGCGCGGTCTATTGAGGATGCAGACTGTATACGCTTGGTTCCTCATGTCCATCGTGGTCAAGGCGAAATTGTTCCGCTGCTCAAGGCTGTACCATCAGAGCCGATGTCCTACTCGTTCAATTACCAGCGAGACACTTACATTGTCGCCGGCAAGAATCCTGTCGTGTTTACTCGTCTCCCATACCCATCCACCCAATGTCCATCATTATCTACCTTTTTACATCCCACTGGCCTTAATCTGGATGCAATTCCGCCCTTGAAGTCATTGTATGGGAAAAACGAATTCAACATTCCGATCCCCTCTTTTTCCGAACTTTTCGGCGAACATGCGACGGCTCCTTTCTTCGTTTTCCAAATATTCTGTGTTGCGCTCTGGTGCTTGGATGAGTATTGGTATTACAGCATATTCACGCTATTCATGCTTGTCATGTTCGAGTGCACCGTGGTCTGGCAGGCGTGTCTTTTCTTTTTCTTATTAGCAACTCTAAAGCTGACTTGACTTGTAGCGCTTGAAAACTCTCACAGAATTCCGTACAATGGCTGTCGCACCGTATCCTATTCAGTGCTACCGGGATTCAAAGTGGGTTACCGTTCAGTCTGACGAGCTTCTCCCCGGAGACCTTGTTTCGGTTGGTCAGTGTCATGTGTTTGCCTGTTAGTGACATTACTTGACTAACGCATCATCACAGCACGACAGCAGTTTGAAACGGTAGTTCCTGCCGACGTCCTTCTTGTGCAAGGCACATGTATCGTCAACGAAGCCATGCTGTCGGGAGAATCTACCCCGCTACTCAAGGAATCCATCCAGCTTCTCGACAGCAAGGACAAACTTGACGTTGACGGCACGCACAAGAACGCGGTCCTGTTCAGTGGAACCAAGGTGCTCCAAGCAAGCCCGACGGGTACGTTCGACACTTGCAGTGTATTCCTTCGTTAATGTGGTCATTTGGATTTCAGGCCAGGGTCAAGTTACTGCAGCGACTCCGGATGGTGGATGTCTGGGACTTGTTTTGAGAACCGGTTTCGGCACGGCCCAGGGACAACTTGTGAGGACGATGATATTCTCAACGGAACGCGTTTCCGCGAATAATCTCGAATCATTCCTGTTTATTGGATTCTTGCTCATCTTCGCGATCGCCGCTAGTTGGTATGTTTGGGTGAAGGGTACGTGTCATCTCTTGCGTACGGGGCGACTACTCACAAGCATACATATAGGCATCGAGCGCGATTTAAAAAAGTCTAAACTTTTGCTTGACTGCGTGCTTATCATTACGAGCGTCGTTCCCCCGGAATTACCTATGGAGCTTTCTTTGGCCGTAAACGCATCCTTGGTGGCTTTATCAAAATTCGGTATGTCGTATTTCGTTTTCTGTGATATTTTGTCTCATTATTTCTAGCCATATTCTGCACCGAGCCATTCCGTATCCCGTCCGCTGGCCGCGTCGATATTTGTTGCTTCGACAAAACGGGAACCATTACGGCGGAGAACCTAGTGTTAGAGGGTGTTGCAGGCATTGAGTTGGTATATCCTATCTTATCACTATCCCCCTACTAATACACAAACAATTCTAGCGAATCAGACAAACTGAAGCTTGTGGACGTCAAGGACACTTCCAAGTATACCACCCTTTGCTTGGCTGCAGCACATGCACTCGTTCGTCTCGATGATGGGACGATTGTCGGAGATCCGATGGAGAAGACGACGTTGGAAGCCCTTGACTGGCAGCTCTTGAATGGTGACCAAGTAGCGCCATCTTCAATCAAATCTCCGAATGCGTCGAGGGTTTTTATTCGGCGCCGTTTCCAATTTTCGTCGGCTCTCAAGCGCATGTCCACCGTGTCGAGCTTGCCCAGTGGCAAGGTCCTCGTCGCTGTTAAAGGTGCACCTGAAACAATCAAAGGCATGCTCGCGGAAGTCCCCGAATGGTATGATGTGACGTACAAGTGGTATACTAGGCGTGGCAGTCGCGTTTTGGCTTTGGGAACAAAGGAGATGGATACCATGTCGATCGACAAGGTTAGTAATGTCCTGGCAACTGCACGCACATTATTAACGGTTGTTGTAGATCAATAAATTATCCCGCGAGGGTGTTGAGAGCAGCCTTATGTTTGCTGGATTTTTGGTCTTCCATTGCCCTCTCAAGCCAGATGCTATTGAAACCCTCAAGATGCTTGCCGATTCGTCGCACAGGGTAAGTCGTTCGTTTGCTATGGGACTTTGCTCATCGTACAATAGTGCATTATGATTACTGGCGACAACCCATTGACGGCCGTTCATGTCGCAAGGGATGTCGAGATCGTCGATCGCGACGCCTTGATTCTGGACTTGCGCGAGAACCCGGCGCATGAATCAGGTGAGTTGATTACTATTGCAGCCAGTCCGTGAATGATTTTGATTTATGTTATAGATCTGGTCTGGCGCACCGTGGATGAAACCAAGATCATCCCGGTAGATCCTTCTCAGCCTTTGGACCAGCGCCTCTTTGACGAGTACGATATCTGTGTTACCGGTGCCGCCATGAAGCAGTTCGAATCTCGTCCATCGTGGAATGACTTGGTGCAAAATACCTGGGTTTACGCTCGTGTCTCGCCTACGCAGAAGGAATTCATCCTCACCAGTCTCAAAACGCTTGGCTATACTACACTCATGGCTGGAGACGGCACAAATGACGTCGGTGCACTCAAGCAGGCTCATATCGGCGTCGCTCTTCTAGATGGGACACCCGAGGACCTCCAGAAAATAGCGGAATATCAGAAAGCCGAGCGGATCAAGAAAGTCTACGAGAGCCAGCTGAAGATGTCGGCGAGGTTCGGACAGGTGCCGCCGCCTGTGCCTCCTGCTATTGCGCACCTCTACCCGGATGTTGTTGAGGCGCAGAAAAAAGCTGCGGAGAATTTACAAGCCGCGCGTAAAAAGAATCCGATGGAGAAGGTGGGATTTTTTCCTTGTGAGATTTCGCCGGCTGACGATATTTTAGTTTGACCTCGCTTCGATCACTGATGCTATGGCCAACATGGAAGGTGATGAGGATGTTCCTCAGATTAAACTTGGAGACGCTTCATGCGCCGCACCATTCACATCGAAGCTGTCCCATGTCGCTGCCAGTGAGTTTGTATACGCTTACCATCGAAAGTTCCTACTGAGCTTTGGAACAGTTACCCACATTATCAGGCAAGGTCGCTGCACTTTGGTTGCTACCATTCAGATGTACAAGATTTTGGCGCTGAACTGCCTTATCACCGCATACAGCTTGTCTGTCCAATATCTCGACGGCATCAAGTTTGGTGATTATCAGGTAACAGTTAGCGGAATGTTGATGTCCGTCTGTTTCCTCTGCATATCCCGGGCCAAGGTGCGTCGTTGCTTGCCCGATTTTTTTGCCACACTGAGCGTTCAACGACAGCCGGTTGAAAAACTTTCCCGGGAGAGGCCGCTAGGCAACATCTTTAACCTCTACGTTCTACTATCCGTGCTGCTCCAGTTTGCCCTGCACATCATATCGCTCGTTTACATTACGAACTTGTCGCATTTCCATGAGCCGTGAGTCTCGGTCTATTTTATACCGACAATCTGCTGAGTTCTTTGTAGAGCTGGTGTAATTGACCTCGAGGCGAAGTTCGAGCCCAGTCTCTTGAACACCGCTATCTACCTTCTGGGCCTCTCTCAACAGGTTTCGACATTCACTATCAACTTCCAGGTAATTTATTTCGCTGACCATGTTTAAGTTGATATAATTGATGACATTTTCATACAGGGCCGCCCGTTCCGTGAGGGAATCCGCGAGAACTCGAGCTTATACTGGGGACTTGTTGGTGCTAGTGCTGTTGCGTTCTCTGGAGCTACGGACTTTATGCCCGAGATGAACAGATGGCTACAGATCGTTGAGATGGAGGGACCGGTGCGTCGCTTCCAGACATTTTACGCCAAAGTCTAACTCTTATTCCCTTAGTTCAAAGTGAAGTTAACCAGCGTCATGATCGCCGACTTTGTTGGTTGTTGGATTATCGAGAAGCTCTGCAAACGCCTCTTCGCAGATCTCGAACCCAAACCGTTAGTCACTCGGGGTAGGGAACGGAGGGAGGCGAGACGAAGGGAAGAGGCTAGATTAGTAGAAGAGGCAGCTGCAGAGAAGAAATCTCAGTAAATACGCTGCATACATGTAGCTAGATGCCCCACGCAAAGCTTTCGAGATCATAATAATATTGTAGACTTCTCCAAGTTAGCCAATGAAAATCGTTTACTAAGAGTATGTCCGGAACGTAGTGGTCGCTTTAAGCTCCGCCTGAAACACATCCAAATTGGTGCAGATAGATTATACTTTGGAGTGACGTTGCACTCGTGTTCAAGTCAACTCACAAGCAAAACAGTCGCGCCCTTGTAACCTTTCTCTGAACCCGTGCGGAGGCGCTGAGATGCTCAATTTTGAAGATGTCGAAGAGCGGGATGGTTTGTTTCACCGATATCTTGCCATATCATTGATTAGCTTAACATTTGACTTTTGATTTCAGGTGTTCGTCTTTCGTGGAATGTATGGCCTTCTTCTCGGATAGAGGCGACACGGACTGTGGTCCCGATATCGGCGCTTTATACGCCTTTGAAGCAGCGAGAGGATCTTCCTCCAGTATTATACGAACCCGTGACGTGTAAACCCCCGTGTCGTGCTATTCTCAACCCGTATTGGTATGTCTCTTCTCTTCCTTACTCAAACTCTACTAATAACACACGTAGTCAAATTGATATCAGAGGCAAACTATGGATTTGTCCATTCTGCTTGACTCGCAATGCTTTCCCGCCTCATTACAAAGACATCTCTAACACCAATCTACCCGCCGAACTGCTTCCAAAGTACACGACAATTGAATACACACTATCTCGTCCTGCTCAGGTTCCTCCCGTCTTTCTGTTTGTTGTCGATACCTGTTTAGATGCCGAAGACCTCAAAGCACTCCGAGATGCCCTTGTCGTCAGTCTCAGCTTGATCCCACCATATGCTCTAGTTGGTCTCATCACGTTCGGCACAATGGTACGTATTCGTATTCATTCACCCCCGCGTGCAATTTTATCACCTTAACTGCCAGACACAAGTACACGAATTGGGCTATGCCGAGTGCAGCAAATCATATGTCTTCCGTGGCGGCAAGGAGTATACGCAGAAACAGATTCAAGACATGCTCGGACTCAGCACGACAACTCGCGCCGCACCCCGCGCCGGCCAGCCCATGCCCCAACAAGCATTTGGAGCCGCCCGTTTCTTGCTTCCTGTACAGCAATGCGAATTCCAGCTTACTGGTATTTTGGAAGCACTTGCTCGTGATCCTTGGCCCGTTGCCAATGACAAGCGCGCTTTACGTTGCACGGGTGTGGCCGTCAGTGTCGCCGTTGGACTCCTGGAGGTGCGCATATCAATTGTGGTGAGAAAAGCATCTGAGTGATGATATTTTCCAGACGACTTTCCCTAACACGGGCGCACGCATAATGATTTTTGCGGGCGGGCCTGCAACAGAGGGTCCCGGCATGGTTGTCAGCAATGAGCTGAAGGAACCCATTCGCTCTCATCACGACATCGAACGAGACAGCGTCAAGCACTACAAACGCGCTATAAAGGTTCGTCCTAGATGACTGCAATCATGTGCGATGACACCATAGTTCGCTTTCTGTTAGTTCTATGAAGGTCTGGCGAAGCGAGCATCTAACAACGGCCATGCTGTCGATTTGTTTGCTGGTTGCTTGGATCAAGTGGGCTTGCTTGAGATGAAGTCCCTACCAAACTCGACAAACGGTGTTATTGTACTATCGGATTCATTCGCTACGTCGATCTTCAAGCAAAGCTTCCTGCGCATGTTTAATAAGGACGACCAGGACTTCTTGCAGATGGGCTTCAATGCGACATTCGACGTACAGGCAAGTCGTGTCGTATTCTCCTCTACGCAAGCTATTGACTTTGAATTTATTTAGACCACCAAGGAGCTGAAGGTTTCTGGTCTTATCGGACATGCAATCTCCGCTGGGAAGAAATCTGCATGCGTTGGCGAGACAGAAATTGGTATTGGTCAAACGTCGGCCTGGCGAATTAACTCCATTACGCCTAGGACATCTGCTGCCATTTACTTCGAGGTTGTTACTCCTGCGGGCCAGGCATTGTCTCCTGGGTCAAGGGGTCTCATCCAATTCGTAACTCATTATCAACACTCCTCTGGGCAGATGCGCTTGCGCGTCACAACGATCGCTCGAAATTTTGCAGAAGCGAACTCTCCGAGCATAGCTTCTTCCTTCGACCAAGAAGCTGCTGCCGTACTTATGGCGAGGATAGCGGTCTTCAAGGCCGAAATAGACGATTCACCAGACGTTCTGCGCTGGCTTGACCGCATGCTCATCCGTCTCTGCCAGAAGTTCGCAGACTACCGAAAGGAGGACCCTGTCAGCTTTAGACTAACGGATAATTTCAGCATCTATCCACAGTTTATGTTCCATCTCCGGAGAAGTCAGTTCTTGCAGGTGTTTAACAACAGTCCCGACGAGACTGCATTCTACAGGTCTGTACCTTCGATGTGCGGTAAACTTTTGGATGCTAAATTGCCATATGACAGACATATTCTCAACGAGGAAGACGTCAACAACTCTTTGATTATGATCCAACCTACTCTAATGTCTTACACATTTGATGCCGAGCCTCAGCCTGTCTTGCTGGACAGCGTCTCTATCAAACCCGATGTCATCCTTCTTCTTGACACCTTCTTCCATATTCTTATTTTCCACGGTGAAACGGTCGCCCAGTGGAGGAAGGCAGGCTACCAAGACCAGGATGGGTACGAGAACTTCAAAGAACTGTTGGAGAACCCAGTTACAGATGCTCAGGTGCGACGATTCGGCTGTATGCTTTTGACTCGCATTGACGGACGTACACACAGGACTTGCTCGTCGACCGCTTCCCTATTCCACGTTACATCGTCTGCGACCAGGGTGGCAGTCAAGCTCGATTCCTGCTATCCAAGCTCAATCCGTCGACGACGCACATGTCGACATCGATGTATGGCACTGCACAAGCTGCGGGCGCTGGCCAAGCAATCTTCACGGACGATGTGAGCTTGCAGGTTTTCATGGAACACTTGAAACGCCTGGTAAGGGTATCTCTATTACTTTTATCCCGCTGGACGCTTACGAGGGGCTTTTCACTAGGCTGTGGGTGCACAAACAAACTAGATTGCTGTTTTTCGACGGTTAGATGTTGTTTTGTGCACTGGACGCTGTTTATTTTTTTCGCGTTCGAGTTAGCATTTCAACTGTAGTAATGTTGGTAGTATATCGTAAAATGTTCATCTTTTCGGTTTGGAGCTAATATCCTATGTGGTGTTTGCAATATTGTCTAGTCGTGGGGACGTCTATGAATGATGGTATTGCGCACGATATATGCATATTTTCAGCTGCATATATCGATATCCCCTCTGCCCGTTCGTGAGCTTATCAAACTTTGCTGTAGTTCTTCTGGTATAAAAATAGCGTGATCAATATCAGGACGCGTCAAGCACGTGAGCACTTTGATCTCTACTATTGGTCTCCTCTAGTTGTCCCCGCTATGCCAGGACATACGCCGCATAGAACACCTCTCAAACGTGTCTCCCAAGGGTCCCTCTTCGCTTTCTCGCGATCAGGTAACCATCCTGATGCGCCCCATGGCCTTGGCTTCATCGAACCTGTAATGGCAGAGCTAGTCGACGAAGTTGAGGCGCTGCAGGCGAACGTAGATGGCCTAAGGAAGCTCAGCAACTCTCTGAAGACCTTCAATGAGAGCTTCGCGAGCTGGCTATATGTCATGGACATGAACGCGCTCACTGTGGACTGGCCGCAGGTGAGTTCTGGTACTTCCTGATGATCAAGCTCATCGACTGATCTCTGTTTATTCTGCCAGGCTCCAACAGACGCGTCGTTCCAACTGGCTAAGCGACGAGCTGGTAAGTTGTGCAGTGAATTTATTATACGGTCTAGATCAAGCGACATATTTATTAGAGGAAAACGCCCGTTTGGCTGAACAAGCTGCTCTGAAAGCAGCATCAGCCGTTCCGCCAGATTTAGAGGCAGACAAGACGACGTTCAGCGAGAACCCAGAGTTTGAAACAACGTACACTACGAATGCTACGACAAGGAATGCCTCTACCAACATTGCAAAGACAACATCGACAGGTATTCCCAAGAAGAAGGCTAAAATAAAGCTCACTCCAAAGGAGAAAAAGGAGAGATCGGTGAGCACTGGTGCAGGGGGATATCTTTCAGAATTTTTGATCGTTATTGCAGCTTTCACTTGAGAAGATAGTGATGTCTCTTCCTCTCGAGTTTCGAGGTAGCGATCCGGTACGAATACTCGCTGATGTTATGAGACTGTTTATTGAAGGTCAGACGCTTCAGGGTCTTCGACGTAACATGGAATCTGTGATAGAATTCATGATGGACAGCGATGGGCGAGGCGTCAAGCGTGGGTAACTCTTTTTCGTTGCAGTATATAATGGCTCACTTGTGCTCGTACACAGTCATCGAGCTCATCAAACCTCCCGATCTCAATCAGGCACGTGTCAACAAATGTTTGATTGCTTTGGTGAACCGAAAGATTGTGCAAAAGGAAAGCAGTACTGTATGTCACAGCCAGTCGAGCAAAATTTTTCTGCTAATCTTCGAACAGGGCACAGTCCTTTACCACTGGACTGGATTGTCGTGAGATCCGGCGTAGCGCTTGTATGCTTTCCAACATCTTTGGTTCTCGCGCTCCCTGGATTTCAGCCCATCTTAGCTTTTTTGCAGTAATCGCGCATAGCTTATTCGATTTGGTCAATGCGAGCAGCATCTCGCACACCAATAATGATAACGCCAGGAGATATACTTATTGCGACTGCGGTAGCGAGCCCTTATCCAGGAAAGTTTATAGTGTACCGTTAAGATCTTGACCAGATTGGGTCTTGCGCGTGAGGGCTATTCTGAGCTGCTATGTATTCATTGGAAATTTATTAAACAAGGTTTACACGGAATACTTAAACAAGCTGATCTCGAGAGCGATTGTGTGCGTCAACATGTCGGCAACACGGCCATGGTATGAATCGTAGACTCTCCATCACTGATCTCTAAGGTATTCGTCTTCTTCATGGACGTATCTCTAGATGCGAACCCTTCAGGGTCTTGTCTCATCATCTCAGCCCTAATGTAATCCCTACATTATCATCATGAGAACGTTATTAAAGGAGTGATATGGTCTTCATTTACCTTGTCAGATGAATACCGGTGTCACGAGCAATCAGCTGTTTGATCATCCGAGGGCCGAGCTTCTTTTCTGGATCTTTCAACATCTGGGTGAGCACGAGCTGTCTTTTGACCGTCTCTGGCAGCTGTCGGGTGGTCACGCCACTTGCATAGAGACCCAGAGCTCTTCGTCTGCGAGCTACCGAGCTTTCACTGAAGAACAACATTAATTATCAAGGTAAAGAAGAGCGCAGAACACGCGTACCTCAGCTTGATCCCGTGCTCGTCATTCAGGAGTTGACTTATCTTCTTCTTATCAAATATCTCTCTCCGCTGATAGTCATACAGAAGCTCCGTAACCCGATTGTCATTCTTCGGGGCTGCAGATGGTAAAAAACGCTATAAAGAGCAGAAAGAATGGATACGTACGACAGTCCTTGTATTGGTTCCTCCCGGTTGGGTTTCGATTATGCGGCTTTGTCGAAGTCGATGCGGAGGGACCTGACATGAGTCGAGAGCAGGGACGTTGAAGGAGTGATGAGAAGTTAAGATGCCCGCGCTCGAAAGCAAGCGACACCTTCTACATGTGCGATGACTATGCAAAGAGTTGGGGCTCAACTTGAGCTCAAGCCGAATTTGGGTTCAGGTGGTTGTTTGGCAACGGCCTCTGATCCAAACAACTGCTGAAATTCTAGCCTTGTCCTAACTCATTCTCCCCCGCATGATCCTCATTAAGGGCTTATCTTTGCGGGCGCCAAGAACTTATAGAATGTATATTTATTCTTATTAATTGGATAAGTTCAATCTCCCCACATTAGTGCACCCCGCAGCTCTCAATCGAACGCTGAATGCATCGTACTGCAGGTTTTCTCTGATTGTACATCCCGTCATTAATATCCACAAGGTGTCGTGTATCTTTGTCGTACGTTCTCGCAATTATCTGATAATCAGCCAGATCTTCAATGGACAACCCTCTCCCACGATATCTCTACCGAGTGTATGATGAGAAGTCTCATTCCCAGTTTGATCGTGATTTAGGCTTTGTGGCTAGCATACATAATGCTGTCTGCAACACCGAGCATCAGAATGCCGGGCATGAATTAGAACAACATACGAATTTGGGATATCAACTACCAACTCCCTTTTTATCTGTGACGAGCTCACGCGCGAAGGCTCTCGAATCTGCTTTGCAGAGGGTGGACATGGGGAGGCGCACTGTTTCGATTGCGAAGATTGACAGCTCGCAACTCAAAAGAGCAGATGTCAAACTGATGGATGGATACGTCAGACCGGCAGCAACGAACAAGTACGAGTATATGTGTCACTGCATTCCAGCTATCGCAGTTATTGAGTATCTTACACTTGATGGTGACGATGAAGACTGAGGAAGACATCACAGTCGGTGTAGGTGAGTGTGATGCTAGGATTCTGTCTTCGATTGTATTCACTGTGTTCCAGATGTTCACGACGGTGGCATGATTCCATTATACTTATAGAAGGTGTCCTAGGCTTGGTCCAGTATTTCTGTGCACGACTTCACAGTACTTGATTATATGTACACCTGCTTACGATCTTGACGGTATTCCGAGTCGTGACAGAGCTTACAGTGCAAAACAGATAGCATAGGCCTCTCTGTTACGAACTCAGTTGTGGTGCGATAAGGAGAGTGTTGGCATTTTCGCCAAGCGTGCAAATGGGCCAAAAGACCGTACATACCGCAAAATTGGAAATGACCGTCCGTCCCGGGTCCGCAAGTACTGTCCTCCAATAAACGATAAACGATTTTCATTGGCTAACTACGTTGCTGATTTTTTGGCGGAGATTATGTAAGCAGTCCCAATTTTTTTACAAGAAAACAAATTTCTCCTGGCTGGCGCGCCAAGAAAGTAACCAGATAAGCTTTTGTTTAGGCTCGTACAGAGGCGCAACGTTTCCACCAGTTTGAGTAGAATTCAGACGGGATGGAGCAATGTAGAAAGGGATCTGTGGTGGTGCTGTGGTGGAGGTCAGTTTTTCCCGTTTTGCACTATTGACACGGCGGGGAATGACTCGGACGGTTTTCTACCTTTTGCCACCAGTGGCACAGTGCTCTGAAACCCTCTAGCCGGGTCTAGATCTCCTTTTGATTGAAATCTCGCAAAAATGTTGAACCCCCTGATGTTTTATCTTTGCGCGCGCGGCCGGACGCGCGCTTGGCAAGAACTGGAGGCATATATATTGATTCTTCGGATGCATTGGATAAGTTTAATCTCCTCGTATCACTGCACGCGAAGCTCTCAATCACGAACGCTGCATACATTGTGCTGTACATCTCGTCTTTATTCACAAGGTGTAGTGTATCTTTGTTGTGCGTTTTCGCAATTATCTGATAATAAGCCAGATCTTCAATGAACCGCCCTCTCCCACGATATCTCTACCGAGTGTATGATGAGGAGTCTTGTTCCCAGTTCAATCGTGCCTCGGGCTTTGTGGCCAGCATACCCAATGCTGTCTATAATCCAGAGCATCGGAATGCCCGGCGTCAATTAAAACAGCATATGAATTGGGGAAATCGATATCGAACTCCTTTTATATCTGTGACGGGCTCACGTGAGAAGGCTCTCGAATATGCTTTGCAGAGGGTGGAAATGGGGAGGCGCACTGTTTCGATTGTGAAGATTGACAGCTCGCGACTCGAAAGAGCAAACATCGATGTATACCGGATGTGCGATCTTGTTGAACAGATCGGCGCTTATATCAAACCTGAAGCAAACAACGAACACGAATATCTGTGTGTTCGCCGCATTCCGGCTAACGCAGTTATTGAATGTCTTACACTTGATGACGATGACGATGAAGACAGTGATGAATACTGAGGAAGACATTGGTCGGTGTAGGTGAGTGCGATGTTAGGACTCTGTCTTTGATTGTATTCATTTTGTTCTAGATCTCAACAACTTCTCCAACATGTGCATAGCGGTGGCATGATTCCATTATATGTAAAGTGTCCTATGCTTGGTCCTTCATTTTTGTGCACGACTTCACAGTTTTCCCCCTCAGACCAGCATATGTCCCAGCACTCAAACGTCTCATTGCTGCCAAACTGCCATCCCGCACTCACAATAGATTTTTATCGCCCATGCGCTATCGATTCACCGTCCATCAATGGGACGTTCATTTCCCCATATATACGACAGTCTTCCTTGTGGGGTTAAGAATGCCCAACCTGTTTCTCGAATTGCAAGGTTCCCGTGGCGATAGGCCAATGTGGATTGCAGATATCGTCTCCTCATAGGAGGATAAAATGATGCCCACAATCTGACAATACACAGAGTGCAAAGGATGTCATCCTAGTCAGGATCATTGATATCCGCGAGTCCACCCCTTTCAATCCACCCGAGAGATTCATCTAATGTGGCGAAGGCGGTGAAGGAGCGGCAAGATCTGCTGGCGTTTCACGAGTGGCGCAGTGGTTCGGATAATCCGGCCCTTGGGTCAATTGCCTCCTCTGTCCCACATCCGTCGTGGGTAGTGTGATTGACTTTGAGAGAGTTCGAAGTCAGAGTTCGAAGGCGATGCGAGGGATTTCGGTATGAAGGATTTGCACTTCAATTGATGAATAGTTGGAGGAGTACTGTGGTGATGTAAAATGGACGACTTTCCATTATGAGGACAGACTACATCATGATAACTCAGTGTAAGTGCCTTTCAAAACCTTGCCCGTGATCAAATCGATCATTAATGAGGCCGAATGCAGAGCTCTCCCGCAGCTCCGTCAACCAGTTGCATGCCCTGACAAGAAATGGGGTATTGCAAATAACGCAGTTCTCACACTGCCTGACAGTCTGAGACACGGAGACAGGCGCACGGCGCGCAGACGGCTGTCAAGCGCACATCGACAGCGAGCGGTGATGATACGGTGTGCTAACTATAGCTCAACACGGTCGAGCGAAGTTTTCCGCGAAACTAACCGTTCCGTCCTTTGGTAAAAAACACCAGTCGTACGAGCTTTTTATTCAATATCCAAAAAACAGTTCACATCGCTCATCTAGCTCCTAACGATATATGGAATGACGGGAGGACACCCGGACCGTTAACACCCAGTCGCGAGTGTTAGTCGAGGATCAGGAAAATGAATCGCTTCCATTGATTCAAGTAATTCGTGATGTCCTCAGTCTTCACAAGATTAGAGTTATAATCAGCGCTAAGGTCGATCATGCCCCCCCAAGAGGAGAGACGAAAGAATCTAAGTGCTCCAGTTAATTGCATTACTGAATTACTGAAATCTACAAAACTCACGGGCCGGGATCAAATCTGTTCACGGATGTGAAGAACTTGGCGATTGAAAAGACGGGTTTCCCAGTGTCATCCGCGAAAGTGGGGTTCAAGTAGTTTTCTCCTTTTCCGTCACTTGAAAATGAGTAACACTGGTTGGGTGGCAGCCTGCTATGACATGAACAAACGTAAATGACTTTTACGACACACGTACATGTTTGCAAGCGCAGCTGGTATAATGTTCGAGGCGTATACTTCACCGACTGCCGGCATGCAACTCAACCCAGCGGACAATTCTATGTGGGCTCGATACTGTTCCTTGGCTATGTCCGCCACCTTAAGAAGCCTGTCCCTGTCCAATGGGAAGACACTTCCGTCATGGGACATGAACGCTGATACAGGAATCCTGGTCATGGAAACACCAAGGACATAGCCTGGATGCAGCGAGTGATTTGAATCCAGCCGGCCTCGGAAATTAACCAGAGACATGTTGTTCAAGTAGTGGGTAGAAGACGCCAAATCGGGTGGATTATCAGCTATGACGACCATTGCTAATGCAGCATGGACTGGTAGATTCTCAATACGATATACCGATGGAGTGGAGGCAGCTACATACCAAGGTGTGTAAGTGTGAACCCAAAGATTTTCGAGGCAGTTTGAATTCTTTCTGATTCTTCCTTTGTAAACAAGACCTCGGCGCGACGCGTCTTCGGCCACTGTGTATCGTTCGGGCGAGCTCTAAATCCGTAGGTGTCCTATATGTTCACGAATTAGCCACAAAAACATCGAAAGAGACAATAATCGGCACCTTCATCCCCCCGCCGAAGGCGGAGAGGACACTTCCCAAGGACTTGTAGTATTCGTGGTCAAAGGAAGGTTCCTCCAACGAGTCTGGTGGAATAGGGAGGGATTCATTGGAGTTTAGGATGTTATAGGCTGCCGAAGGGAGGTTTTTCAGCTCATTTCCCCATTCAATAGACTCGGACGCGCTGTGCGAGTCAGAGAGCACCTTCGCCAGTTGCGCGAGATAGCGATTTGCGACGATCTTTATCCCTACGCCATCGAACGGTGAGTGATGGGTATGGAACAGCAGACCGAATTTGGAGACCGTCCCGTCGGCAATTTCGCCAGGAACAAGGTGCAACCATGTGTAGTCGCCGTCGGACGAAGGGACCTTCTTTTGGCCCTCATTGGCCCGCAATTGATCGAGGTCGATATGTGAGGGTGAGTGGACAATGAGAGTGCGCTGCGCCCACCGGTTGATCTCTTGAGGACTCGCGGTTGTATAGCTCAGCGTGGGCAGCTCGTGATCTGAACCATTTACGGATGACGCTACGGTAGGAATTTGGAAGCGGAGCCAGCACCAGGATTCTTGAGCGGAAGAGCTGAGCTTGGTGATGCTCACGGGGATGTGCAAGTCGACAATAACCGCGAAGAATAACGTTTGGTCACCCTTGAAATGGCGATCTAGAATATCCTGGGCATGCTCAGAGCCTCCAAGGGGGCGAACGCATCCATTTTGGCCACCTTCACCTTTGAAGGGCTTCCACTTGAACTGTTCTAAATCGTAACGAGCAAGAAAATTAGCCATTGATAGTCTTGCCTCAGCCTGAAGCCGTACAGTTATATACTGTCTGACTCAAGGATTCATCAATCATCTTCCATCAATCATCATGATAGTTCGACAGCCGTTATTTTAAGAAAACCTGTTCTACTCACAGGCAAAGTTTCAAATTGGAATTTGGTGTTGTATAGGATTGAGGGCCCTGGGAATCGTTGGATCAACTAACGTTAAGGCAAGCGGCGACCTGTGAAACCAGGGCACCTAAATCTCACACCCATTATTTTTAGATAGGAGACGAGTCTAGGCTACGTGTGCGCTAGGGCGGCCGCTAAGCGCTGATGGGCAAGGGCCATCGGGCAAAGACGTTTGAATGTCCAAAAAAGAAATTCTCTCCCATAGCGCACAAAGGTTTGCGACATAGAAAACGCCGAACAAACATATTTTTATGGCACTGGATCAACCACCAGGCATATATCACAAATGCGTCCATCTAGCCCTCCAGCAACTCTGCACGCAAACGCAAGGATTTCTGGGGTACAAGCCTACGTGCTCTCGTCGTATCTAACTCCTTTCGACAGCGAGGAACCATTCTGCTCATCATCCGATTCTACGGCCTGTGAGACCTTGACCTCCGTGACATTGTTCCTGGTGAACATGTCTCCATCCCGATGATATACATTGCGAAAATGAAGGGGTAGAGAGTTGCCAGTTGGTCGGTTAGGGTGCGAGCGTGACTGATCTATGGAAGGAAAATGTGCAGTGCCATCTGCAGACATGTGTCCGAACTTGATGTTCCGGAAGACGATGCACGCCATAGCATTGATGAGAGCAAAGATTGGAACGCTTAACATGGCATGGTACACGGCTGGCACACCGGGATCCTTCAAAAGGATAAGGATCACAATGTTGCCACATACAGCTATCCTAAGTGATGGCACGTGAAGAATCAATGGCTGAAACTTCGAACTCGAGCAAAAGACATACTTACAAGTAGTAATGCTGACCACCTCGTAGCAAGGCCTTAGAAAGTTGTGGGATGGACCCGCCGCCGCCCATGAATGTCCGCATGCGAGCTTTGAACGAATCTTCGGGGACACAATTCCTCAGGATGCGATACGAAATGGCCGTGAGAATAGTGCTATCGTTGACAAGTCCCATTATCAGCGTCGACTCTATGTAGCCTGCCACTTGTACGTTGATACACTGCTGAGTTGGTCCAATGTGAGCGCCCTTGGTGCCGAACGGGACAGTGGCAGAGGCTACCGCGACCGCGACCCACAAGAAAATAAACGCTCCACAAACGAGCTTGTTCCCATGCCATACGGCGAGCACCCTCAAAAGAAAGAGTATGGCTGTGGTAGACTGAGAAATCGCCATGCAGACTCCCAAAGAAATCTGAAGAGCCTGGCAATTTGGAACACTGCCAACTAGAGGTAGGCGTCACCCAAATTATGCGTGCCCTCGTCAGCAGCGAAAAAACTCACCTTGAAAGATAAAACTGGTTAGGATATAACTGAGAGTGAATAGCCTTCAGAATGGGCATCAGCGTGCCGATCCGACTTTCGGGGATAACATGAATATGATTTACCTCGACAGAAAGTAAACCGCTGTTGGCAAATTCACTTTGTAGTGGAAAAGTAATTTGTAGTCATTGCCTATGTTGATGGCGAGATCCCAGGCATAAGCCTGAATTGCGTGTTGAGTTAACTGTGCAACGCGTATGGGAGTGCCCAAAAAAAACTCACCCCGAGAGTCACCGCATACATATACCTGGAGACTTCAAGCTGGTTGGCCAGGGTAGGAGGCAGGTATGCCAGCGGAGTATTTGGATTGGGAAGGGCAGTACTGTTCGACATACTGGTAATGGTGATAGAGTGAAATTCGAATCACGAACCACGAACCGCGAACCGCGCGAAAATACTATGTAGTAGGGTCCCAAGAAAAGACCCACCCAAGTCGCTATCAGAGTCCGGCCGCCAGGTGGTCTCGGAGGATACGAAATCTAGTAGCAGCTATAGACATAGCCCATAACGTGAAACAGAATCTATGGTCCATTCCGTAATTTTGATAGGGATGATGGGTTATCAATACAAAACGATCTTTACTGCTCTAGGAGTTCATGTTGGCTGTTTGAACCTGTTTTGAATTGTGTTTCAACCGGCTGACTCGGAGCTTTCATCACGGTGACCACGCCGTCATGCACGGTTCCAAGATCATTAATGTCATACCTCACGGCATCAGGTTTGATACATCTAACTACCCCTCTTAAATAGGTCGTTGAACTGATGGAATATGCCTAGATATGATAGTGGTCACACCGTGGGGCTGTTGAGGGTCAGGGAAAACTAATTTCATGTAAGTACTATATACATAACCATTCTCACATCGCATCATTGTGGTTCCTCATTTGGGTGATGCGATGACATCAGGTTCGATAGCCCAGATAGCGAAACCCTCCCAGTCACAGCTCTAACTTAATTGCTAAGTGCTCCATCATCTTTAGACTGATGATATCACCGCACTGTGGGTTGAGAGCGGTTTGTTTATTGAGTAACGCAACAATTGTACGTTGATGCGATCTCTGCGGAGTCCAGGCGAGCGTTTGCCTCCGCTAAATAAAATATTGACCTGTAATTGTCCAATTCAGTTCAAGCCGTTCGAATGCATAGCGTAGGTACAGTATCAGACGTTCTCGAGGAAAGATCGAAAGATCGTGGCAGATTTTATTTTTGGCGCATCAAAGTATCAAAAGTGTTGCTTCTCCTATCATGCGCTGAAATTAAGCTTTGTCACCAACTTCCCAGTATTGGCGCCAGTGAAGAGTCTTTCCCAAACATTTGGGGTATCTATGAAGGGGGCCTCCACGATGTCCTCGGCCTTCTTGAGCGTGATATCTCCTCGCTGAAGTGCACCAGCAATTTTCAGAAATGCTTCTGTGGCTACTCTGTCGGACCCGTCCTTCGGGAACATAAAGTCGAGGATAATGAAGCCTTGGATTGTTAAACGGTTGGCGAATACTTCAGTCCAGGTAGCACCCGTCGTGGGTTTCCCAACGTCCTTATTGTACGTTGTGAACAATTATTAACTAGGCATATCAGTGGCAAGGAAACTCATTCAACCCCGCACCGCACCGCAAGCCGCTATGCGGCCATTCTGTTTCATTCGTCGCATGACCGCTGGCAAATCTGCTTTAGTTAATATAACTGAAATCGTTTGGTGTAGCTTACCCGCCACTGTATACCCGAAGGCGATCATTAAATAATAAAAATGTGCATGTGGAAACTAGAAAAGACCCACTTGTCAAAGTATGCATCCACAACGTCTGGGGTCGCGTCAATAAGATCTTGAAAAAACGTATCAAATTTATAATGAAGGGCAATGTCTGCTCCGAGTTCCATTATCCATTGGCATTTTTCATCTGACCCAACAATCCCAATCACTTTTTCGCCTTCATGACGTTCTTTGCGTATTGAATGACGACGTTGCCAACAGCGCTGTATCAATGGTTTTAAAAGACAGAACATTGAATGGCGAGGAGCACTGGTAAGATAAACTTACCCCGCAGCCGCATGACAATTAGCGATTCTCCTTCCTTGAATTGCCAAATATCCTTCAGACCATCTGCATTTCATTTCCCTCAAAGTCAGAAAGCAAAGAACGATGCCACGCATTGATGACAATTCACAGTACGCAGTAAATACAGGGACTCCGAACAATACATTATCGGGCACCCTAGTCAGGTCCGAGTCAGCTATGTAACGCCGAGATAAAGCGCTCACATACATGACGGGTAGGCATGCTGAGGGATCTGTTTACCACTGCGTATCGTCGCCACCCAGCAGTTAAACAGGAAATGAGGTCGTGTACCTAAATTCCATAGCTAGTGTTCAAGTCGCCCTTGATTGCGAGGACACGAGCAATGGAATGAGTCGACATTACGTCGCCCTCACGCACGGGAGTGATGTAGAAGCGCTCTGAAGCACCTTTCTGGATCCAGTCTGACATCACGATGGTAAGTAATTGGAACTCAGCCACATATGAATTGGAAACAAACTTCGTTGCGCAGGGTCGTCGGAGAGGTACACATTATCCACGAGCATTCATCCTCAAGGGGAGGTAGAGGTTCGTCTGTCAAGGCGAACGTGAACCCACGCTGGAGCGGTGTCTCCAAAACGTCTAAGCACATGACACTAATATACCAGCTGTCTTGCCTCGCCGAAGTTTGATCATAAAATATATCAGCCGACACGAAAATGAGAATGAGTGGACGATACCCACTAGACTCTTCCTCGAAGCATACAAAAAGACATTTATAAAGACTCGAGGGCGGTCCGCAAAATTACATGGTGGAGAGAGGGGATCGGTCCTTATGCCTGCCGGCGCGCCTGATTTTGAGACAAGTAGGCACAACAGGTGTCATCGATTGGCTCGAAGTACGACATGTAGGGGCACTGTTGCTATTCATCACTAATCACACTTCGAAAACTTCCATTTCGGCAGTTCTTTGCCAGTCTTCGGGCGCACAGAGATCTGTACATAATTGAGTAAATGGCGGAAAATTCTCATATCGACATCAAAACGTACCTTGCAGTCACTCTGAGGCGTCCAGTACATCTTTGTAGAGCGGTATTTAATCGTCACCCTGAACGTGCAAGAGTCAATGCTGAAGTTATGCGAGTTACTGTCTTAACGGAAACACGCACCTGAAAATATTCTTGCCATCTGTGGTGCTCTCCAGATGAAAGGCAGTGGCCGAGGTGGGCCCGCTGTCATCGTAGACCAGCATTGCATGCTGGAGTCAGGTCAGAAAAATTGTACATCAGAGAGAAGACAGCAAACTTGCATCCCCAACAGAAATGAGTTTTCCTTCAGGCATCTCAGGCGATACGCCTGTGAACGTCGCAACTGAAGTCTCTTCCAAATACCCATAGTACCACTACATATCCGTGATCAGCAGCTGGGATGAAGGAAACTAGAGCCCAACGCACGATGCCGCTCGCTTTGTTGTCGAGAACGATGTCACCGTCTTTCACGGTCAAAAAGAAGCCTTTATGATCCCCCGAGGCGCTCTCGATTGTGTAATTGCCGTCAGAGAGACTGCCAGACTTAGACATGGTCAGAAGAGGAGATGTTTATGTGTATGAGGGTAGGATGATGGTGGATGATGTGGCCTTCGATTGTCTTTTATACGTTCTCGATGAAGAAGTACCATATTGTAGGAGCCCTCACCCTGGAAGCGAGTTTCGACTCTTCTATCTCTCTGGTCCAACTTGGAGCCTACTCGGTTGGCACAACTAGTAGGCTACAGTCCCTTTCGGAAAGTCTTGAATCACGTGTTCGAACTTCGCAATGCTTCAAAAATAGTAAAATAAGCGAAAATTCGAATAAATAAAAATTCAAGCAAACTTGCACCAGTCTCTTTCAAAGTCGAGTAGAAAAGCATAACTGTCACTCTTCTCTGTCCTCTGGGCCATCAATACTATCCCAGTGCCCTCAACGATCTTACGCTCGCACTCAATTTACGATTTCATGCACGCGGCAGCATTGATGATGTGGGCGAGAGTGTACAACTTTTTTCGTAACACTGCTTCCCTGTGCCCCGAGGGTCATGCCGGTCGTGCTTTCTGTCTGAATAGTTTGGCCTTTACTCTCCAGTCCGGCTTCGATTACCAACACAAATATTTTGACTTCTACGAGTCCATTTTTTTGCACGAAGGGGCGCTGCGCCCGTGTCCTGTTGGGCACGAAATTCGTCCTGTCTCATTGGACAACCTAGGGTGAGCCCTCCTCACCCGTTTCGGCGGATGACGTCAACCGAGCTATCAGCCTCTATCGCGAGGCACTGTCGTCAAACGAACCTGCACAACCACATCGTGATACCGCGCTTAACAACTTTGGCCTCGCCCTCCAAAAAAAGACACGGCCATTGAGCTGTATCGCAAATCCTTTCATTTCGAGCAACTTGATCGTCCCAGCGCTAACTAGTTCTTTCCAATTTGAACTCGGTGCTCTACTCTCGTTTCACACGAATTGGGAAGAATAATAATGTTGAAGACGCAATTTAGCTTTGCCAAGAGTCATTGAAGGCTTTACGTTCAGAACACTCGGATTGGCTTTTCAGCTACGTGCGCCTGAAGGACGCCTATGTGTCTCGTTATGAGATAGAGCACAACCCCGTCGATTTGCTGCTCGTTGTAGAGAACTTCAGATTCGCATCACGACACCCTACTCAAGGCTTCCCCGAACGCATCGTTCAGGCATATAATTTGGACTGTTGTAACTGAGCAACATGGGCATGAATCCGCACTGGAGGCTTACTCGACTTTTTTTCGAGCTTCTAGATGCTCACTATCGATGCAGGTTCACACATCGTCGAGACGCGCCATGATTCTGCTCACTTGAACACAATGTATTTGCGCTCATCGTGTCACGCAGCGAGCTCGAAGGTTCCTGATTTGAATGTTCAAAACGTAAATTCTCTCCCATGGCGCACAAAGGTGAAGGAGTTTCCGACATAGAAAACCCTGACTAAATATATTTTTATGGCACTGGATCGACCAGCAGGGGACAATATACTATATATCATACATGTGTCCACCTAGCCCCCCAGTAATCCTGTACGCAAACGCAAGGATTTCTGGGGTACAAGCCTACGTGCTCTCGTCGTATTGAGGTCCCTTTGACAGCGACAAACGATTTCGCTCATAATCTGGGTCTAATTCTACGACCTGTGAAACCTTGACCTCCGTGACATTGATGTTCCTGGTGAACACGTCTCCATCCTGATGGTATGCACTGCGAACATGAAGGGGTAGAGAGTTGCCAGTTGGTCTGTTAGGGTACGAGCGTGATTGATCTGTGGAAGGGATATATGCAGCGCCATCTGCAGAAATGTGTCCGAACTTGATGTTCCGGAAGACGATGCACCCCATAGCATTGATGAGAGCAAAGATTGGAACGCTACACATGGCATGGTACACGGCTGGCACACTGGGATCCTTCAAAAGGACAAGGATCACGATGTTACCACATACAGCTATCCTGAGAGATAGAATTGATGACTGGAACTCCGAACTCGAGCAAAGACATACTTACAAGTAGTAATGCTGACCACCTCGTAGCAAGGCCTTAGAAAGATGCGGGATGGACCCGCCGCCGCCCACAAACGTCCGCACGCGAGCTTTAAACGAATCTTCAAGGACACAATTCCTCAGGATGCGATATGAGATGGCCGTTAGAACAGTGCTATCGTTGATAAGTGCCATTATCAGCGTTGACTCTATGTAGCCTGCCACCTGTACATTGATGCACTGCTGAGTTGGTCCAATGTGAGCGCCCTTGGTGCCGAACGCGATAGTGGTAGAGGCGACCGCGACCGCGAACCACAAAAAAATAAACACTCCACGAATGAGCTTGTTCCCATGCCATACGGCGAGCACCCTCAAAAGAAAGAGTATGGCTGTTGTAGACTGAGAAAGTGCCATGCAGACTCCAAAAGCAACCTGAAGAGCCTGGCAATTTGGAACGCTGCCGACTGGAGGTAGGCGTCACCAAATTATGCATGCCCTCGTCAGCAACAAACAAAACTCACCTTGAAAGATGAAACTGGTCAGGATATAACTGAGAGTGAATATCCTTCGGAATGGGCATCAGCGCGCCAATTCTTCTTTCAGGGATAACATGGATATTATTTACCTCGACAGAAAGTAAACCACTGTCGGAAAATTCACTTTGTAGTGGAAAAGTAATTTATAGTCATTGCCTATGTTAGTGGCGAGATCCCAGGCATAAGCCTGAATTGCGTGTTCAGTCAATTGTGCAACGCGTATGGGAATGCCCAAAAAACTCACCCCGAGAGTCACTGCATACATATACCTGGAGACTTCAAGCTGGTTGGCCAGGGTAGGAGGCAGGAATGCCAACGGAGTATATGGATTGGGGAGGGCGGTAATGTTCGCCATAATGGTGATAGAGCGAATCGCGAATCGCGAACCGCGCGCATATATATAATATATAAGTCCCAGGAAAAGACCCACCTAAGTTGCTATCCAGAGTTCGGCCGCCAAGTGATTAGTACGAAATCCAGCAGGAGCCACAGACATAGCCACATGAAAAAAGAATCTATACATAGTCCATTCCGCTTGTTGCTGGCTCATAAGTAACATTTATAGTCTCCCACAGCCCAAATAGACCTAGAAGGATGATGCATATGGGCGTTGTCGACACAAAGCGATCTTTGCTGCTAGGGGTTGTTTGAACCTGTTTTGAATTGTTTCGACCGGCTACTCGGAACTTTCGTCACGGTGACCACACCGTGATGCCGCACCACTTGGCAAAACCAATATTATACATACCTCATGGTCATCAGGTTTGATACATCAAACTACCCCTCTGAAACAGGTCGTTCAACTGATGGAATATGCCTAAATGACATTGGCCGCATCATGGGGCTGTTGAGGGTCAGGGCAAACTGATTTCATGTAAGTATATATATTATCATTAATTCTCATTGGGCCATCATTTGGGCCACAATATTGATGCGATTTGAACACTATCCTGCAGATAACAAAACCCTCCGAGTCGCGGCTCTAACTTAATTACTAAGCACTCTATCATCGATGCATCATCTTTCGACTGATGCATCATTCTAGGTCTATTTGATCACCGCAACAATTGTGCATTGATACGATCTCTGCGGAGTCTAGAGTCCAGATGAGCGTTTGCCTCCGCCAAAGAAAACATTGACTTGTAATTGTCCAATCCAGTTCAGGCCAACGTTCGAATGCATGGCGTAGATACGGTATCAGACGGTCGCGAGAAATAAATCGAAAGACCGTGGCAGATTTTATTTCTGGCGAATCAAAGTACCAAAAGTGTTATGCACAAAAATTAAGCTTTGTTACTGACTTCCCAGGATTGGCGCCAGTGAAGTCTTTCCCAAACATTTGGAATTTCTGTCAAGGGTGCCTCCGCGATGTCCTCGGCCTTTTCGAGCGTTAGATCTCCCCGCTGAAGTACACCAGCAATTTCCGGAAATGCTTTTGTGGCTACTCTGTTGGACCCGTCCTTCTGGAATATAAAGTCGAGGACAATGAAGTCTTGAATTGTTAAGCGGTCGGTGTCATTTCACATGAAGTTCCGATCTGGATGGCATCCGTAACGCTACTCACTGGCATCAAACATACCTAGGCATCAAGCATAGCTAGTAGTTGTACATGACACAGGTTTTCCTTCTGACAGTGAAGAGACTGCGGCGGTGCTAACTAAACACAGGTTTGCCTTCTGTTACAAGCTGCGATTGCCCAGAATGTAGCCTATACCGCAGCACTTCTGAAACCTTTTATCCTTTACCGCCGGAGATGGACTGCTGGATTTAATATCGCGGTGTTTAATCGATCTCCCGCAACTGACGAGGACTGACATTCACGTGTCATTGTATACGTCAAGATATCATGAGAATATAATGTTGCAGTTTGATTAAAACAGACTTACTGCTCACACCGTCGGTTTTTGTGCCTACTGCAAGACGCATATCCACATCCAGTGGTTTGCGGTCAAGAGATAACAGCCAAGTCACACTCGGCTGTGTCAATTTCAATATCGCAGAAGAGTTCCCTTTCAAATTGGATAGCCTGTGCTGCGACGGTGAATTTCCTGATGCGAAACCCTTCTTCTTCAGGTGTGATCTGATGAGATCCCGAAAAACCAACTCCCCAAGAAAATCCCGTAAAGCACAGAGTATGATCGCTGCCACATTGTGTGCGTAGAGCTACAACGCCATATTGAAGACTGCCATCTGCCCTTGAGAGATGGCTCATCCACTCATGGTCCATGTTTGCGTCTGGGAAGGCGGCTGGAAACAGTTGCGAATGTCACACGCCAGACGAATGGATGCAGAGATGCGCACTGCTCAGCCGAAACTCAATTTTCTGAAGAGTTGTTGTAAGGAAAATGCCCCTGGACGTTGATGTCACCAACTGATTGTAACAGCCTTGGGAAACTTACCTACACTATACTGCCGGCTCTAATAATATCAAGGGCAGTGGCTTGGTACTTCATAAAATTGGTGGCGACGGCACTCGTCAACAGAAAGGATCTAGTAAACAGTAAACACAGTTAGGACGATAATGCTCAGCGACTCTACTCAGAACACAAACTCACTAAGTCTGAATCCAATCTCAAAGACGATCCCTGGGACCAGAATTAACGCATGATGTTTTAAAGCCAAGGACGCCATCATGAGAGAATATGTTACGATGACAATTCCCGAAGCAAGTAGCAACGTTGGCCCATATGTAACAAAACGCTGGCCGACAAAACCTCCTTTCAAGACATTCAGTGCATCAGATCCGACAATGAAGAGCAGATGAAAAATACTCACTGAAAAGCCCAAAGTTCAACAGAGTCAATCCACGAAATATTACTATTGGACGCGGTGTAGTCTACCAGGTGGTCTTGATAGTACCATAGCTGAAATGTTCCAAACGCCATTGATTGACCGAACGCTGCGAACAACGTAAATAAGTCGCCCAATTCGGCCAAATATCCTTTAATTAGGCTCCTTCCACGAAGAGCGGTAGTGGCACCGGCGCATGAGGCTTTTCTAGGTCAACAGATTTCAATGTATTAATTTGGCGTGCCAAATAGTAGAAAGTTGAAGAGGGTTGGTGTGCTGCCATATATAACTTCCTCTCTCTGGAGCGGCCTGACATGCAGGCAAAATATGCAAAGTGCTATCATTGATACTATCCATCGTAAGATGACAGACATGTGACCTATGATACTGCGTTTCCGCATTCTCTGATTACTAATACTAACTTATGACACTATCTTCACGGTCAGACTCAATGCCCAGTGAAAAACGGTCCTAGCCATATCTATGGCAAACGACGGTAATATGAGAAATGTGCCAACAATATCGCGAGAGCTACGCAAATCGGGAAAGTGGAATGTGCCGTTGATCCATTGAGTAAAAATCCGTTGAACATTGGTTGAACATGTTGAAATTCTTTCAACTGCGGCTTGACTTTGCTCAATATTTGAACGTTCTGAACGTTTGAGCATTCTTACGCATCAGCTGCGCACGCACCATTACTTCGCGCGCGCAATGACGTCGACACACAGTGGGCCAATTATGATATATATATTGGGGCATTCCATCCCCACTCAACTCACCTGAGCTTTCTTCTTCCCCTCCATCATCTCCTCCTCTCAGCAAAACCTTGCTGTCGACCTCGACCATCCCGGCACCGTCTGACGCATGACTATATATATGCGCGCATTTTCAGACATCGTGAGTTGTCTGGCATCGTCAGGTTCATTCTCGGACTGTTTTACATCATATCAGAAACATTTCTGGCTTAATATCATTGTCCCGATTCAACATGGCCACGAATTCGGTAGCTGTCATGGTAAGTACTGTCTACTTGCCTGGCGAGCACATCTAACAACGATATGTTTCAGTCAAGGACTCCCAGAATGTGGACATTATGTGTTACTAGGACGTGCCAGAAGCTGGGCTACACCATCCAGATGCGCGGGCGGGGATGTCAGATTGGTGTATAGAGTACACTGTTATTGCATTTGTAATTCTATTGCAATATAATCGTTTTCACTCGATTTGCGTCGATGTGCATTTACACAGAAGGTCAATTGGGAGCTACTACAATATACTAGAATCTACGCTATGCAAACACGCTCTATTCTGCAATATCTCGCTCGATGCGAGTCGTTGAAAATATCATATAAGTCTCATCCGTCTCCCCAAATCGACGCAAATATTGTCGCGATATTTCGGTCGGTTTCCGTCGATACGGCTAGGACCGTTTCTCACTGGGCTCAATGACTCAGACCACTGGCATGCACAAGGCGCTTCGATCGCCGAGGGCTTTCCGGGTTACACGTTACACCACGAAATATATTAATACATATGCACTTCGCATACGCGTAAAGTGCCACCTGGGGCTCCGTAGGTCAGTGTGCTTCACTTGTGGGAACATCATTCAACGGCTTACATGAACTTAATGTTTACATGTGAAACCGACTCCATCAATCCCTCCTTACCCAGTCGTCGCGTATACTCCTTGTTCCAGCATAGCCGAGTCGAATCTTGGCCTCGTCTATGTCCGGAATTTCAAACTCTGGGTGTTCAATAGGTCATATTAATTCACGCGCACCACTCACCATATGACTCATCATGACAAGGTATCTCTGATCTCCGAGGATCGCTATGTTCAGCGGAAGTGGGAGCTGCAGAGTCCGGGACCAGTAGCAGCGAGCACATCGATGACGAAACGTTTGATAAGACAAATCTACGCGTAGGGCCTTGCATCGCTCGGTTTGAAGTTCCCAAGGCCGGAGGACTGCTTTGGTATTGGTTCAAAAGGGTCGCTCTTGTGGTTCAACATGACCCACCTCCATATCGAATATCACGGTTACTTCACACGAATACTTTCCTGTCGCACTAGTAAGCTCGTGTCCGACTGATTGTGAGTACTGGGATGACATGTTTCATCCATTCAGGTCGGCATTTCCGCAGAGCGCCCAACTTAAGCGGTCATCATCATCATGGAACAAGCAATCTTGATTATACATCGTTCTTTGACTTCCTCATGAATGAACGCCAAGCTTATGAGAAAATCCCGGGCGATAGATTCAACATAGACGCGTGCGTTTGTCTCACTTGACACATACCACCCTCCATTATTGACGACATCCCCAGTCTTAAGGGAGTGAACATCGGTGAAGTGGCTGATTCACATGGCGCATTCTTAAAAGATTTAGATTTATGCGATCATATCGAATTCGGAATCAGCAGCAAGGACGCCAGGATGATAACAATTAGAACACGAAAGCTCATCGAGTTGTCATTCCTGGCCTTGTTAGACTCTAGAATCGATTATCGAGGGGAGAATACTAGCGCTTATATGGCAAGCGTCGCCCATGACGCTTGGATGATTTCCGGCGAGGTTTGTGACACCTGTCTTATGTCCAGCTGGCTCACCCCCAGTATTTAAGGATGAAACTGAAGCTCGTGGTTCATTGGTGCATTCACCTTCAATGGTTGCTAATCGTGTGTAATACCACCTGGACCTACGCGGACCTTCATCGTACGAAGCCTGGAACTCCGACCAAGTTGGAACGTCACCGAGAAATTTTCCAGGCAGTCTCTCGACCCGACGGGACTGGACACAGACAAGGTCGTGTATTTGGAAGGCAATCTAGACAAAGATTACTTTGGGCTGTCAACTGACACGTTCAACGAAGTGAGCACGGCCTTTTTGTACAAATAAGCGAGGCTGATCTCGTTTTAGATGGCTAAAAACGTCACCCACATTATTCACGCTGGTGAGGAATCAACTATCTTATTTCTCATTCGCACTGAAAAGCTTGTAGCTTGGCCAGTGGACTTTACCAAACCCCTTGCTGCATTTGATCATGCCATTCACGGTCTACGGAACTTGGTGGACTTCGCCATTTCCTCGCCCTGGCAAGTTGCGCCTTGATTACTTTTCACAAGCACAATCGGTGTATTGAGTGGTGAGTTACTTTAGTAATTCGAAATTTGCTGAATCACTGACATTTTTGGCAGGTCTCACGTCGTCGAGCACTGCAGATGAGGCTCTGATACACGACTCCAGTATATCGTTGGCGCGGGATATATCGAAAGCAAATGAGTTGCAGAGCACGTCTTGGCAGCGGCTGCTGATGCCACGCGACTGAAGTCATTGATTGTTCGCCTAGAGCAAGTAACTGGAGGGCGGTTATATTGATTGTCATCAGACTTTCGCTGACCTTTTTAGACTGTAAGTTGGCTTCCAGTTGACGTGGCGGCAGCATCGATGGCGGAGATGCTCAATTCATCCCCTGGCTCGTATCACTTGACACATCCAAGTCCTTGTTTCATGGACTATTCCGATGCAGGGAAGCTGCTCGTATCATGAATGTTCCGGCTTTGGGTATGGATGAAAAATGGAACGGTTTTAAGATGAGTTGGGGAGTGATTTGACTTGGTGTGCAGACGCGTGATCAGCTATTCATTTGGTCAGGATTGGTGTCATAATGCGAAAAATATGAGTTGGAGGGTAGAGAATGGTACGTGAGTCAGTTACTTAGTGAGACTGTCCGATCCGACCCGGTGGCCGTTCTTGCCAGTGTGCGGCCACGATATTAGTGGTTCCAACTTCCGAGCCTTGCGATGCAATTCTTTGAACAACGACTTCACTCGAGATGTACTTCAGGGCTTCAGTGTTTGAGTGATCATACTTTAGTAGGCAAAGTATCAGCGTGCTCGATATCTAACAGTATTTTCAGGTGTCGGCGTCCGTCTTGCATGATACTACATACAAGCTTCCAAGTGTGCAATTGATCACGCTACTAGCTAGTCGCCCAGTTTGCCTAGCCCATCTGTCAATGTTCCTCTCCTTGAGATCCCACTCGACCAGCTCTTCGGCCCCCCTCGCAACATTCATGGTTCCTAGAGCTCTCACATTCAACAAGTGCTCGTTTGTAGACGCTTCAACCGCACTGCTGCTGCTACTACATAGTTGGCGCTCATGTACATCAAAAGTGACATACCAAGCAGGCATCGCAGCTTCTCACACCAGTAACCAACCTGATGCTGACGTTTTCGTCCTCGATTGTACTGCCTCTTTTCATTGCTGGCGTATCGAGTATGAACATTAATGATCGTTTCCTTTTTCAATCTAATACATTTGCTTGTAGTTCACAGAATCAACACATCTCCACTACAACAAAGACACCAATGCCTTCCTTCGCTCATCCAGGAACCGGAAGGACAATATCATTACCGTAAACACTAATTAAGAAGCAAGGACCATGTGCGATAACAAGACAGGTATAAAATATCAAGTGTTGGATTTACGAGTCTGGGAGAGGTATTCCTGAATGCACAGGTCAGGTCCCGACCCATCAAATAATAAAATACACGTACCCATACCAGCAACTCGCCTTCATATAAAATAGCGAGACAGGCACGCAGACCCTTTGAACACCACTGCATTTCGAGCCAATACAGGAGATGATCATACCAGAAGGAATGGAATACGGGACCGAGCTTGACGTCCCATGGACGTGGTGCTTGCGCGAGATGGATGGCCCAATTGTGGCATGCGTACTTGAGAGCGTCAGAACCTAATTGACTTCCTTCTCGTCCTTTGTTGGCAACATTTACGAAGACCTTCATGGCACGGATGATCTCCACGTCCGGCAAATGATATTGTGGCGTAGAATTGTTGTTGTGCCTTAACGCGAGGAACACCGGAAACATCAAGAAATCCGGCAAACTCTTGAAATGCTGGATCACCTGGAAGGCTGGGAGGCAAGGCAAATCTGGGACAATCGGGTACTTGCTGACCGCTTCCAATGCACTCCAGAATTCGATAATTGTCACCCAGACACCCATGAACGGCCATGCTTCAGCATGTGGTGTCTGCAGCCAGTCTCTTCCGCTCTCTGTCTGCAACCAGTCTTCGCCATGATGGGTCTGCAGCCAGTCTCGCCCACCCTCGGTCTGCAACCAATTTCTTCCGCTTTGTGTCTGCAGCCAGTCACTTCCGCTCTCTGTCCCCAACCAGTATCCGCCACCCCCGGTCCGCAGCCAGTCTCGCCCATCCTGGGTCTGTAGCCAATCTCTTCCGCTTTGTGCCTGCAGCCAGTCTCTTCCACTCTCTGTCCACAACCACCATTCGCCATTGTTGGTCCGCAGCCAGTCACGACCAGCCTGGGTCTGCAGCGAGTCTCGCCCGGCCTGGGTCTGCAGCCAGTCTCGCCCGGCCTGGGTCTGCAGCAAGTATCGGGTGTCCCATGACTCCAGCCAGTCTTGCCCGGCCTGGGTCTGCAGCCAGTCTCGCCCAGCCTGGGTCTGCAGCCAGTTTCGCCCAGCCTGGGTCTGCAGTGAGTGTCCCCCGACCCGGGTCTGCAGCCAGTTTCTTCCAGCCTGGGTCTGCAGCCATCGTAGCCCGTATGAGGTATTCAGCCAGTTTCCCCCGGCTTGGCTCGGCAGCCAGTCTCGCCCGGCCTGGGTCTGCAGCCAGCTTGTCCCATCCTGGGTATTCAGCCACTGTTGGGCGGCCCATGACTTCAGCCAGTCTTGTCCAGCCTGGATCTGCAGCCAAGCTTGCATATCCCCGCTATTCGGCAACTGTTGGGTGGACAATGACTTCAGCCACTGGTAATCCTCGGGCCGGGTCTGCAGCCAGTCTTTCCCAGCCTGGGTCTGCAGCCATTCTCGGGCGGCTGATGACTCCAGCCATTCTCGGGCGGCTGATGACTTCAGCCAGTATTGGGCGGCCCGTGACTTCAGCCAGTCTTGTCCAACCTGGGTCTGCAGCCAGTCCCGTATGGGCTGGGTCAGCAGCCAGTTTCGCGTGGCGTGGGTCAGCAGCCAGTTTCGCCCGGCCTGGCTCTGCAGCCAGTCTCGCCCAGCCTGGGTCTGCAGCCAGCCTTGCCCACCCTGGGTATTCAGCCAGTGTTGGGCGGCCCGTGACTTCAGCCAGTCTTGTCCAGCCTCGGTCTGCAGCCAACCTTGCCCATCCTCGGTATTCAGCAAGTGTTGGATGGACCATGACTTCAGCCGGTTTTTTCCGGGCCGGGTCTGCAGCCAGTCTTCCCCTGCCTGGGTCTGCAGCCATTCCTTCCCAACCCCGTTTTCCAGCCATTCTGACCCGCCCTCAGTCTCTAGCCAGTCTTTCTTGCCCTCGGGCAGCAGGCAGTCTAACTCGGGCTGTGCCTGCAGCCAGCATCGCCCACGACTTGTGTGCAGCCAGTCTTGGATGTTCTGGGTCTGCAGCCAAGCTCGCCCGCCCGGGGTCTGAAGCCATGTTCCTTCCTCCTCGCTATTATCCACAATTGGCATCCACTCTCCTTCACTATACTCGATCAACATCCAGTCTCCCCCGCTCTGTGTCTGCAGCCAGTCTCCCCCGCACTGTGTCTGCAGCCAGTCTCCTCCCTCGCGCGTGGCCAGCAGCCAGTCTCGTTTCGCGTCTTCAGTCTGCAGCCATTTTGTCCCGGCCTGGGTCTGCAGCCAGTCTCGCCCGGCCTGTGTTGCTAGCCACCCACTATGGGGTAGCCAATCTGTCGTATCTGTGGTCTGCAGCCAGCTTTGCCCGTCCTGGGTCTGCAACCAGTTCCTCCCGGCCTCGGTATCCACCCAAAGCATGTAACCACGAGCTGCGTCAGTCTCAATCCACTCTTTCGCATGCTCAGTCTGCAGCCAACTTTTCCCAGCCTGGGTCTGCAACCAGTTTTGGCCGCCATGACTATGCAGCCAAAAACAACAACTCTTAAGCCAAACTTTCCCATTCTCGGTCTCCAGCCAACCATGTCCACCCTCTGTCTGCAGCCAGCTCTCCCTGTTCTTGTCGGAGAATAAATCTGCCTCAGCCTCGTCGTCCAGCCATCCCCGCCCGACCTCCGTCTCCAGCCAGGCATGCCCATCCCGGGTCTCTAGCCAGCATCGTACCACTGAAGCGCGATCTCCTCGAACCCATAGCAGACCTAAAAGAACTTGCAGCGGCTCCAGCGGCTGAACGAAGGACGCCAATGACCACTTTAAATCCTCGGGGTCCCCAGATCGTATAATGTTGCTATGTCTCTTCAATTCTACGAGCCCATCCAAGAGGGCCGTGCTTGCTGGTATCTCGTCTATCATCAACCGTAACGAGGAATAAGCGAGGATGGAGTGGGGCGCGATATATTGTAGGTTGGGAAGGCTGCAATTCGAGGGGTTGCAAACATAATCACGAACGGACGAGTGATAGATATTCACGGGAAGACTGCTGTCGGTAGGAATGTCCATGATGGACCGTAGCTGCACAAGCGTTGTCTCGACATCGTTTCCCTCACCAGGGCCAAGAAGTTTCGATATTTGTGACGCCGGAAGAGGGTCTGCAAGGGTGGCCACAACGGACAAGTGCATGTATGCCCGATTAGGGTCAGCGCATGTTGAGAGGATGCGGTCGTACAATCTGTATACCTCTGTGCCGGGTAGCAGGTGGCTCGTCAAGTCAAGCATGATCTGAAGCCGACCTCGGGGATCATTGTGTCCATCGTCGATAAACTTCATCATCGTAGACGCCACGATGAAACGTCTGCCTGCTCGGGTCGCTAATTTCACTAGTTGATCCCGCGTTGGCTGTGGGAAATCGCGATGATGATCTCGCAGGTCTGCGAAGGAATGGTTGAAGAAAACATAGATATCATTATCCACGTCTGCGCCGTCTAAGGAGATGATGTCAGGCATGCCATCCCCAGAGGTTTTCACTGGTATCTCGCACACCAGCGGGTGCACCTCTTCATCCTCCATGGCTCTACGGACATGCGCTTCCGAGCGACTAGTGAGCAGAATGTGAAGCTTTGGCAGATCAGGTTCACGAAGAGCTTGGCCAAGCAGTGTGATCAGTTCAACGAGCTCCGCTTTGGAGGTACATTCATCGAGGGCATCAATGACGAATGACAACGGCGGACAATTCTGTTGTCTTTGGCGAAGCTTCCGGAGAGGTCGGAGAAACAACGCCTCCATCTGATCGCGAACAGAACTGTTGGGCTCTAGAACGGCGGGATTTTCAATGATAGCTTTGGATACGTCACTCCGAACGGAGGGGAAATTCTTGGCAAGCTGATAGGCGAGGGTTGCGAAGAAACATCCAGTCGTGCGGCGGTTCGTGTTCGTGCGCGAGAAAAAGAATGTTCCTGCCAGCCGTTTTTCAACAGTCGTCACCTCTGATGCTTTCAGACCTCTCATCCTTTCAGCTACGGTGAATGCGACAGCAGACTTTCCTACACCCGCCGTGCCATGCAGCCAAACGAGTTGGCTTGTCTCTGGATTGTCTAAAAACTCGTAAATGTGCTTGAGAAGTGTCGTTCGGGTATCTTTCAGACATTTCGGATGGGGCAGACGTTCACGGGAGTCGTATACAGCACCATGCACAGCGACCTGGGATAGCTTCTCCCAAGCTTTTTCGGCTGATGATGCATGAGGTGAGCACGAGAACCAGGATAATACTTTATGGAGATACTGACGTAGATCTGAGTAACTCATTTGTCAAGGTTGATCGATGATCATCAAACGTGAACAAGTCTAAACTGCAGATTGGATCCTTTGCCGATGGTCGACAGAAGGCTTTGGGATAAGTCGAATGGATGGATGTTTCAATTAAGTTCTAATCACGGTTTTAGGGTTATGGCAAGCTCGTTGGATGATGTGGAAAGCAGATAGGGCAAGGGGACGCTTGTCTGGTTGCAGAACACGAGGCTACACGAGGCTGAGCGCTGGTTTGTGGTCTCACGCCAACCAAGTACACAGGATTGGCTCACCGAATTAGGTTTGGACAGGCGGTACTCACAGATGGGCCTTCGTCAGGTTTATGTCTCGCTCGCTTGCCAGAACCTCATGCGTCCAAGCCTCCTGGATTCATCGTTCAAATTCTGGTTCTGTCTTCCGGTTCTTGCCATGAGTTCGGCCAGCTGATTGTGACGATACACGGCTAGAGGTATTGGGCCCAGCGTTACGATTTACAGTTATATGTCGATGTGACTGACATTTTCTAAGCACATAAGTAGTACTTCGACTCCGAGTTGGTCACTGTTCTCATTGGCTTACGCAATCCTTCATGAATCCTGCCCAATTGAAATTCGGAAGCAGTTCTTTGAACAACTTGAACGCTGCCTTCACTCCTGGCCTTACAATGAGCATCGCGGAATTCCTCATACTCGAACTGGCCTTTCGACTGGCGCCATATAATCCCACTTGCGAGCTTGAGCAAGGTTGAGAAAGATACGCAACTATAGAAGCACTTCCGAACTGAATGTACCAGTGGCCCAGGCGCCAACTGGATTACTGATGAAGAGAATGATGGTGTTCAAAATTCAGTGCACGTCCACGGTTATCGATTGGTCTTACCATCTCTCATCGTTCCTCCTGGGCATCTCGTGTATGAAGCCAAATGGATGCTCATGGTAGAGGCAAGTACTAGGAACAAGATACACACTTGTCTGTTTGAAGCTGGACGGTCTGGCGTGACTGTGTTTTATGTGAGCGTCTATGAACATGTGCGTGTCGCTTTCGGGACTCCAATATCTGCATTACGATATACAGTATCAATTCCAGGTACGCAATGATCGAACTGCTACACCTTGCGTTATACTGATAGCCAAAGCGTTTTACTAGCCCATCCGAGTCGACTATATGTACTTCAGGCTGCATATCTGTCCCCCAAGGTCGTCCGATGCCCTAAGTAATATCTATCAGTCAGGCATCATGTTAGTGTCTGATGACACTCACTTGTTTCCACTGCTTATCGAGCCTCAAAGTTCTATGCGATCACCACGGATGCTGACACGACCTTATTGACCCCGAGGTGTACACGACGTGAGAGACATTGGACCATTATCGTCGGCAATCAGCTGCTGCCAGTGAATATGACATTTTGAAGACTTCAGGTATGAATATCAATGCATTGTACGATTGGCGTATATCTACTTAAATGATGCCATTCAGATCTCGAATACTACTAGTTCCCTCCAGTCCTCGCGTATCAACCATGCTACAGCTGCCTGACCTGCGAATTTCTGACAACACGCAGCTCGCTCTCGGTACTACGGCTTGTCTTGGAGTGGTGGTAGGATTGATTGCTCGGGCTTACCTTCCCAAATCAGAGAGTGGTCTTCCTCTTCCACCCTCCCCTCCCACTTGGAGACTTCTGGGTCACTTCATACCCCCTCGCAAGTAAGTTTCGCGTTTCACTCATTGCTTTTGATATGAATTATTTGCCATCGCTGCTCAGAACATTTCTCACTGTAGCGGAATGGATTGACGAGCACGGTCCCCTAGTTACCATTCGATTTGGAACTGAGAAAATCGTGATTATCGGCCGTCACAGTGTCAGTCCCTTCAATCCGAATTGTCTTATCGAGACTCAATGGTGTGGCAGGCCGTGGTGGATATTATGGAGAAGCAGGGCGGCTCGCTAGCTGACCGTCCTCGCCTCGTTGCTGCTGGAGAAATCCTTAGTGGCGGACTGTCCATTATCTTTACACCTGCTGGGAGCATGTGGCGTCGGATGCGTAGGTTCGTTTGTTGCGCGCGGTACTGCCCGAATAGCCCCGAACTTACTTTTCAATGTGATGTAGAGCGCTTCATACGCATCTCCAGCCTAAAGCAGCTGAGGAATATCAGCCCCTGCAGATGTCACACGCAAAGAACATGGTCCTCGACATTCTCGAAGATCCAGCCAACTTCTACAACCATGCGGCAACGTAAGCACTGTCCTATGGTATCATAGTGGGTTACTTATGAGTATTTCGAAGTTTTGCTGCGGCGACGGTGATGAAAGTTGCGTATGGGAAGACTACGCCTGCATCTGCTACTGATCCTGAAGTAAGACAAGCCCAAGAGCACTTTCAAATACTTCGTACAACCCTACGCCCTGGTGCTTATTTGGCTGACTTTATCCCGTGGCTCAAATACCTTCCTTGGTATGCCCAAGACTTAAAACGGAGGTTTGAGAAGGACAAGCAGATCCATACTGATCAGCTGAACCGCGTAAAACGGCAAATTGTGCGCGTTGCCTTGCCGATCTTCACGTACCCTCTGAATCGTTTCACAGCAAAGCAATGCGGATGTTGGCCCTTCGTTCATGAGATATATGCTAGAAAACACCGAACTCCATGGTTTGACAGAGACGGAGATGGCTTTTCTTGCTGGCGGCTTCTTTGCTGCAGGATTTGATACGGTATGGTGTCTTATGTTGTTGTTCTCGAAGTTATGGATTGAAGTCCCCAGACTACTATGGCAATATGCACTGTGCTGATGGCAGCCGCATGTTTCCCCGATGAGCAAGCTAAAGTTCAGGCCGAGATTGATGCGGTCGTCGGAGGGCACCGAGGTAAGCCTATTTTTATTTCAGGTGTATCCATTCAAAGATTTGTCTCCGCTACAGTACCGACCTTCGCTGACGAAGAGTCCCTCCCTAATCTGCATGCCTTCATCTCTGAGGCTTTGAGATGGAGACCGCTGGTTCCTAGTGGTGGGTACCATCCTTGCCAGCTTCAAGTTTCAAGTTCACAACGTTCACATTGCAGGATTGGCTCACCGAACAACTAAGGAGGTGGTTTGGGCAAGTACTTTTTGACTTGCTAATTGAGAGAAGAATCATCTGGCCCATCAGAGGAACTATTGTATTCCAGCTGGGACTACGGTAGTTGGTCATCATTGGTTAGTTCTTCATGATAAAAAGTAATAAGGGCCTGACATATTCTATGCCAGGTCCATCTCTCGAGACCCAGACGTCTTCCCGGAACCTCATGCGTTCAAGCCCCAGCGCTGGATTGATGACCAAGGACGCCTTAGGGACGATCTTAAATTCTTTGTCTTCGGGTTTGGTCGTCGGTAAAACAACCGTTCTTTTGGACACCCAATTTTCACTGACCGTTGTTCAAGCATATGCCCCGGTCAACACGTCGCGACCAGGTAAAGGTTTCCCTCTATGCACATGACTTTCCAAGTTCATTTCAATTGTTACAGATCGGTGTTCATAACCTCACTTCTTAATCTTTGGGCTTTCCATCTGACTCTGGATCCTACGAAGCCGCTGGATGACATGGGATTCATGAGGGGTAATGTCGAGTCGTGCACTGTTGAATTTAAGACGAGGGTTCCGGAGACCGAGCTGAGGCGCATAATGCAGAATTACTAGAGTCCCGACGTCGTGTGAGAAACCCTCGAGACGAGGGAACTACTCCCAGCATATAACGAGTCTGAGGTATTGTACAATTTGTACTGTAGCCGAACTGTAGCTTAGGCTATGCAAAATTCCTTGATTATCGCGTTGCACTGCACAGTTAGATCAAGGTCGGTATTTCAAAAGAGGGCCCAACTTACTTAACCACACAAAGTTGGTCTTTACATAAACCACCACAGCGAACACACAAATGGCCGTACGTCGAGTTTTCGAGCGTCTTTTCCTAAGCTGATCATCCTCAAGGATCTCATGGTGATGGATGAGGATGTTTTCAGCGATGTCGTCCCCAGCAACATCGTTTCGCGTCAGGTTAGCAGCATGCCCTCTATATGACACAATACTGAAATCGAACTGCCGCGTGTGATTCTGTGATTCTCAGCAAAGCGAGGGGGCGGACGACGGCGAGAGCGAGTACATTGACGAAGGCATGAGTGCTCAGGAAGATGAGCTCGTCAGTGATGACGAGCAGGAGGTGCGTCCATCACACTATCCCGCATATTCACTCTGACCTCTTATGTTTTTAGGGACCCGTCGCCAGCAGCTCCTCTCCATCAAAGCTGGCAAAAATACAGCAAACTGTAGAAAGGCAGCAAAAGAAGCGAAAGCGCAAGGCTGAAGAAGGTCAACTCTATGTCAAACGGCAGGAAATGGACAAAGCGAAAGTGAGTATCCAGCGCGTAAGTACTAGGAGGCCGTTCTCTTATCATGATCTAGATTACCGATGCTGTGAAACGATACTCGTATCTTCTCGGTCAGACCGATCTTTTCAAGCACTTTGTCGATATCAAGGCGCGTTACACCACTTGAGTTATATCTTGTTCTGCTCACCGTTCCGCAGAAAACTCGCGATCCCCAATATGCTGCTTTGCTAGACTCACAGCCGAAGCCAAAGGGCAGAGGCAGAAAGAAGTCAGCGTGCGTCACTCGCGTTTATTCAGTAATACCACCGACTAATCCTTTGACTAGTGACCAGAACGCACGTCATCGCAAGTCTGAGAAGGAAGAAGACGAAGAGTTGCTGAAAGACGGTGGATTCGCTGCGGATGAAGATGACCAACCCTATGTCTTTGAAGAGTCGCCGAGCTGTACGTGTCTCTCAAACCCGCGACTGTCCAAGCTAAACCATCATTTCAGACATCAATGGCACGATGAGGACATACCAACTTCAAGGACTTAATTGGATGGTCTCATTGCACCACAATGGGTTGAATGGTATCCTCGCCGACGAGATGGTATGTGGTATCCGAACTCCTAGTACTTCACTTTAATCCTCGCTGAACCATACAGGGTCTCGGCAAAACATTGCAGACTATCTCTTTCCTTTCATACTTGAAACATTACCGCGGTACTAGTGGTCCCCATCTCATCGTTGTCCCAAAATCCACTCTTCAAAACTGGGCTCGCGAGTTCCAACAATGGACGCCGGACGTGAACGTCGTCGTTTTGACCGGCTCAAAGGAAGAACGCGCCGAGATTATAGCCAATCGACTCATCCCTCAGGATTTTGATGTCTGCGTTACCTCGTATGAAATATGTCTCATCGAGAAGTCGGCACTTAAGAAATTCTCCTTCGAATACATCGTGATCGACGAAGCGCACCGTATCAAAAATGTCGACTCCATCCTCGCTCAGATCGTCCGCGCGTTCATGTCTCGTGGACGTCTGCTTATCACGGGAACGCCGCTGCAGAACAATCTCAAGGAGCTGTTTGCGCTTCTGAACTTCATTTGCCCCGAAATATTCTCGGATTATGCGGATTTGGATTCTTTCCTACACAAGGACGATGAGAGTGCAGAGGGGGAGGAGGACAAGAGCAAGAAAGTCGTGGAGGCTCTTCATAAAATTCTTCGTCCGTTCCTGTTGCGGCGTGTCAAGTCCGACGTGGAGAAGAATCTTCTGCCTAGTGCGTTCAATCGATACAGACATGTGCTTGCGCTGATGTTTCCTTTCCCGCAGAGAAAGAGATTAACATTTACGTTGGCCTGACGGAGATGCAGCGGAAGTGGTACCGTTCAGTGCTCGAGAAGGACATAGATGCTGTGAATGGTACGCTATTCCTCAACTTTATTCGGTTCACGCATCTCACCTGCTCCAAGGCTTGACTGGAAAGAAGGAGGGCAAAACCCGACTCATGAACATGGTCATGCAGTTGCGTAAAGTGACATGTCACCCTTACTTGTTTGACGGCGCAGTACGTCCGTCCTCATTTCTTCTAGACGCTCGCCATTGAATCTATCTACTTAGGAACCTGGTCCTCCGTATACTACTGATGAGCATATCATCCAAAACTCGGGAAAGATGGTCATCCTCGACAAACTTCTCAAGTCCATGAACGAGAAGGGTTCCCGTGTACTAATTTTCAGTCAGATGAGCAGAGTGCTGGATATCCTTGAAGACTATTGTCTCTTCAGGGGTTTCAGTATGTGACATTCAAAATTATCGTCTTCTAGGTTGATTTATGGCTCGTTCAACAGAATACTGTCGTATCGATGGTAGCACTGCGCATGACGATCGAATCGTCGCCATCGACGAATACAACAAACCCGGCAGCGACAGATTCATATTCCTTTTGACAACGCGTGCTGGCGGTCTTGGTATCAACCTCACCTCCGCTGATATCGTCGTTTTATATGATAGCGATTGGTTTGTTGTCCATCTTTGTATCACTCCAATTTGCTCATCCATTTGCAGGAATCCCCAGGCCGATCTGCAAGCCATGGATCGTGCACATCGGATTGGCCAAACTAAGCAAGTCTACGTCTTCCGCTTTATCACTGAGGACAGCGTGGAGGAGCGCATGCTTGAGCGTGCTGCGCAGAAACTTCGGCTAGACCAGCTAGTTATCCAACAAGGTCGCCAACAACAAGCAAAAGGTAAGATTCTGATCAGGGGTCTTCTTTCACAGCGCTCACTGACTTGGTGCAGCTGCCAGCAAGGACGAGCTGCTCGAGATGATCACACATGGCGCTGAGAAACTCATTAACTCAGCTGATGGGTGAGTTACTTGGCATTACACAAGTTTTGTATTTATTGATCACTGCCAATTAGATTCCTTATCAATGACGACATCGATGCTATTGTCCAACGCGGTGAGGAACGTACGGCAGAGCTCAACAGCAAGTATGAGGGTCTCAATCTCGAGGACCTAAATAATTTCAAGTCCGATGCTACTGTGCAACAGTGGGAAGGTGAAGACTTCAGGCCAGGTGTACGTTCTTTCATTTTGACGTGGTCTCGAGCGTTCTGAATCATGAGTCGTTATTCAGCGGAAAGGTCTCAGCTTCAACATGCTATCCCTCTCGAAGCGTGAACGGAAGGCTAATTACTCCGTCGACAATTATTACAAGGAGACGCTTCGGGTTGGTCCGTCGAAGACGGAGAAGGCCCCAAAACTTCCTCGTGCACCCAAGCAAATCCAAATGTACGTTTGACTTTTGTTCCTGCCCTTTCGTGGCAATTGACGTCTCCCTGCAGACAAGATTTCCAGTTTTTCGACCCCGCCCTGGCTCAGCTCCAGGAACGAGAACTCGCTGTGCACAAGGTATGTACTCGATTGATATTCTTCTACTGGGTATTCATTCCACTACCAGAGGCAAAACGGGATCACCGCCACTCTTCGCGAACCAGGACCTGACGACACACCCGAGAAACTCGAAGCCGAGCGCGCAGCTGCGCAAGAATTCATAGATACCGCCGAGCCTCTGACAGAAGATGAGTTGGCACTGAAAGAGAAGTACACCGAGGCTGGCTTCCACGATTGGAGCAGACGAGACTTCCAGCAGTTTGTCCGTGCGCTTGAGAATTTTGGATGGTATTGTGCTTTCTGCTTTTCCGTGAGGTAGTGGGCTGATGGGCGTGCAGGACGGACGACTATGATCTGTTAGCTTCAGAGATACAGGACAAGGACCGGAGACAGGTTAAGACGTACTACATGTACTTCAAGAAGCACTGGAAGGAACTGTCTGGTAAGCATATCGATCAGTTGTATTCTTCCGAATCCCAGCTGACTTGTTTAAATGAAGAACATCCAAGAATTGCTGCACGTATAGCCGAAGGTGAAGCCAAGCGGAACAAGCGATCAAATCTCGAATTTCTGCTTGCGAAGAAGATTGCCTCAGTGCGCTACCCCATGCAAGAGCTCGAGCTCAACTACCCGACGACAAAAGGCAAGGTCTACAGCGAAGAAGCGGATAGGTACCTCCTGTGCCGGCTGAACCATTACGGGATGGGCGCAGATGACATCTACGAACGTATCAAGAAGGATATTATGGAGTTTCCTGTATTCCGCTTTGATTGGTTTTTCAAGAGCCGGACCCCGCAAGAACTGCAGCGTAGGTGTAATACATTGCTAGGCATGATCGAGAAGGAGGCAGAGGCGAGGCAGGCGGAGGAGGTGAAACCGAAGGGCGGGTCGCGAGGCAAGGTATGTTCATCGCTGCATCTCACGTTGCACATCCTGACTTTGGTTATTAGAAGCGTGGAATAGATGATGTGCAGAAGGACGAAACGCCGCAGAAGTCTGGGTCACCTTCGCCCGTTCCTGCGCCGGCACCCAAGAAATCACACAAGAAGAAAAAGACGTAGATAACGGTCTTTTCGTAGTTGTGCGTCCTATTTTAGTCCCTGTAGATTTTGTTATTTTTGTCATGGAGGTACTATATTAAACTTGAGCGAATGCTAGCTATATTTACCAGAGGGTTCATAGCTCGATCTTCTACTCACCTTTGATGTTGCTAAATCTCACACAGGGCTTACTCTTAGGCGACATCTCCAGGAGCGCCTTGCCCAGCACATGTGGATCATCAGTGACTTCTACATGTGTTAACCATCATTCTGACAAGATATGATACGCAGCGGAGTAGATAATCTGCACAGGTGCACCTCGACTGTCCCCTCGAACGTCAGTGGCATGCCTCGAAGTCATTATGTGTTTCGCATTGTCTCAGCGATGGGACTAATCAGTTGCTCAACCATTCAAATATTCGCGTCTTTAAGAAGTTAAAGTTGTTCATCTGACTATGCATACGCACAGAAGAGTCTCCGCACTGACCAAGAGCTCTCGCAGGCCGACGTAGTCTGGCACTGACTGAGGGTACGTACCGGTCTGTATTCCCTCTCTCTTGTACTCATTGCCCCGCATCCTACCGTCTCCGTACATTCAACATCACCCGTCCATGATCCATCCACCACCGATTCAATGTCTGCCTTATGGACAACTTCACTTAGGCATGCAAATCTTCCCCAGTGTACCCTGGCCCATGGAAGTGCCATCCTATAGCTACGACGAGCTGCACACTCATACAATTTTCGTCGTCATAGTTGCTCTACCCAATGGCTTCATGTGTATGCGTCTATTGTAGTCTATTATGCATATATTCACATTTTCCTAGCAGGAACTCGAGTTCAAAATTTCCTTGAGCTGCATTGCCATCTTTTTCGTGGCCCCTGACGAGGACGACCCTGATGGGCACATGCACCCACTGCAAAATACTCCTTTATTATCTTCACTTGGCCTCGATCAGTGACCCCCTGTTCGCTTGCTTTTGCTGAGCGATCATGTATCTCCTCATCCTGCTTGTCCACGGCGTCTCGTATATCCCTCCACGCATCATTCTCATGGTGCTCTTGTTGTCACCACCTTTCTTGTGTATGTGTGTGTATCGCGATTGTAATCATTACACACATTGTGCTACACATAATGAAGAGAAAGAAGAGGAGCCAGATTGACAGGATCTCGCATGACCCGTTGGCATGGCCAGCGAGGGCCTCCAATGTCTACTCCGAGTCTTTCACGGCCTCCTCTAGCATGACATTCACGCTCGCGGGTGCCCCCACACTCGTTATGGCTAATGTAAGTTGACCTCCGAGTCATAGCACTCAATCTACACAAGTCATGTCCCTCACTCACCTCGAAAATGTGTCCGCCGGCCGGAATAAGGATAGTCAGTTCCTCGATCCAGCTTCGCATTCTGCACGCACAACAACCGTGAGATGCGATGAGGTACCAGCCTGAGGAGACGATGCCGCGAAAACCATCCGAATACACACGCAAGTTATTATCAAGTAATGAATGATTTTGCTGAAGACTCTAGAGTAGACAAAACACTGCGAAAGCGAAAACAAGATAACACCAGAGCACAAGAGTATGTACAGACGCAACAGGGCGATTCAGTAATTCCTACACCTTGAAGTACAATATTAATGCAATATCAACAACCCGTGAAACCGTATAGGATGAAAAAAAATACAGCAGGAAGGGCCTATACACCGATATGAATGAAAACTGTCCTCTGTTCAAGCGGCACTTTCGTCATCACATCGTGCGTAGCACGGTTGAGTGCCCATGCCGCCTTCGTGCAGTCCATGACACCTTCATCCTCCAAACCCTCGAACATATTCTCGTAGAAGTTTTTGACAACGTGTTTTGCGAGAGCGTCATTGACCCCCCACAGCGTGCCTACGACGCTCTTGAAACCGGAAAACTGGAGTCCAGCTGCGAGGTGGATGGCTTCGTCAGGCGTTTCCTCATCACCGACGGCGGTATGACACGCCGATAAGAATGCGAATTCAGCTTGCGGAGAATTGTTCTCTATGATGTCGAGTAGCGTGAGGGGTTTGTCTCTCATGGCGAAACGTGAGTTATAAGGCTGCTCGAGGTCCTGCGTGCCGTGACAAGCGAGGTGTACCCAGGTGTTATGTCGCAAAATATTGAGTGCACCTGCTTGTGTGGCTTCGCCTTTTGAAAGCTTAGTGAACTTGACGTTGGGAGGAATCAGTTTTTGTACAAGCTTAAGTTCGCTGTTGACAGCGGGGAGCACACTGCCTTGCCCTGCGCCCGGTTCACCTTGTCCGATCGCTGCGAAGGTCTGAGTGACGCAGGTCTCCATCGTCTGTCGAGACCTGATCAGAGCCGAAAGTGTCGGCGTGTAAGAACAGATGAATATATCCTCCAGGCATGACTCCGGCCCTGAGCGATCTGCCTTCGGCCGAAAGGGGTTAGCTGCATGGAGGGGGATGGACGTAAAGGCTGCTGTCGGACACAACCATATTCGAGAACCGTGCTGCAATTTCAGGTCATGCTGAAGGACATTAACAATGGGGAGCATGATCTCGTCCCATACTATCCGCAAGAGTCTTCGCAACTTCTTCCTTGGCTCCGTTGGGGGCATACGAACTGTGTGCCGGATTGCCGTAGCGAAATCGTCCTTGAGCTGCTCCAGCTCTGTGAGAGTGATGCGTGGGAAGCGAACATGGTGAGGCTCCCCTGACGTCGGGACAACAATGGCGCTGCATGAGGATTTACTCCCAATGAGGATGATAACTGGGCCCTGGCATGCTGCCGCTTGCAGGTCTTTATACGAGGGCGGGAGTAGGAATCGCGAGAAACCTTGAAGATCACGGATTTCAGCTACTACAGCTTCCCATTGAGTCGTAATTCTCCTGTACTGTATTTCTGCCCGATCAGCAACAGCTCTGTCTATGGTGCCTGTGGAACCCTGAGCGTCGGAAAGACGTTTGCTTAGCTCTGAGAACTCGCGAGCCAGTTCGGGATTCGTGAACTCTAGGTCATGAAGTGGAGTCCTCAGGCGAGAGGCCAACGACCACTGTTGGCCACGACCCTGCTCCACGAGTTCGACTGCGCGTCGTATATCATTACGGCGTATGGCACACGATGCTGCATCTACAGGGAGTGTTCTGGCATTTTTGAAGGCAGCCTGAGCTTCGCGCCGTGAAGTTGTCGATAACCGTGTTGCCACATGAGCATCTAGAAGCTCGAAATGTGTTGAGTAAGCCTCCAGTGCAGATCCATGACCATACTGCTCCGCTGCGACAGTCCAATTATATACCTGTTTGATACGATCTGGGAGTCCTTGAGTGGGGTGTCGTGATCCCAGTCTGAAGTTCTCCACTGCGAGTGACAAATCAGCAGGGTTGTCTTGCATCTTGTGACGAGCCAGATAGGCCACCTGCAGCCACATGAAGCTCAAGGATTTATCCGGGTGCAGTGAGGGTAATGATGCCAATGATTCTTGGCAGAGTCGAATGGTCTCCTCAAATTCTTCATTCTTCTGAGTTTGTATGAACCGAGAGCAGATCGCCGAGCTCAAATTTAGAAGATTTCTATGGCGCTCGGGATGATCGGGCCGCCTTACCCGAAGGGATTCACGATACATCTCAATGGCCTCGTCAAGATCCTCGCTGACATGAGATTTGTCATATCTTTTTTGGAGTGCAAGGGCAAGGTTGTTAAGCGTATTATCACGGGATGGATGCCCAGGTGGGTTTAATGTCAGCGCTTCGCGATGGAGGGTGATGGCTCGATTGATGTCATTGATGTTATGGTGTTTGAAGAAACGGGTGAGAAGGGCGTTCCCTAGGTTGTCCAATGACTCATCGCGAGATTCGTGCCCAACAGGGCGCAGGCGCAGCGCTTCTTCATTCAAAGACATGGCCTCGTCGAGGTCATCATATTTGTCTTGGTTTTCGAAGCGGTACTGGAGAGTGAATGCCAAGTTATTCAGACAGCCACCACGACCAGTATGGCCCTCGGGACACAGAGAAAGAGCTTCACGAAAAAGTTGTACGCTCTCGTCCATATCATCAATGATGCCACTTGCATGAAAGCGTAATTTGAGTGCGAGCGCAAGATTGCTGAGGGCAATGGGACGGTATTTATGGCCCAGAGGACAGAGCTCGAGCACCATTCGTAGAAGGTGGATGCCTTCATTAGATGCATCCTTTGGGAAATTGTTGCATTGTGCGATCAGATAATTGACTGCGATGTCTACGAAGCTGCTACGAAGGTAGGTGCCCTCTGGACAGAGTGGCAGTAGCTTGCAGCATAGTGGTGTGGATTCCTGAATGTAGACAGCGGATTGCTCCTTGCTGTGGCGCAAGTTCAATGTGAAAATGAGATGAAAGAGTGATATCGTGTGATCGGGGTGACCCTGCGGATGCAATGCAAGGGCTTCGCGGAAGAGAGAAGTGGTGGTATCAATGTCTTCATGATCCGTTCGACCATAACCTACAAGGTGGGCCCACGCGAGGTTGGTGAGAGCCGCTGCGCGGTCAGGATGGTCGACTGGACACTGGTCAAGAACAGACTGATAATGCTCTACAGCATCGTTCAGGTGGGAGACCGTCTTGAGTGTCATGTATTTAGCGAGTTGCGCGTGACCTGCATCTGTGTCTTGAGCAATCTCGCAGTCTATGAGAGACTACAGTTGAAATTCCGTCAGCAAAAGTTAACAGTGGATGCTAGCGTCACTCACATTATAATATGCGCCATCCTGATTGTCACAAGCATGCACAACAACGGCCTTCAACGTGAGGGAAGGGTGGACACCATCAACGGGTGGAAAGGACAGCTCTTCGGAGTGTGAGTAGATGTGCAGGAATCAAAAGTAGGGAACTCACCGAATGGTTCATCTACATGATCGAGCAGCTCATCCCACGATGCTTCGAGTTTCCCAACGAGTTCACCATTGCCCAGCATTTGATCGACCTCATAGGATGCTCTGATCTCCACGGAGAATGCAGGTAACGCCTGTAATGAACTGTAAGCCAAAGATCAGTCTCGAATCGCATCCGAAAGTTTCCATGGACTTTACAGGATCATAATTTCTCCCCACGCTGCAGATTTATCGGATGATAAGACACTGATGGCTGATTTCCAGCGTCTCCTGGAATCGACGTTGATTGATACGTAAATGCTAGGGATGTGCCAGAAGGGGGCGATGAGATTTTTTGCGCTGATGACTGTAGATAGAGCGCAAGGATCACGAAACGGATATAAAGGTGATATGGAATTATTGGAATGACCCACCTTCAAGTCTGATATATTGGCCTTCCCAACTTCCAGGCATGATGGTGCAATATCGCATAATGGAAAGGAGAATCGGGGTGAGCGTAGTGCTGGGTGGGAGACGAGGGGTGGGATATGGGGACCGTAGATGGAGTTCAGCTGAGAGGGGGATAAAAAGAGGTTGGGGGTTCAGGTCATGCTGTGCGTGAAGTTGTCAAAGGCTGTTCGACACGACAGACGCCGGGATGATTGCACTAAGCGCTGAGGACAAAAGATAACCGACTAGAGTCAGCAGGACTTAGCGGAACTCTGGAGAACCTGTGCTAAAAAAAGTGAGCAATGTCAGTCAAATTAGCAGCGAAAGTGGCACTAAGGTAAGTTATGCGAGAGACCTAGAGCGTCATGTGATGGGCTTGCTAAGATCTGGTATGACTCATTCATATTAAGGCAAAATGCAGAATCGAGTGTATTTCGGAATCGTAGGGTAATGCAACAATGCAAATCGCTGAAAATGATGGACACAGAATATACCCGATTCTATACAAGTCCGATTGAGCTGACCTAGTGCCATGGGGGGAGAATGATTGAGGGCGTTATGGGAACACCAGGTACGGTTTGTGAGAGCATGACAGGTCGTGTTCAGATGGGATAGCTGAACGCCAGCAAAGTGTCGACCAGTCCCCGAGAGCGGCGGGTCATGGCATTGAGCAAGGGGAATGGTGTTTGGCAAGTTTCTGCTGGCGGCTTTGGAAAAGCCTGATTTTGCCTGGTCCCCCTTGGTCAGGCCATGGTAAGAGAGGGAAGACAGTCGTCCCTTAGCTGAGTCCTCGGAAAGTTTGTGGATGATATGCATTATGCGTATGAATGCGTCCGTCTTGCCACTGTGCCATGCAAAGCATATCTTTGCCGTTCTTCCGAGCTGAATATCATGTTTCAAGTTGCTCGTATACTGGACAGTGCCAGACACTGTCACGGTGCAGCGCGCCATACTACTCGATTTTTGCCGACGAGACAGTCGATTTGCCTTCCGGCGCAAGTTGGCCGTTTGAACGCAAATGACGTTGAATTTTAATGACAGCTACATACCTACTAAAAAGGTAACATTTTTTTTCGTACGGTGTCGACCCCGAGAGGATGCAGACCAGGTGTTACTGGCCTGCAGGTGGCAGAAAGTTCGCGATATCTAATTGACGAGCAGCAATTACTGCCCCTCTGTTCTACATTGTAGAGAACGTGTTCCGTGTAATGCAGCACACACAATGTATCTTGTACACGGCACACCAAAACATCTCAACAAATTAGCCTGTATTTCACCAAAAAAAAATTGGCCAGGAAAGCAAGCAAAGCAAAGCAAAGCATTACACTAGACTGAAGTACAACAAATAATGGCAGCAAAAAAGAGCCTATATGTGCATAGAAATTATATCATAAATCAAGTCTAAAAAAACCCCTTACAAAACTGATTTAGATGATGATTCCGAGAGAAGAGCATCCAATAGAATCTCGAGACACTCAAGCTCAGATTTCAGATTTGTGAGTGAACCTGGGTAATGATGTCTATGTCGTCACTCCCACCAAAGGTCGTGCGGTGGCTCTCCAAACTGAAGACACGGGATCCAGAGCCAGAGCCAGGTTGAGGACAATCAGTCTCCTGAACGTTCTCCGGCTGTTGGAGCGGCGTAGAATCCGGAGCGTCAACATAGATCTGAAGAATGGAGGCGCTATTAGGCGTCGCATTTGGATTTGGTCGCGCAGGAGGATCGGGGAAATCGGAGAGCGTGGACATGCGTGAGTACTCAGACCCGCTAGTCATGTAGCTCGACCGTATACCGCCTGCAGAGAGGAGCGGCGAATGGATGAACGAGATGGGGCTGACAAGGTCAGCTTCTTCGGCAGCGTCGTAGATCGAAGCATGGGCAGAGTTTCGATAGGAGCCTTGCAGAATGGTTGATGTTCCTGCAGCGTCAACGACATCTTGCCGGATGGGGAGACCTGTGAGATACGTTTATTAGCTACTGATCGAATTTAAGATTAGGAGCCGCGTACCAAAAGTGTCATTCTCTTGTGAGGCCATCAGAAATGAAGATGCTCGAGAGGATTCGATGTCTTCTGGAACACCCGACTCAAAGGGTGCATCGTAAAGCTGGGCCGGCGACTGGGAAACAGTACGGGGATTGGCCTGCACCGGTGAAGGAGTCCTCGACATGTCCATGAAGACATACGTTTGAGATAGATCATCCGATCGTGATTCCCCCAGTCCGCCTGACCTCTGCCCATGGGATAAATCCGAGGCCTCCACATGTAACTCTCCAATCTCGCTCATACTGCGCATGAGGTTGGTGAGCGCGCTTCCAGAATAAGAACTGTGAATATCCGACGGTATACCCCTGCTGGTTTCGCTTGCTTCTTGGTGTTTGACGCTGGATTTTCCACTGGACAGCCTGCTCTGGGGTGGCCTGTAGAACAAATCTTGAAATTCGTCCAGATCATCGTGATCCAGAGCTGAAATGACAAGATGTGCGGAGGTGATGCTGGTGGTGGGGCGGTGGGCATCAGGGGGGTGGGTGGAGTCCCTGCCTCCGACTGCTGTCACGGATATCAGACTCGGAGGACGAGTGGAAACGATCACAGAATCAGAAACGGGTATCCGGGAGTGGCTATTACCGGAGGCCATGGACGTCATCTCTTTAGCCTTCCCTTTGTCTTTGATTCGGCTCAGGGTATCCTGCTGACACGGGATGATGGTTATAGATTGATCCTCGGAGTCGGTTTCCTGCTCGTCACGTGATGGCGCAGCGAACACGAGAGCCTCACCAATACCATACTTCTCAAAGTCAGAACTGCTGATGGATATGTGGTTACTAGATGCGAAATCATGGTCTTCCTGCACAGCACTTGGCGGGACCAAAAGCGTAGGATGGACAGAGTTACTGGGCTGTCGTGCATGCGAGTTCACCGGCTCACTCGATGCAGCAGCGTAAGGATGTGAGATTGCACCTGGCTGCATTGCCCGCGGAGGGAGCCTGTGGCGCATGCTGACGCCACTTGTAGCAATGTTCGGAGGGAGTTGGGGGTCGTAGGCGGATGGATGTGGCCCAGCATAATCAGACACTTTAAGGACATGTTGTAGAGCATGCTCAGAAGATGGATTGTTATACCGAGTATATATGGCACCGGTGGCATATGGATGGCTGGGCATGCTCGTGAGTTCGGGATCATGGCTGGAGCGATCGTCGACAGGAGGAGGGGACGAAAGTGCGATACCGACCCCTTCCCCGCTTGCTGTAGTAGGGGCTGGAGAAATCCCTATGATGATGACGCTTTCCTCACCAGCTCCGTTGTGCGAACCACCCGCAGGGTCACTCAAATGAATAACGTTGGTTTCCTCTGTCGCAGGTCCCAGGGCTGGTCTCTTGTCAACAGGTGTGCCGAGTAAATCACTCAGATCTCCGCAAGGTGCGCATGCTTTAAGCAGTGCAGTTTTGCCCCAGGACTCGTTGCGGACATGGCGGGTGCTTTGAGGATCCGAGAGCGACTTTTGCGAATTGGATTTACCAAGGGAGTGAGATTGTGAGCCCGTGAATGAGTACGAACTAGAGCGCCCGCGAGAATTCGAATGAGTTTGGGAATGAGAATGGGAATGAGATCGGGAGTGCGAAGCACGTGCAGCGTTGACGGCGGGAGCCATGCTCTGACCTCCAAGGAGCGTGCGTGCAGCCAGATATTCTAGGGTCGTGCTGCCCTCTTGCTTGTGCCCAGGACGACTATGACTTCGTGACAATGATCTGGCACGAGCGCGGGAGAGGGAGCGGGTTCGGCTGTTCCCAAAAGAATGCGAGGCCTGGTGTTGCCACCGTTTTCGTTGTGCTTCTAGGACCTCGCCTTCTTCAAGAACTCTGCAGGAGTACTTGGTTACTAGATAACTACCTACAAAAAATGTAGCTTACTGGGTCAACGATGGCACAGAGGCTGACGGACGGAGTTCCTGTTGCGCAGTCGATGGGCCCGGTACAGATTCCTCTTCCTTGGGGCTTGTGTTCCGAACTGGGTCTGGGTCTGGATCTGGGCGTTGTTGAGGCGTGGACGCAGTACGAGGTCTGCCAGATATAGAGGGGCCAGACAGAATATCAACGGCCGACCTGGATTTCAACAAAACATGGTGTTCCTTCCGTACATCATGTGTAGCTGACGACACTTGTGGTCTCCCGCCACGCAGAGCAGGACTGAGGCGCGGTGATGCGCCCTCAGCGACAGGCGTGATTGGTGGACTGACGATTCGTCCGCTACTTCCTCCATATTGCCCATGTGCGCGCTCAGACCTCAGGCGCGGACGTGGAAAGAATAACGCGTCACACCATGTCTCGGGGGATAGCCAGCGATCGACACCTGATACTGGTGGCGTTGATTTTGTGCTCTGTTGCGAAGGCTGCTTGCCGTGTGATGTGGCGGAAAGGTTCGGGGTGGAGACAGAGGGTTTCAGTGGTGATGCCAAGAGACGTGCGTGTTTGTCCAATGCGACAGCACGATGACTGCGAGGGTCGATCGCATAGGTGAGTGCTCGACTACGGCGAGTTTGATTGTGCGAGAATTGAGTATTATATGCGCTTGAATCTAGTTGTTGATGTCCTTGATGAGATTGCTGAGAGATACCGGGTCGAAGAGCGGAAACGGAAACAGAGGAGGATGTGTTTGCATAGGGGTGACTCGAGTGAGCCATGAAGATAGTTGGAGAATCATAGTTTGTGGCCGGGGAGGAAAGTAAAGAGTCCTGGTCGGGTTTTCCATGAAAGTCAACATGCCGAGCAGAAAACTGCTTGGATGAAGAGAGATCCACAGTGTCAATCCGTGGCCGGTGGTGATGGGTATGACTTCTTTGGGATGGTCGTGGTAGTGTGGAGTAGTGTGAGTCAAAGCGATTGCCCTTGTCGGGACTAGAATTGGGAGGTGTCGCAAAATTAACGTTGTCCTGGATTGTACTGTGTTGGGTGGAACTGGGAAGCCATGCTCCCGGCACGTTGGTCCGACTAATAGGAGATACAGGTGTACTGATTGATTGTCCTTTTGGCTTTTTACTAGACCCGAACCCGAAGAACCGACTCATTTTTTTCCGGGGGTTCGATATTCCAATGCGTTGCGCAGGCATGGGTGATTCGCCTACGCCAGCGTCCATGCTAGTATGAGTAAGAATTTGCAAGCGCGGTGCACTTGTCTGGTGCCATCGAGGATGCGGCCGTGTCGGGTCGATGGCACTTGACGAACTCGCGGTGCGCCTCGTGAGGTCAGAGTGAATTCTGGTTCTGGGGTACCCAGCTAATTGTACAGGTGGTGGGCCTAGCCCCAATGGTTTGGCATCGTTCACGGACATGTCCCGGTAGCGGTACAGTAGTTGAGAGTCTTCCAGATGCGTATTCACGTCGTCCTGGTTAACGGGGTGTCTCACGATATCTTGCTTGGCCAATGAGACACTCTTGGGCGGTTCTAACGGACCATTGTAGGGAATATACCAATCTTCTTCTGGCTTGTCGACACGGGGAGAACGAGATGAAGACTCCGTTTTGTGACTGGGAGGAAAACCAAGCCGGGGCAAAATGGAGAACGGGTGGCTGCTGGCAGTCTTTACTCCCATCACAACGTGTGGGAATGAAGATTTCAAGTGTTGATACTGCAGATTGCAGAACTACATGTTCGTATGTAAGGTTGGAAAACTGATTGAATGATGAAAACACCACGTACGTTGCGGCTGGTACTTGAAGAAATCAACTCAAAGTCCCCGCACCAATTTTTGAACTGAGCAATCACGATATAGCCAGAGCCTCCGTTACACTTGATTATCAATGATGCATCAACACGGCTCCGGACAAGGAACGGATGCAAGTACTGCCTCACCTATGATGAAGACAAGAAGAAAGAATGGAAAACGAACGGAGCAACAGTCATGAATGGAATCAGAGTGTCTCCGTATGATGCCCGTGCGGCAGTGCCCTCACAGTAGTGAGTGCCCAAAGAGCCCGAGCGAAACCGCTGGTTAAATTTCAAAATTTGTTGAAATCACACCGTGGGTGCAATATGAAATATCACACCCACATGTACACTATTAGGTAAGTAATCATTAATCCCACGGTCGCCTTTTCGGCACTTACTTGGACTCTGATAATTCGCTCGAACAAGTTAGAACTCTCGGTCAAACTCTCGGTCATCCAAGTGCACCGGCGTGATCGTACTCATGCTGGCAACATCAAACAGCCTTTCTCACCAAGAAATGTTCCGCGAGTTGCGATTCGGGTGCGATCCTTAGTTCAGATGTCGCTCTCCGTAAGGCCTCTCTATCTATAGGACAGTATTCTCACTGGAGAACGTTGGTGCCAGATGCTTAGCGTGCTCTCGGGTCAGCCTCATGATTAGGATTGTCGGAATGACAGCGCGATATAATACGTGTTCTTCTACAATTGAAGCCCCCAGAAAGGAATGGAGGCGTGCACTTCATTGATGACGTGCCAGGACTCACTGGTTTTTTGGTCCCGAATCAGCAAGACACCACATGCTCACTCAAGTGAAACGTACCAATACCAGCCCCTGCAAGAAGGACAGGAAGTATTGAGAGGCGCATCCTTCCGGCTTTGTATCGCTCAGAAATATTTAAAAGGTCTAAGCTGAAAACTGTAAGGGAGATGCTTCAGACGTAGAGGTAGTGGTGGTGGTATGTGCTGTGATGTGGATGGCCGCTGGATGGCGCTGACTCTTGCCGTTGGTCATCATTGAAACTCCGCCCTCGGCCAATGCTGTCTTGCTTTGTTCCTCTTGCATGACATACATGAACTGCGCCGCAACATCATTGATCTCCTAATTGAAAAAAAATCGACCCGCCCAATTACATTTCAACTTGTTGTGACTAGTCGTACTATAGGTTGTACTACCCTCCGTGCTTTTCTTCTTGGGTCTGTACAGGTACTATCGACATGACAATGGTATCGTACTAGGTACGATCGTTAACTGTTTTTGTCCTGGACCACTGGTGGGATATTATTTCGGAACCGCCCCAGTGTGAAGATAGTTTTTCAGTAACTGCGGACGACAAGAATGGCCGGTACCGCTGGCTGCATGCTATTTATTCTTCATTTCTGCGTATACTAATAACGGGAGCTCTCCATCTATCTCGGGATCAGTTGTAGAACACCATATTCAAGTGCTCTATCTAGTACGGTGTCTGACCCCTGATACACCCGTTAACAGTCACAGAAGCATCTCTGGGATCGCACTTTTAAGGTACTTCATGCATCTCTATCAAGCACACAGTCACTGAGTCCGCTGACAGAACAATACACGCTCTTCGTTCCACTGGTCCGTCACTTCCTTGGTTTCACATCAAGCGCTCTTGCTGCATTGGTTGTTTATTGTGACTGCTGAATCTTTTGTCTTCTTGGGCCCACAGTCGCATTTTTGTTCCACTGCAGTCTCAGTTATTGCTTTCTCGTCTATTTAAGCAGCGGCTTCTGCAGATACAACTTTCAGGCCCCTCTCCAGACGCTTGCGTTATCGTGCTACAACTGAGGTAAGATATTTTATTGTCACTTGACCTTTACCTATGCTTACACTGCGCAAAGCCGTTTGATACAGGTCAATATACCACACGTCTGTGTTGTTGTGTGCTACGACTGAGCGTGTCTATTTGATACAGATCCGCGCGAATTGCTATTGTCTCCATATACCTGGATTCTTGCTGGAATCCGTAGCCAACACTGATTTGTGAAATCTGCCTCCTGAACCACGAAAGGTAATACTTGCAGCTGGCTGAGGTTTCGTCTGCACTCAACTGACGACTCCGCCCCACAGGTCCTCCATGGCGACGTCATCCTCTCCCCTAGCCAATGATACGTCTATAAGCGCAACAGCTGATGTCGACAAAGAAATTGCTGCACGCGTGAATGTTCTCCAACGCATATCCATATCCCACCTTCCAAACGAGATTCTCGCGATGGTCTTTGAACACTACGAAGAAGAGAAGCGTTTCGATGGATCTGCGAGCGATGGTGTCCCTGCTTGTCTAAGAGTCACACACGTCTGCAGACGCTGGCGCGAAGTCGCTCTCGGTTGTCCTGCTCTTTGGACATTCATCTGTTCATCCTCTCCTCGTTGGCTAGGCACCATGCTTGAGAGGTCGATGAATGCTCCTTTGATTGTGACGTTTAAATCTCCGGTCCCGCTACAAACATGCTTGGAGCCTATCCTTTCACATCTATCGCACATCAAAGTCCTTCAAATTCCCTTACTAGCATCGGATTTCGAACCCATCATCCGCTTGTTATCTTCCCAACCTGCGCCGTTACTTGAAACATTCGAATTCACCAAACAGCCATTGGTGCACAATGATCCCACAATATGGCTCATATCAAATGCGATTTTCCAGGGACACGCACCTCGACTTCGGAGTGTTCATATTACAGGTTGTGACCTGAGCTGGACAGCCCACATTTTCAGCGGGCTTCGAACCTTATATGTCTACGCCATAGGAAAAACCTCCTATCCTACCATACCGCAGCTCCTGTCAACTCTGAGACGCATGCCTGCCTTGGAGCATCTTACACTCGACTGGCTTGACATAATTTCCGAGGACAAGGAAACGAAGCTCCTCGACAAAGTACAACTCAATTGTTTGAAAAGTATAACACTAGGTCACCCCTCGATCCGAATTGCCGCGTCTTTCCTCGCGCAACTAGCCATTCCCGTCGACGCCAAGATCGTTCTTCGACTCCTTCAATTTGAGGGCCTTCAAGATTTTTCCGACCTGTTTTCCGCCATGAACATGCATCCTGGTGGATCTGGTTCCGTCTTTCGGGCCCTGCACGCCAGGTACTCGTGCCGCCGTTTGTGCGTTCAATTTAGTACGTCGACGGTGATGCGTCCTGCAGACTCCTGGGATACTCGTGACGATGTCATACGGCTATCGATTGAATTCGCATGCGACAGGCACGCTGAACTCGAGCCAAGCATCATATTCGATCTTTGTCGATTTGTCACGCAGGGTACTGGGATTCAAAAACTCTCGTTGTCAGGGTTTAAATCTGCAGGTAGAGATTTCTGGCGCGCTGGATCTGCCTACCTCCCGGAGCTCGAAGTTATTCATGTGAAGAACATTGCCGTTGGGGGCTTAATCGGTGCACTTGAGATCATCGAAGGCACACAGATCTCAGATATACTATATCCCTCCCTTCGTGTTCTAGAGCTCGAGGCGTTCAACTTCGCGGCCGACTATGAAGAACTTGAGGAATATGAGGAACTTGAGGAATATGAGGAATATGACGAGACGTTTCGGGATCTCATGAAAATGCGAGCCAAACATGGTGTCCCTATACACGCCCTCCAACTCGCAGAGTGCACATGTTTAGGTCCTGATGAGGTGCAAGGTCTTAGGGAAGTGGTTGCGACTGTTGATTGGGATGAATATGAAGAGCCGGAAGATGAGGGGGGGTTGGGCATGAGCTCGAGGTTTTAGAGTATGTACTAGTTTTGTTATATATTGACGATGTTTTGATGCGTGTTACAGCATTAATTTTGTTGTTATCGTCGACTGCTGTATATATCTAATGGTCTCCCCTACGCGGACCTAATATACCTCATCTATACCACATTTCATCTTGCTGCGACCACTATTTCCAGGTCGTGCTATGTCGTATGACCATCCGTACCTTTCTTATTAGGTCTGTGCATGCAGGTACGAATCGTACGATGGCCAACTGTGTTTGTCTCGGTGTGATACCATTTCGGGACTTGTCACCGCCCCAATGCGAAGTCAGTACTTTTGACAGTACTTACTGCGGACAATAAGAATGGGTACCACTGCCTGCACATCCGAGTCGACACGAAAAACTTGGCAGAGTCTTCTAGGTGCCGGTGAGCCGTGAGGGTGGGTGGGACTGTATAAGACACATGCTGCTGCAAAGGTATCAGAAGTGTGACGAGACGAGAGCCTTAGGAAGTCTGTTCGACTACCGTCGACTGACATGCGGGTTGTGGCGCGAAGTAAGAAAGATAATATTAATATTGCATGAAGAAATTTTAGACGCCCGTGCAAGCGTAGCATTCTCTACTCGAGACGTGCCTCGGATGGTGGTCAGTCTTCAGATCAATTCGAAACAAATTAATAACAATATTATTAATAAAATGACAAGCAGCTCGAACTCTTCCGTTAAACAACGATGGCAGTAAATCGCTCCGCTGGCAATTCAGAGTTCGAAGGTTCCACCGTTCATAGTACCCGAAAGCGAGCACAACTATTTTTTCCGAATCACGCTGTATCTCTAACTTGATACCTAAACGTGATAGTTCTACAGCTCATCACCACTTCTTGCCGATCGCACAGACAGGGTCCCAGTGGCACGGGCGGGACTCGCTGAATAACCTTGTTATTCTGTATGACCTAAGATATCCATCGTCTATTTTTAACATTTAGCTCATACGCGCGCAGAGGAGACTCGTACAGCACCTCCGTTCATGAGGACACCGTCAACAATTTCACATGGGTACGTCGTACCTGGACTGGTCGCCCAAGACTGCCGCATGAGGGATACTGACTTTGAGGATTCACCCAGCCCGACCATGTCATCAGTGAATTGATGGGTCCGTGATATCGTAGCCGTGGGAAGTATAGCACGATTTAATTCTGCTCTCGCCAAATATTAGTTTTTATACTGTGAGCAATTTGAGTTGTACATACATACCCATGGATGCCCGCAAATCCAGCTTAACATGAATGATCCATGACAATGGTATGACATTCCTCCCTTGCAACCGATGAGGCGTGGTAGCACACTCATGTCAATCGTTTTAAGGTTTGTCATCTTGCCTGATCTCATTTTTGAGTTACAGCAGTATTTAAGACTTTCTCGTGGCAGGCGCCCTTGGCATTTATCAGCAGATCTCAAATACCATTAGACTTTGCCACAAAGCTGTGACATTCCTCCCTTGCAGCCGATGAGGGGTGGTAGCATACTTAGTCCAACTATTTCGTGCATTGTCGTTTGCCTTATTTATGTGGTGAATTACAATGCTATGCAACACCTTCTCGTGAGAAAGTACCTTTGGCGCTGGACAACAAATGTAGATTGTCACTTATTGTCCAAGCAATATGGAGCCTACGGTAAACACTACATAAAATCATTCATTTCCCCGAATAGAAACTTAGCAAGGTAGTCGAGATTCGGACGAGCTTCTCGCATTGATACATGACCACAGATTGATGAGCACATCTGATTGCACTGGGGATGACTCGGAGTGTCCGTGAACTGGCAAATTGTACTATGTATCGTGTTACTTGTTCCTGCACTGTGACGTTTGCTCAAGCTTGGTTAACAGTACTTGTTCTGAGTCGGTCTCGACCACTGAGGCAGCCTTCTTTGCCAATGAGAAGCATACCAAAACATTTCCACTCATTCCGCGCCTCGCCTGTGCGTAGTAAGGTGATGGAGATAAAGTTCAGAGCTGAGCATGTTACGGTTATCAAGAACGAGGCGGCAAGGTTTTGGTTTTTGACTACAAGTAAAAATTACTAGGCCATAGCGGCCTGCAGTACTAAATGTTCCAAGGTCTCCGAGTCCGGCCATACTCCGAGAATGCCGTTGAACATTTGTGGGTGCTCGAAGTGGGGCCAGTGTGCGCCTTCCATCGTCTGCATTCGACTGTCACCGTTGTCCTTGGCAAACGGTCATATTATGCACCTTGGTAGTCAGTTGTGGCAGGAACACTGCGGATTTCAAGTAATTTGCAGCGAACACCCAGTCTGTGACAGGATCCTGCGGTGACGCGCATGAGCAAGGTTTTGCATCTTAAGACAGATAACCCACGTCATAGCGGTTCTAAGCGTCATGATATTCAGTAAGATTGTGTTGTGAGAGGGTATCTGAGTCTACGTACCGCGTGAGCGTGTGAGATCACCAGTGATATCAGCCAATGTACTGGACGACTGCATGATATCAATGGGATGTGTTGAACCTCCGAAACCACGAAAGTCAATGGAAATCCTGCGATACTCCGATCCTAGAGCAGATCAACATCGAACAGTGTCGGCTGATGGAAGAGATACCTGCCTTGAACTTGTCGACCTGGTGCCCCCAAAGACTGATGCTCTTTTCAGTGGTTGGGTTCCGACACGTCCATATAATCTACCCACGATGAACATCTCTATGGGGCAAGAAAGGCGCATACCGGCAGCAGGGGAAAGGAACCACGCCTCTGTAAGCGGTCTAACTGCGAGAACGCCATGGCAGAACCGCTAATGTTTGGCGATCCAGCATCCTGGGAGATGATGGGGCTGGCGTAGCTACCGTACGCGCTGCGCTTCCTCACACCCCCAGAGGCACGGGGTAGCCCAGGACCAAATCCACCAGCCGCAGCAAACATGGGAAGTCCAGAAGAATAAGTGGCTTGCGAGCGCAGAGACTGCACGTCATACGGGATGTACCCGAGAGCATCATGTGTGCGGTAGAAACTAGAATCGAAGCGACTTGGCGTCCCTGATCTGCTTGTACCACCGGTGTTGGGGATGAAGCCCTGTGCGTTTGTCTCGTGGCGGCGGAATTTATCCACGGACTTGACAAGGGAGCGGCGAGGTTTGCTGAATTGAATCATGCTCGCCTGTAAGTTGTTCAGCGGACCCTCGACAAGGGTGTTATTCTCCTTGTAGTGCGTAAGAAGATAATGCTACAGCGGGTGCTGTATGAATCGGTCAGCGAACAGTAAGATTGTCCACCAAAGGGACTCGCCTTGCCGAGAACCTCAGGCTTTGGATTTATAAGGATGACGACTCTATACTTTACATGAGTCAGAGCCACGTTCAGACGACGAGGGTCATTCAAGAAACCGATGCCCTGGTGTTCGGAGTCGTTACTTCTGACGCAGCTCAGAATGATGTAGTTCGAGTCTTTCCCTCGTCACTGGAAGGCGTCGACGCTAGCCACTTCAATATCTTTATACAAGTCCTTCTTGAGAGACCCGTTGAACTGAATACAAATGAGCGTTGGCCCTCGTAGGGTGTGACAACACCAATTTGGCTGGGCATGACGCCCACGTTGAAGAACTTTGTCACAATTTTCTCGACGTTAGATGCTTCCATCCTGGAAACAGTGATAAGCAGGTGCAACCGAGAAGTAAGGACATGAAAAGTACTTGTTGAGGAACGAAGTTCCACTGGATGATATCTCCTCCCGACCAAGGTTCTGGTAGAAGAACATCAGGGTGTCTGGGGCGGGCCATGGGAAATCGACATTCTTGCGAAGACGTTCGGGAGCAGTGACACCGTTCTGCAGTGTACCCTCATAGAACATATTCGAGGGAAATTCAGAAAGGCGAGGGTACATATGGTACTGGACTTGCAGACGAATGGGTCCGATGTTGCCAAGTACAACCAAACGTTCGAAAAGTGATTGTGTCAGACCAGCGCGTGCCGCTTTCTTGTTCATGATTACCGAACCAAGCTGCTAGTGATCGCCGACAAGGACAACATGCTTACAGTTAAGCACCAGAGGGATCACACGTTCTGCTTCAGGGTCAGTCGAGGAACAACCTATCAAGGAATAAAAGGAGAGACGGTGCTTAACACAAGTTACCAGCGACCAAACCGAGCCCCGGGGCGAACTAGTACATGCGTACCGATGGTAATATCAATCTCCTCATTCAGGACGCAATCCACAGCTCTGCAACTGGTAGACTGCATCGCGATCGCGGCATAGTATGACTCGATGCCCTCGACTGTTGAAGGCGGAAACTCCCGCCACAAATGAAAGCGAAAAGGGGAGGTTGACCAAAGTTCTGATATGAGTTCGCGGCTTAAAACAAACAGGGAAGATACCGCTTGGAATTCTGCGCGCCTCCCGGACGATTGCGCCTGAATAAGTTCAAGTTGAAGTTAGAATGAAATGACAAGGGCTGTGCAACAACGGCGTTGTTTGGCAAATCCCTTGGATCCAAACAACCGCGCGCTTGTCTAAAAATATCACGCAGTGCAGAAAAAATTACACAATGCTCGCGTTCCTTCTGTTGCTTCTCAATTTGTCGAAGCACAACCAAGGTTATATTCTACAGTGGGATTCAGGGTTGATGTAAATTGGAGTCTGGCACATGTGCCGCTAGCACGAACTAACAATGCCATCATATAAACGAAATGTATTATACTACTTGTGAAATAAAGGGAAACGGTTAGGCTCCAAAACGATGGAAGGAAAATACTGGGATTCTCGCACTAACGATCCTCATAGAAGCGTCCGCATGGGAAACAGACCTTGTTGAGAACCTTGTTCCAACGACCCTGGATTGAATCCGAGTCGTCGGTGTAGTGGACGTGCGATTGTGACGCCTGACCTCCAGAGGCTTGTACATGTTGAGCGTCTGGTTGTCCGGACGCGTCGCTCGCTTTCACTGGCAGCTTCTTCTTCGTCTTGCGTGGCATGGCCACATATCCCTGAATGTCTGAGTAAGAACAATAAAATAAACAATTTGAAACTAAATCTTACCTGAAAACCGCGCACGGCGGAGACGCTAACGACTTCGGGACGTTGCGTTGTCGGAGCGACCGTGGCAGAGGTGGAATCCGTCTGTCGATCATGGTCTTGAGCTGAAAATCGAGAGACAAGACAGGGCTTACCACATTTGTTTCTCGTATCGATCCAGTGAATTTGCCGGCGGATTTGAGTAGTGAGCGAGTGCGATCCCACAAAGAGCGGTGCTCGTGAAGGGATTGAGGAGTGGACTGGACCGCGGGTGGACGGTGTCGGTGTCGGGATATGGTGTTCCAGAGACGCCGAGCCGATGACGGCTGGGCGTCGTCTGGGGGCGGAGAAGACTAGTACCGTTAGTAACTACTGTAATTCAAACAATATACAATTACATTACCTTGAAAAAATCCTCGTACGGGTCCGAATCATCGTAGTACTCCTCAACTCCGGGTAGTTGCGTTGTTTGGATCGGCGAAGTATGGTCAGTGTGAGTAACAGGGAGTTCGATGGGAGCGCTCAGGGCAGTCGGTACGTCCGGCGGATCGAAAGAAGAACCAGCCGTTCTTGAAAAACAGCACATTTCCTGCGAAGTAAGTGGAGGTATGATCAGGACGCACGCACCTTGTAACTTAGGTCCTGTGCGCGGGAACATCTAGCCATGTATGAATTTTGGTGACTGCAGCGGAGAACGGACCGAGCATATCGCAAGCGCCACCAGCAGCACAATCATTGGGGTCTTCGATGGTTCCACTGTTCGGGGTCTTCCATAGGGCCTCGATTCCAGATCATGAATCCTTCGTGAGCGCTTTTCATCCATGCGAGCGTCTATCGTTGTATTCCATCGGCGTTTGATGGTGTGGCAGTCTATCGTCGTGGTACATTGCAGAAGGCGTGCGATGCTCATCGGATGTCGTTCTGTGAGATTTATCAGAGTAAGCCCATATGCATATTAGCCCATGTACCTGGTGAAAACGCCTGATGTACTCCCGGAGTTATGATTACTGGTCGGCCGCTGTGTGTGTCAACGTGCGTTCGCCCTGGTTCATCAAGCCTGATGATAGTTGGCTGACTGGGTGATCGCGGAGGATCCTCAAACCGCGGAGAAACAGGGATACCATGACTGGGTACATTTCCTCCTGTAAAATGAGTAGAAGTTCTGGAGGCAGTTCTGTGAGGCCGCGAGTAATTGTCTTCGTCATAACTGGGACGGCTGTGATAGGGGGCATCTTCTTCTTCGTCACTCGGACGTCTACGACGAGGGGGGTGATCGCCTCTCCTGCATCTGCGTCCTGCGTCTCCTTCTTCCGGAGGAGAGGGTGAATTAGAGTCTCCGCGATGATATGGGCGGTGGCGGCGGTCATCATCTCTATGTCTTTCGCCTCGTCGGGGCGATGGCAGCCGCGAGTAATCATCATACCGCCCTCTCCATCGACGGCGGTCTCCTGGAGAATAATCGACATAATAAGGGCGACGGGTGGTAATATTCGGGTGAGTAGCGTTGACGGTCATCTCCACGTCTTGGATAATAATCAGGAGAGTCAGGGTGTCGGCCTCGTCGATAATAAAAATCGTGGTGTGGATCACCGCATCCACGAGGTGACCGAGACCGTGATCGTGAACGCGAAACGTGTGCCTAGGTACCAGGCAGCACGAGTACTGGCGGGTCACTCGATCCAGCAACACCAACAGGAAATTCATGACGAGTGGGAGGTCTGTCGACATCTGCCATATGTAAGGTCGTCACAGCGACTTCTTCCAAAAACTTTCCTAAGCGGCGAAATCAATTGAGGCTCGCTGGGACAGTCAATAACGCACCTCGTTCACCACTCCAAGAGCCTGTCTATCCTGCGCCGAGCTTCTCGACCGGGGGGCCTTTCGAAGAAGTCAACAATTGTCCGCCAGAATTGGACATAGTCGAAGTCCCCATCAATAGACCGCCAGGAGGTGACCGAAGAGAGCGCAAATCGGACCTGTCAGTTAAATCATCAGATACCAGGCTGTATTACTCGCAATTCCACCAATGCTATGACTTACTTGGCAAATTATGTATGCGATAGACCGAGGGGTAACTTTCTCTAGGACTCCATCATCATCGTGAAGGCGATGCTCGTACTGAGCAGGGTGCACCCGTTGGGGGAAATCACCGTAAGCATCCGGTGTTACTGGTCCTTGATCTGGAGCATAATGGTAAGGTTGTGGCATGCCCTGCCATCAACGACGTTGAGCGCTATCTCCTTAGAAACCGCCATTATGAGTTTGAATGGCGCGGAGAGAGTCATGTACAACGATCCTGTATTTTCCGCCGCCCAACGTTGACTAAAATCTGTTGACCTGCATCAATTCTTTCTCCAACTTCGGGATATGATTTACCTTGAACTGTTTTTTTCACCGAATCAGCCGAGTCGGATCGTATACCGTGAGCCTTTGTTAAGTGATCCTTTACTGCATCTGCTAACGTGGCCTGAATCACCCCCTCCCTCGCTGAGGGTTTTATCATGGCGCAATTGTTGACCGCGTCCCTGATAATGAGCTTCTGTGCAGCCAGAACAAAGTCGTCGTGAGTTGGGTGATTCGCTTGGTATTTCAAGGGGGGAAGTTCGATATGTGGTTGCGCGTAGACCCAGTGGGGATCGGGTCGGAGGCCATCGTAGCAGGCACCGACTGTTTCATCATGAGCGTGTATGTTCGTTTGTGAAGGATCACTTACTAGGGTGCGTGGGGATGGGTGCGTGGGGGTGGGGACATCTCGACAGGGGTGATACCCGGCCTCGGGCGCGGTCCTCTGGGTGTCGGGGGCACACTGCTGCCTCCGATAGAAATACCTTCTCTTTCGGCAATTCCTCAGCATTGAAAGTAGCACAGGTGTAGCTCCGAAACTTCTGCAACTTCCGGGAGTGTTTTTTTTTGTTTCGTCCAGAAACGCTGAGGTAGAATCACATCACGGTGCATCCTGAGCTTTGCGAGCGCATGCCATTGTGCGAACTGATAGAGCAGAGATTGCACAATTGCATCGTGGTCTTTGGGGAATAGCCCCTCGAACACCGGGATAGCACACTAATGACGGAGAGATGTCAGTGAACCAAATGCAAAGGTTAAACGACTCAAAAAACCTGTAGGATATCTTCAAAGTCACGCGCTGCTAATTTTTTCATCTCGGAGGTGTTGTTAGAAAATTTGCGAATTACACCGTTACCGAAAGTTGGGATCTCTCGAAATCTCGCCAGCCCATCTGAGTCAGCAGGTCGCAGCACCCCATACAAATGTCTCCTACCTGCTATCGAGGACCGCGACGACCTGGCTACCTTGGGGAAGGGCATAAAGAAGCCTGATTAGATGAGTAAATAGTGATTTCCACGTGCCCAGTTCGCACTCGTGCATGAGGTCCACGACAAGCATGCGGAATGGGTCGAGGCCAAACTTTCCAAGTTTGTGCGCGAAACGATTCTTCCAGCACAGTGTAAGTTGATCGAAAAGCCCTAGAAGACATTGCACTCACCAAAATAGGAACCCACGAGCCCTCTCCGAGAGTATTTTCCACCTTTGCGCCGTCTACCGTATGTCCCGATGCGATAAAATCGCGAGCCTCAGTAACCTTGGACATGACGTATGTTCGAAGCTTGTCTACGCGGCTTTTCATGTCTCTCACCAGCCCCAGAGAGCCGAACAAAGCTTTCGGCGTGAGACAGCGAGGGCACGGGCATGAGCCCATGTCCTTTATAGTGGCGATTAAAACCCTATATAAATTGATGGGCGATTCAGCATTCTCGAAGACACTGTTAAAACACATACTTTTCTGGATAGTCGGCTGAGTATGTGAAAATTCGGGGAAAGACCCTCCGTAACACACCATCGGCACATTTCAAAATGACGCCGTGGTGGTATGCCTCGAGGAAATCGTCATCGAATAAAATGTCCCAGCAGGAATGAAATAACTCCCTGCGGCAATAGGTGAGAAGAGACGCCATACCAGTTTTTGACATGCGAGACAGGCCGCTCAGAACGTCCTTAATACTGTCAGGAAGCTAAATTTGTCAATATCAGTAGAGAAACATGCTGCTTCAACAGAACTTACCGACGGCAAAAATCCTACGAGGTGGCATGCTCCCGATTGCGGCGACGACCGTGCGTATTTAGTCAAATTTCCGAAATACAAATAGAGAGGCCAAGCCTTTGCTGTCCCGAAGTTTGCCAGATGGGTGGCGTCAGAAAAAAACATCAAACCAGCGACAACGCGCTCCAACGAACAGCCAGGCTCCTTTGGGAGCTTCTGAAGGCTGTCCTGGGCTTCCAACCAGGCGTCCGATGTGTAGAGTTCGTCGTAGATCCGCTCCTGATGCCCCCCCAGAGGATCCTTCCATAATCGTTGGAAAGGCATGAGATGGAACACCCTTGCTTGAACATCCGCAAAAGCGGCGCGTATCACGTCGACAAGAGGGCGATAATGGAACCCGGGGATCGTATATGGTAGAGGTCCATCCTCCCGTGACCTGGTTGGAACGTCAATAGTAACACTGGTCTGTATCCAGTCATCTGGAAAAGAAACTCTTTTCCCGTTCTCCTCTTTATCTAATTCTTGCAAGCTTCGCCTCAGCGAAAAGTCCTCAAGGTGATTGCGGTCGAAATCCTCTGCGAGAATAACATTCTTGACCAACTGGGAGACCTTGGTTTCGGATACTCGACTGCTACCAGAGTTCATCCATGTCATGAGCCGATATATTGTCATATTAGCAAAAGGGAAAGGCGGCGCTAAGACAATCGGCGGGGAGTCTGTTGTCTGGGTAGCCATGGGAGAAGTTTTTGCAAGCAGCGTAGATGAAAGATATTTGTCGGGCTCAAAGGAAGGGCGTCGAGGGTATAGTCGGCAGAGTCCAAATGCGTTGAAGGCGGTCTGGAGTGTATCCCTTAGCGTTAGAAGAACGCGCTGAATTCTGAATTGGGCTGGTTGGGAGGCCAAACTTATCGCAAGCGCCACCAGCAGCACAATCATTGGGGTCTTCGATGGTTCCACTGTTCGGGGTCTTCCATAGGGCCTCGAGTGACATTCCAGATCATGAATCCTTCGTGAGCGCTTTTCATCCATGTGAGCGTCTATCGTTGTATTCCATCGGCGTTTGATGGTGTGGCAGTCTATCGTCGTGGCACATTGCAGAAGGCGTGCGATGCTCATCGGATGTCGTTCTGTGAGATTTATCAGAGTAAGCCCATATGCATATTAGCCCATGTACCTGGTGAAAACGCCTGATGTACTCCCGGAGTTATGATTACTGGTCCTTCGCCAGACCAAGACAATCAAACGAGCTGTTTGGCATAAGGCAGCGAGTGCAATGGACAGGAGCCCGATGTCCTTGATAGTTGCAATTAGAGCCGAAATCATGACCGAACCATAGATGAACTCACAAGCTGGTGCGCACCACCATGGTCGGCTCTGAGAGTCTCTGATCCTCTTGAGCATAAAAGAGTTTGTAAAGTTCCACCTATGATTAATGAATCTCGACATGTGATCGTTCGGAATGCATTTGCGAACTGTCTACTATGCTTCGTCAAGGCACTGACCACGAAGTCTTTGAGATACTCACTGGCTAAAAACACAGTATCAACGCAAATCAGTTCATGTTGCAATGCGCACGGGGTTGGTTATCATAACGTACCACAATTGTGTTATATTCTAACCTGAGAGATGATCTGGGTGATACAAATCTCCATCTTAGCCTTCTTGTCTTTTGTCGCATTCCTAATCTGATCCATGATTACACCGTCCAAAATGCCCAATCAATCGTATCGTAGTAGTCCTTGAGGCTAGTTGTGATGCTTCCGGCAAGTCGGCTATACTTCGAGCGTTGTCAACATCGTCCATAACGCTTGCTGACACTAACGATGTGAATGATGGTTTGGATTAGCTAACTGCTCCGATCGTCCATGATATGCCGCTACAAGGTAATCGAAGAAATAAGTCGTCCTACATTGTTACTATACATCTGCAAGCAAAAACCATCAGTGAGGGATGTAGATGGCACAGGGAATCCTGCGGAGCCCTGCACATGCTATCACAATAATCAAAGCCCACCTCAGAAATGCAATGGATGAGGAAGTGGCTTTGTTTTCCAGTGGTGGGGTATGGCTGCACTTGCCTAGCGTAGAACACCTGAGCAGGGTGGATGTGGGGTTGGGGTTGTGAGAGGCGCAGTTGACGCAGTCCGCGAGCACAGGAACACAGGAATGGTATAGATACAAACAACAAACAAACAAACAAGTGTGTAGTCAGCAGGAACCTTGCCAAGTTGTATCGTAATAATAGGCACCGGCGCTACTAGGTGACGCAACTGATAGAAGTACTAGAGGCTGCTCGTACTACTAGGCTGTATTGTAGACCTTCGTGTAGTAATTGTGACTAGTACATTACCCAATGATCAATACTACTGCTCGTAAGTATCCAACCCGGAGTCATGATGCGACATCAGCCAATCTGACAATGGTGAGGGCCTTCACATCCAACCATCGCTTCGCCAAATCCTCATCCTTCTCGATGACATCAGTGATGTGTTTCTTCGACATGTCGTACATGAATTTGAAAGCTTGGGCCGTAAACTCCATCTCTTGTAATTTTCCGGAAGAATACTGCTTGAAAACGCAGTAGATTGCAGCCACAGCCGTGCAATAGAGATTGTCGAGGTTGTTGACGTAGTGCTGGTATTTGAGTTTCCTCACTACACCGATAACCACGTCTAAAATCGCGTCGTGTTCGAACGCCATCCATTGGTTAGTCTTTTCATCCCTCTTGAAAATAAATTTCAGAGGCCACGTTACGTCGTTGACGAGGTCGTTGATCTTGGTTTGTTTCCATTTTGATTCCGACGTATCTGACCAAAGTGAGGGACGTAGATCGTAGCCTCGATCAACGACGTTGAGCGCTATCTCCTTAGAAACCGCCATTATGAGTTTGAATGGCGCGGAGAGAGTCATGTACAACGATCCTGTATTTTCCGCCGCCCAACGTTGACTAAAATCTGTTGACCTGCATCAATTCTTTCTCCAACTTCGGGATATGATTTACCTTGAACTGTTTTTTTCACCGAATCAGCCGAGTCGGATCGTATACCGTGAGCCTTTGTTAAGTGATCCTTTACTGCATCTGCTAACGTGGCCTGAATCACCCCCTCCCTCGCTGAGGGTTTTATCATGGCGCAATTGTTGACCGCGTCCCTGATAATGAGCTTCTGTGCAGCCAGAACAAAGTCGTCGTGAGTTGGGTGATTCGCTTGGTATTTCAAGGGGGGAAGTTCGATATGTGGTTGCGTAGACCCAGTGGGGATCGGGTCGGAGGCCATCGTAGCAGGCACTGACTGTTTCATCATGAGCGTGTATGTTCGTTTGTGAAGGATCACTTACTAGGGGGGCCATTTTCTGCCGCTGACCCGAACATGGGATAAATTGCCACGAGAATGAACTCTTGCGTTTTAGAGGCCTGGGGGCAGGCGTCCGCGCGAGGGGCTGCACATCATCTGGTGCTGCTGGCGGTAATGTAGAAACACCGTCCAGGGATATGAGTGGTGGAGGAAAACTGCGCCGATAATCGGCAATGGCTGGCGGCAATGCCAAATCACTCGGACGGATAGTACCCTGAGACGGGACCATGATAGGTAGAGGCAGACTACCGTCATAATCGTTAAGTAGGTGCGTCTGCGCCGCAGCATTCGCGAGAATTGCTTGAGGCGTGTACATTGAATGTAAAGGACTCGGATCAGAGGACGTGGGATGTGGGATGTGGGATGTGCCCATGGATGATTGAGAAAGGTGAATATCATCGCCGGTCGGCGCCGTTGAATGTGAAAAATAAGATGGTGCGGCTGATGGTAGAGACGCCTGAGGCGCGGGAATACTTTGGGGATAGCCTAGAGACCGATTGAGTTGCATTAGGGCGCGATGATACTGTGCGTCGGAAAGGGTGGACTGGGCGGCTGGCCCGCTGAGATCAGAGCTGGATAATGGGTGATGACCGCCCTGAGCTTGTTCAGGAATCTCGGGGAGTGAGTAGTACGTGTCCTCAGGTTGACTCGGAAGGTCACCGTAGTCGTGATCAGTTCTGCGCATCATGTCCTCCGAGTCCGATCTCCCATAACCAGTGTTGTGATACATCGCGACAAACGCTCGGTGGTAAAAGGTCACGGTGGGCCTCAAGATTAATGTTGATTGAGGGCAGACGAGAATAAATTTCTGCGATAGGAAACGACATGAAACTGCAAACTAAAATACAACAAATGAAAAGCAGCGAGACACGAGGACTATTCAAATCGGCGAGTGGGCCCAATTGTACGTCACTGGAAATACGTCGGCGAAGTGAGTAATAGTGACTTAATCGTACATAAAAAACTTACGACTACAACACAGCATCAGCTCGGACGGCTTCCGATTTGTTGTCACAATCATCCTTCTCTCCGTTGGGAAATGATTGTTTTAAAATAGCAATCTCAGCATCAGCATGATCGAGAGCTTTCCTGCTGCCCTCTCGAGCTGCAGTAAGATATGGGACTCCATCATGATCTTGATGGATAGCGGCTGCACGTGGTGTTTCCCCGCGGTGAATAAGCACATGTAATAGCCACCGCAATTCTTGATCCGCTCTCCCAAGCTCCGTTTCCGATTCATGGTGTAATGACTCGTTGAAGACGTTCAGCCTTCTTGACGTCTCAAGCAACCACCCTCTGTACAAGAATTCCAAGCGCAAGGTCTCACGAACCGCTTCCTTGTAGTGAATAGCGCAGTGGAAGGAGTGCGTGCTCATGCTCTCTATATGTCTCAATAACGCCTCCTGGTCCTACAGATGTGATGATCATCTATGTGGAAACTATATATATTCAATATAAGGGCGTACCTCGGTGCTCATACCTTCTGAGTACTGGTTACATGAATTTCTGCGCAAGATTTGCTCAGCACGATCATGATGTTTGTCTCCTAACATCGGCCGCCGGTGGTGATAAGGATGAAAGTGTTTGGTGTGTCTCTTTGACTCCGAGTCGGAGGTGTGATGTGATTCTTGGTGAGGAAAGGTATCAGCGGCACGGTGTTTACCACCGGACCGCTTAGAATTAGGTGTCACAGGGAAGTCATCATCCTCTGAGATGATACCCCCAGGCTCTGCCACAGTTGCAATATTTGAGTTTATCCACAAAATACCATGATCTACGAATCGTTAATACCTGATATTCCAATTGATGGGGGAGAGCTTGGAGGCGAGTTGAAAGGAGAAGAGAGCTTTGAATTGTCATCATGGGTAGCCTGAGGAGTCACAGGCGCATAAGGATAGGGGCAACGAACTTGACTCAGAGTTGGCTCCTCATCGCAGGAAGTGCTAGTAGAGGCTAAGTTCATTTTTTCCATGGTGGGGATGTGTTTTTGAGAGACTGCGGGCTACGTGAGCGTTACTGGGTAAATGTTTAATAGGCCAATCGGAGTTTGAAAGAGCCCTTCCTCGCTGATCTCCGAGTCCGGGCCAACAAACTATGCCTCAACTCAAGTCAGTACTGGGTAGAGCTCAGTTCTCAGACATAGTCAACTGCAGCACTCGGAGTGATCACACTTGTGCCACATCATGATATATGAGTCTCTGTAAGTCACAGGTACTAGTAGTACTGCTTTATTACGAAAAACCCAGAGCGCTGCCAGTACTTAATCGTAAATTAATACGTATCTATACATCCATAAAATTGCTGTTCCATTCGTGGTATGTCCGGAGTTTCAAAAGGCTCGAGCCATTTTTGGTATGTCCAACTTGGGTGTAATGCGGTTACCGGTCTGAGTGCCTCACATGCAACGAGGCTAAGTACCGTCTTCTTCATATTCTGTCATGCATACCGAACTTGGTATGGTGCCATGCTATGGACACTATCGTGTGCCGCATACCTTGCTCTATGGCCGCAGGATTTTGTCAGGGTCGCCACATTGATAACACCGTGACAGCTAGTATAAGAGCTTGTCGCCTGGCCTTTTTCGAACGGTGTGTGTCAACACTGCCTCTAGCAGCTATCATAGGCTAATATGTCTTATCATCGTGATGCTGATCATCCACTGGCAAATGCCATCTCTACTCCGAGTCTGAGTCAGCCCTCTTTCGAGTCAGGTTCGCTCCCTCAGACTGCCAGTCTTTCCCGCACTTCCGAGTCTTACCATCATGATTATGATGACGCGACATCGGTTCCAAAATTGAAGGCGCAGTCTAGGCGTTCGGCAAGTCTGAAAGTGACTCGGGTTCAGGATGCAGAAGTTGTAAGTACTCGCCGCGAGAAGCTTCTGCAGTCATGATTACTTACACTTTGGCCTGACAAGAATCCACTACGAGTATCGCCGAGTCCCAGTCCTGCACTAGCGGTGAAGCGTGTCATGATCCGTAGGGAGAAGACGGGTACCGACTGGCAGTCAGTCTTCGATGTTGTCAAGTACGGCGAAGAAAAACGAGCAGTCGTGGTTATCAAGGAAATGGGACAAGAACAGGTGATTTGATGTGGTTGTCATCATGATGGAGGTGATAGAAACTTGAAGGGTGACCCAGATCATACTATGTCTTTCTGGTTTTCACGGCGTTTTTTTAATCCATAGTATCGTTCAAAGATGAGATCTGAGATGGAAACCGCGAGAACAAATTTCACACAAGTGCCCTGGGCACTATTTTCAATTTTTTGGGGGGGCTTCTCCCGTCCCATCAATTGAGCCTTGTGTTTGTCAATCGTCCTTGAGACACTTCACGGTCCGAGAAATTGCCGAGAAACTTGTATAAGGTCCAACCGTCTGTGACTTGGACAAATGACGACACGTAAAACGGTCACGTGCTCGCACTTTTCTGCGTGGTAAGTCTCCACTGGACTCAAGACGTCGATTTTAAAAGAAGAAACTAGCGAGCATTGTATTTTAGCTGTCAGGCTATCCATCCATGCAGAAATAATATTTTTATGTGGATGTGTTGTAGAGGTATAGCGTTTTCCCGGAAATGCGCAGCCTCTACTAATAGGCTAGGTGACTTTATACTCCGCTAATACCACCGTGACGCACTTATAGCTAGTAAGGTCTGAGCGCTAATAACTTGTCACAGTTGTCCTATGTTGCTCTGGCTAGAGTGCTACCATGCCGCGCTTTTCTAAAACTGTTTGGGCCTGCGTTTTTTTTTTCTTTCTGGTAATGGTGTCTTGTGAGGCACCAGGTTGCTATTGGGAAAGGAAGACGGACAATCGAGGGCTCAGCAGGCATCGCGCAGCTTGTCTTTTCTACAAGAGATCCAGCACACTTGCAAGTGAGAAGAGACAAGATCGCGCGAAAGAGGCGGCTCGTTTGAATTTACTCCCAAACCCTGCGGCGAGCGCGTCCGAGTCATTGGTGGGTGACCTTTCGATGCTTCAAATTTCTGCTAATGTAGTATTATCATTCTCAGAGAATCCCAGTAGTCCGGCATGTAAGGGACCGTCCGAATTTTAAACCCATTGCCCCTTGCAAGCTCCTCAGGCCGGTGTCCATGGCACGTGGATTATACCGTGCTTCCGAGGCCAATTTTTCCGCAGACTCTCAGGACCCCCATGAGTCAGGGAAGCATATTGATGTTGAGATGAGGGACGATTTTGGGCACGAGTCGGACTACGGTTTAGGTTTGTGTTTCTCTGGCTAGCATCCGTCTCTTTGCTCAAACGTAGCTCAAATTATTCTAGAGGAAAATGCACCTCGGACGAGACGAATCCCGAGAGCTTTCGCCGACATCGAGCATTCCGACTACGATCTTAATCCTTCTGACAACGCCGACAGCTCAACGGCCCAAAGTTTGGCCTCCCAACCAGCCCAATTCAGAATTCAGCGCGTTCTTCTAACGCTAAGGGATACACTCCAGACCGCCTTCAACGCATTTGGACTCTGCCGACTATACCCTCGACGCCCTTCCTTTGAGCCCGACAAATATCTTTCATCTACGCTGCTTGCAAAAACTTCTCCCATGGCTACCCAGACAACAGACTCCCCGCCGATTGTCTTAGCGCCGCCTTTCCCTTTTGCTAATATGACAATATATCGGCTCATGACATGGATGAACTCTGGTAGCAGTCGAGTATCCGAAACCAAGGTCTCCCAGTTGGTCAAGAATGTTATTCTCGCAGAGGATTTCGACCGCAATCACCTTGAGGACTTTTCGCTGAGGCGAAGCTTGCAAGAATTAGATAAAGAGGAGAACGGGAAAAGAGTTTCTTTTCCAGATGACTGGATACAGACCAGTGTTACTATTGACGTTCCAACCAGGTCACGGGAGGATGGACCTCTACCATATACGATCCCCGGGTTCCATTATCGCCCTCTTGTCGACGTGATACGCGCCGCTTTTGCGGATGTTCAAGCAAGGGTGTTCCATCTCATGCCTTTCCAACGATTATGGAAGGATCCTCTGGGGGGGCATCAGGAGCGGATCTACGACGAACTCTACACATCGGACGCCTGGTTGGAAGCCCAGGACAGCCTTCAGAAGCTCCCAAAGGAGCCTGGCTGTTCGTTGGAGCGCGTTGTCGCTGGTTTGATGTTTTTTTCTGACGCCACCCATCTGGCAAACTTCGGGACAGCAAAGGCTTGGCCTCTCTATTTGTATTTCGGAAATTTGACTAAATACGCACGGTCGTCGCCGCAATCGGGAGCATGCCACCTCGTAGGATTTTTGCCGTCGGTAAGTTCTGTTGAAGCAGCATGTTTCTCTACTGATATTGACAAATTTAGCTTCCTGACAGTATTAAGGACGTTCTGAGCGGCCTGTCTCGCATGTCAAAAACTGGTATGGCGTCTCTTCTCACCTATTGCCGCAGGGAGTTATTTCATTCCTGCTGGGACATTTTATTCGATGACGATTTCCTCGAGGCATACCACCACGGCGTCATTTTGAAATGTGCCGATGGTGTGTTACGGAGGGTCTTTCCCCGAATTTTCACATACTCAGCCGACTATCCAGAAAAGTATGTGTTTTAACAGTGTCTTCGAGAATGCTGAATCGCCCATCAATTTATATAGGGTTTTAATCGCCACTATAAAGGACATGGGCTCATGCCCGTGCCCTCGCTGTCTCACGCCGAAAGCTTTGTTCGGCTCTCTGGGGCTGGTGAGAGACATGAAAAGCCGCGTAGACAAGCTTCGAACATACGTCATGTCCAAGGTTACTGAGGCTCGCGATTTTATCGCATCGGGACATACGGTAGACGGCGCAAAGGTGGAAAATACTCTCGGAGAGGGCTCGTGGGTTCCTATTTTGGTGAGTGCAATGTCTTCTAGGGCTTTTCGATCAACTTACACTGTGCTGGAAGAATCGTTTCGCGCACAAACTTGGAAAGTTTGGCCTCGACCCATTCCGCATGCTTGTCGTGGACCTCATGCACGAGTGCGAACTGGGCACGTGGAAATCACTATTTACTCATCTAATCAGGCTTCTTTATGCCCTTCCCCAAGGTAGCCAGGTCGTCGCGGTCCTCGATAGCAGGTAGGAGACATTTGTATGGGGTGCTGCGACCTGCTGACTCAGATGGGCTGGCGAGATTTCGAGAGATCCCAACTTTCGGTAACGGTGTAATTCGCAAATTTTCTAACAACACCTCCGAGATGAAAAAATTAGCAGCGCGTGACTTTGAAGATATCCTACAGGTTTTTTGAGTCGTTTAACCTTTGCATTTGGTTCACTGACATCTCTCCGTCATTAGTGTGCTATCCCGGTGTTCGAGGGGCTATTCCCCAAAGACCACGATGCAATTGTGCAATCTCTGCTCTATCAGTTCGCACAATGGCATGCGCTCGCAAAGCTCAGGATGCATTCAGGATCCACAATCGCCTTTCTCGAGGCAACTTTCAAGAAGCTTTCTCGTACGTTACGGAAGTTTCGAAACTACACCTGTGCTACTTTCACCGCTGTTGAACTACCCAAAGAGAAAGCTGCTCGCCATCGAAGGGTTGCCCAACGTTCTGAAAACGGTAACACTTCTCAAGAGTCCAGCGGTGCAAGGGTCAAGAAGTTCAATTTGCTGACATATAAATTCCATGCGATGGGAGATTACGCGAGAACTATCAGGCTCTTCGGGACCACAGATTCCTTTACTACTCAAATAGTGCGCATGTCCTGCCTTCCTGCTATGTACCTGATGTTAAGTTTGGGTAGGGGGAACTTGCCCACAGAGCCCTCAAGGCATTCTACCCGCTCACCAACAAATTAGACACACCAGCGCAATTAGCTAAACATGAACGTAGACGGCGTGTACTCCGGCGTGCAGCAGAAGCAGGGGGAAGTGTACCCTCCACTAACAGCCGATCGCAAGCCGACGCCCCCCCTTCAGTATCCTCCGAAACGCACCACCATATCTCAACTTCTCAGAGCAATCCAGTCGACCTATTCGCTTTTCTCCGAGAAAATAACGGCGATCCGGCTGTCAAGGTTAAAGCAAAACTTATGAACTTGCGTTATACTTTACTGACAGAGGCTGTCAGAATTTTATACCGAAGCTGAAGGATCACGTTCTTTATAGGCTTCGGGGGTTAGACATCAGTTACTGCGACCACACCTTTACGGACAACGAACGAAATTCGGTGATCATTCCCAACAACACCATCTACTCAGTTCAGACCATGCAAGTACGCTACACTACTTACGACTTAAGGCACGAATACGACAGCATCAACCCTAGAACTCACGGCGACGTTATGGTGCTCTCAGGCGAGTCAACGCCTAGCCACCCATACTGGTATGCCAGGGTGTTGCGTATTTTTCACATGGATGTATGGATCGTTGGTAACGATGGGAGCGAACCTTTAAAGCAGCGCCTTGAGGTTCTCTGGGTCCGATGGCTGGCATTACTTCAAGGCCATAGATCTGGTATGAGGCATGCTCGTCTTCCAAAGGTTGCCTTCGTGGAGGAGTCCGACCCGGATGCATTTGGATTTCTCAATCCAGGGCAAGTAATTCGAGGAGCTCATCTGCTCCCTGCGTTTGCCTCTCGACGTGGTGTAAGCTCACTTCGGCAAGGAAAATCGTTGGCGCGCCCTGGGGGGGAGCTAGACGACTGGGAGGGGCACTATGTAGGAATGTAAGTGCATATATTCCATTTTCATAGCAAAACATCTCTAACTTCGAGCCAGATTTGTCGATCGAGACATGTTCATGCGGTACACCCATTTAGGCGTTGGACATCCTACAGCTTTGCGCAGAATAGCCAGGGACTGCTTTGGCTCTCATTCAGCGGCACAAGCTCACACCACGGACATTGTGAATCGCGAGGACGATGCAGACGGTGAAGAAGGCAGTGACGACGAGTGTTCTGAAAGATGCGCCGATCATGGCAATGGCAATCACGACGGCGAGGGGTTTGAAGGATTTGACGAGGAAGGGGAGGATGGCGGCTGAATCCAGGACATCCAGCGACGCCATGGTGGGCGTCGCATTATATAGTGTTCACGCGAATATCACCGTTTAAGCTCAACAGAATGAATTTAGACGATACGGCTTTTGCTGGTCGACCCGCCCGCTCGTGTTTGGTAGGCTGAATTCAGGACATCCAGCGACGCCATGGTGGGTGTTGCATTATATGGTGTTCACGCGAGTAACACCGTTCAGGCTCAATAGAATGAATTTAGAACGTGCGGCTGTTGCTGGTCGACCCGCCCGCTTGTGTTTGGTAGGCTGAATCCAGTACAGCAGGCTGCCGGTTTGAAAAACTTGTTGCAAATAAATAATATGTCACACAACGATAACATTATCGCTTCGTCGAGGACCGACACCACCGTGGTCTTAAATGTCTGCTTAGGAATCTCTCCTGTAGTGCGCAAAGACACATGATGGTGCTGATGCGTGGCACATCATACAATGAGCTGGTTGAGTGGTAAGTGAGGTACTGGGACAATTCATAGCCCACTACCGTCAAGTGCCGAGCTGGGGGGCTACACTGAAAGACATAGTACCTGTGCAAAGCGAAGTACAGCTCTCGGTCATTCGATTTGTGAAGCGGGTGGCATCGAATTCTCAAGCAGAACACGAGTTAATTGTCGTTCATGTGGAGAACACATTGTTATTCTCTGGAAGGTACTTGTTGTCAGTGCAGTGTTACTTGTACAATAGTTCCATGATTTAGGAACACCGAACATTTCAAACAGATAGCGCTCAAATTCATGTCCCTCGCAACAAGCTCGAGTAAGGAATACATCCGGCAGCTGCGCAAAGGTAACGCTTTTTCACACACATTCCCAATTGGTATATAGCAGATATAAATTAGATATCTAAAGAGGGTGGCGTCAAAATTTCCAGGAGACTATGAGTTAATTGTTGCCTGCATCATGAACGTATTGTCACACTCTGGAAGGTGCTTGCATTCAATGTTACATGGACATTTGTCCCATGATTTACGAACATTCAAGCATTTCAGTCAGATGGCGTCAGAATTCAGAGCAGGGCATGAATTTATTGCCGCTCACTCGGTGAACGCATTGTCATTTTTTGGAAGGTGCTCGCTTTCCTGCTTAGCCTTCAAGTTATAGATATTACTTCCAACATGGTAGGTATGGCCCGCCCAGCTGAACTATGTTATTGTCAGGGAATTAATGTATCGTCGTTAGTCGGTCAGCACATTGTCATTCTTTGGACGGTGCTCGCTTTCACACTTGGCCTTCAAATTATAGATATTACTTCCAACATGGTAGTTATGGCCCGCCCAGCTGAACTATGTTATTGGCAGGGAATTAATGTATCGTCGTTAGTTGGTAAGCACATTGTCATTCTTTGGACGGTGCTCGCTTTCACGCTTATTTTCGAAATCGTAGCCTGTAACTACAACATAGCGATTAAAATCCACCTTGCTTGTTCATCAGCGTTTGCTCCACCTGCTCTTGAAGTTTAAGTTTGAGCGATGTGCGGGTCTTCTCCCGATCACGAACTGGTGTAGGAGCTTTAGAAACTCACCGTGCCTTTATAAAGTCAAACATCATAATGTCATGATCGATAGCAGAATTATGTTGATGCTCTTGATTATGGACTATATATCACTATATATGACATTCTAATTTGTCCACCAGTTCTCTGATGGTAGCCTTCCTCGCCCCTTTTGCAGTTGAAGTGCATAACTTCTCAATGCCAGGCGCAACTGCGAAATACCATCTTGCGAGCCAGCTGGCTTGGTTCTTTTCGCGTTTCTCGAAGAAAGGGCAGGACGAATCTGAAACAGTTAGTCTGGATCCTGAAGAAACCACCTACGGTACGATAATTTCAATCTCATGTGCTAGCTGAATCACATGTTCGAACCTTCAAGTTCTGTTTCTCGGTATCAATGATTGCGGAACGACAGATGCTGACGATCTAGAGCCCATCGTCGATGTCATTTTCGACACTGTACATCAGCTATACATAAGAGCAAGAGCACGAAATTTTGTCATCATCAACGTACCCCCTATTGATCGATCGCCAGGTGGTGAGTAGTCCATACACACCACTTTGAATTAGAACTGAGTGTCGAGCAGGTTTGTCATTTTCAGCAGAGCTCGAGGACCGCATTGAAACATGGAACGATTTGCTTCAGAAGGAGACGGCCGACTTCGCATCTGGAGGCACACAAGCGACTCAAAGTGTATTTCTGTTCTCTTCGAACGCAGTACTCACGGATGTCCTGGATAGCCCAGTGAAGTATAAGTTCTCAGAGAAGGACGTCATGCAGGCTGGTGGTTCTATCTGGGAAGACGAACTGCATATTACATCGAGCGTGCAGAAAGTGATTGCGGAGCAGTTTATCCACGCGATGGAGTCTAATTTGTGAATGGGATTTGGTGTTCTCTCAAAATCCCCTGAATCGTCACAGGCTTGATGGATCAGTGAATCGTTGCCCATTGTCTCGTTGACCAACAACGTAGAGTTCAGCACGAACCAAGATTCTAGTATACGTGGCGTCATCGGATTCATTAAAGTGTCTGTGACGGAGGCATCATGAACACGCCAGATGAAGCTATGTACTTGTGTGGAATTGGTTGGACGATAAAAACAACTGATTAACTTAGTAACTTGGAGGATTAATGAGTCGTGTACTACAACCCGAAATAGAAAACCAACCATTCACAGCCCCTCAAAAACACTCTCATCGACAGCCCTCTGCTGTACCCCATAAACCTTCCCAGTACCCGGCGCAGGCACTGCGTCCGCCGCCTCTTCAACACGCTCCCGCACATGTCCCTACGCGCCCTAATTCTTAGGCTCCTCCTGCACCCACAACACGTTGGCCTCGGCATAAGGTGCAAGCGCTTCACTGAGCGCAGCAAACGGGAACGGCGCAAGCTCTTCGATGCACACGAGAGTGACGCGTGGTTCAACGTTGCGCGCGGCGCGCTCTTTGGCAAGGTCGTAGTAGATCTTGCCGCTGAATAGCACGACGTGCTGGCCTGCTTTGGGGTCCGTGAGTGTTGCTGTGTCATGGAAAACGGGCTGGAACGCTGTTCCTGGGGCCATATCAGTCAGCTTCGACGATGCAGCCTGCGTTTTTGGTGTTGGTAATGCAAGAAGGGCATTGGGACGGCACGTACAGCAAGTCGAAGACGTCCCTTTGGAGCAGAGGCGACTCATGAGCGGTTTCCTGTAGTTCCGCTTGATCCGGCGGCGTAAAGAATGGATTTATTGCGCAGGTGTGGCCGGGAACACTACGTGCATGTTTACGTTGGACAACTTAGTATCTCCCATCGCCCCCATCATGAACCCCATGTCATCGAGCGGCTTCTTAGGATCCAGAGTCAGATGGAAAGCCCAAAGAGTAAGGAGCGAGTTGATGAACACCGATCTATAGCAGTCGAGATGAACTCGGAAGATCATGCCATGGAATGATACCTTTTCTTCACCTGTTCGCAAGTTGTTGCCCAGGGCATATGCCGAAATAAAGGTCAGTGAAAGAAAGAACATTCAGAAGAATAGTTGTTTACAGACGACCAAATCCGAGGACAAAGAATTTGAGGTCATCCCTGATGCAACCTTGATCATTGTAATCCACTGAGGCTTGAACGAGTGAGGCTCGGGAGAGACGTCTGAGTCCCGAGAGATGGGCCTGATGCCGTGGCCTGTGACGTTTAGTCCCTCGTATTACTTCTCTTGCAGGACGATACTTGGCAACGATCGCCGGATACCGCAGTCCCAGAAGCAATACAATTGTTTCCCTAATGCCATGTCATCGTTTGCATAAGAAGTACTTGCCCAAAATCACCTCCTCAGTCGTTCAGTGAGCCAACCCTGGCAGCCGCGTGAACGTTTTGAACTTCAGGAACAAAACCGATAATGAGGGTATCTACCAGCGCGGTCTTCATCTCATGGTCTCAAATATGAAAGCGTGAAGACGAGGAATGGATTCATTGTCAGGGTCGACTAAGCGATTCGAGGACGGTACTGAATAGTGAAGACATGCTTAAAATTAAAAAACTTGCGGCGTGAATATAACAGGAACAAGGTACCAAATTGTCCGTTTATGTAATTCGGCGACCTACCTAATCCGACTGTATGGTTGACAACATTGTGGACCATAAGGCTTACCGACCAGACGAGCGCCTCCTTGACCTACCCATCCAACGAGCTTGCCATAACGTTAAAACTGCGATTGGAACTTCACTGGAACATCCATTCAATTCTTGCGCCTTGCAATCACCACCACTCTACAGCTTGTTATCCTCAAGCATTCTGTCGACCATTGGCAAAGGATCCAATCTACAGTTTAGACTCGTATACGTTTGATGATTAACCTTGGCTAATGAGTCACTCGAACCAATGTCAGTATCTTCATGAACTCTTATCCTTGTTCTCATCCTGACCTTATGCGTCATCAGCCGACAGAGCTTGGGAGAGGCTTTCCCAGGTCGCTGTACATAGCGCTGTATACGACTCCCGTGAACGCCTGCCCTATCCGAAATGTCTGAAAGATACACGAACGAACCTTCTCAAGCACATCTATGGATTTTTAGACAGCCCCGAGAAGAGCCAACTCGTTTGGCTGCATGGCACGGCGGGTGTAGGAAAATCTGCTGTCGCGTTCACTGTAGCTGAAAGGATGAGAGATCTGAAAACATCAGAGGAGACGACTGTTGAAAAACGGCTTGCAGGAACATTCTTTTTCTCGCGCACGAACACGAACCGCCGCACGACTGAATATTTCTTCGCGACCCTCGCCTATCAGCTTGCCAGGAATTTCTCCTGCCTCCGGACTGACATATGCAAAGCTATCATTGAAAATCCCGCCGTTTTAGAGCCCGACAGTTCCCTTCGCGACCAGATGGAGGCATTGTTTCTCCGACCTCTCCGGCAGCTTTGTAAAAAACGGGAGAATTGTCTACCTCTGTCGTTCGTCATTGACGCCCTTGATGAATGCACCTCTGAAGCGGAGCTCACTGAACTCATCTCCCTGCTAGGCAAAGCTCTTCATAAATCTGATCTGCCCAAACTTCACATTCTGCTCACTAGTCGAAGCACATGTTCGTGAAGCAATGGAGGATGAAGAGGTGCATCCGCTGGTGTGCGAGATACCAGTGAAAACCTCTGGGGATGGGGTGCCTGACATCATCTCCTTAGACGGCACAGACGTCGATAACGATATCTATGTTTTCTTGAATCATTCCTTCACAAACCTGCGACGTCATCGTCCCGATTTCCCGCAGCCAACGAGGGACCAACTAGTGCAGTTAGCAACCCGAGCGGGCAGACGTTTCATCGTGGCGTCTACGATGATGAAGTTCATCGACGATGGATACAATGATCCCCGAGGTCGGCTTCAGATCATGCTTGACCTGACGAGCCACCTGCTACCCGGCACGGAGGCATACAAATTATACGACCGCATTCTCTCAAGCACATTTCAGCCATGGACCGCGGTGGAAGTCGTCGATAAGTTGAAAGTTGGACGTGAGGAGTACTAAGTTGACTCCGGTTTGAAACACGATATGCTGTATCCGTAAAATTACGGGTAGTCTGTCGTGGTAAGGGACCTGCAGCAGACAGGTAAAGGATGAGGACTACATGAGCGACAAACAAAAAAAAATACATACTTGAGTATGACTCAACCGTTCACTGGCAGAAGGAGAAAGGGCAGAGACTCTGATGGACTCGTCCGCATAAGGCAACTTCAGATTTCGGGAATTTTTGATCATTTCAAAGGTTGTGTACGACAGCGAGCTCAACTACAGTATAAGTTTGCGTGGCATTTTCAGAGTTTTGGCGTGGTTATGTGTACAAAAGCAATGTCATTGGAATGTGGGCCACTCAGGCTGCGTACTAGTAGATCCTTTAGAAAGAAAACTCGTCGAGTTCATCCCCATGCTCTTCCCCAATTTCATCCCTGTCACACTCATCCTGTTCTTCGTCACTCGGGCTGGACTCGTATTCACACTGACCCTAATCGGGCATACATGCACTTGTCCATTGTTGCCACCCTTGCAGACCCTCTTCCTGCGTCACAAATATCGAAACTTCTTGGCCCTGGTCAGGGCCACGATGTCGAGACCACTCTGGTGCAGCTACGGTCCATCATGGAAATCCCTACCGACAGCGGTCTCCCCGTAAATATCTATCACTCGTCCGTTCGGGATTATGTTTCCAACCCTTCGAATTGCAGCCTTCCTGACCTCCAATACGTTGCGCCCCACTCCCTCCTCGCTTATTCCTCGTTATGCTTAATGACGGACGAGATCCCAGCAAGCACGATCCTCTTGGACGGGCTCGTAGAATTGAAGAAGCATAGTGAAGTTATACCATCTATGGACCCCCAGGAATTAAAGGACTCGTTGGCATTCATCGTTCAGCCGCTGGAGCCGCTGCAAGTTCTCTTAGGTCTGCTATGGGTTCGGGGACATCACGCTCCAGTGTTCCGGGGCTGGATAGAGACCTCGGACGGGCATGAATGGCTAGATTCATGTTACGGGAATGACTGGCTGTTGGACGAGGCCGAAAAAGACTATGGCCTGGGCGCGAACGAGAAATCCTGGCTGGGGACAGAGGGTGGACATGGTTGGCTGGGGACCGAGAATGGGAAGCGTTGGCTCCGGGAGGGGACAGATTGGCTGCGGACCAAGGCCGGAGAAAATTGGTTGCAGACCCAGGGTGGGAAAATCTGGCTGCAGACTGAGGATGCGAAAGTGTGGGTTCAGAATGATGTTCATGACAAGATACGTTGGGTGGATACCGAGGCAGGCAAAAACTGGTTGCACACCCAGGCCGGCCAAAGCTGGCTGCAGACTACAGACACGCTAGACTGGTTGTGCTATGACGTGGGGCTAGCAATACAGGCCGGGCGAGACTGGGTGCTGACCCAAGTCGGGCAACGCTGGCTGCAGACTCAAACCGGGAAACAGTGGCTGCTGACCAAGTGCGAAGGAGGAGATTGACTGCAGACACAGAGCGGGGGAGATTGGCTGCAGACACAGAGTGGGGGAGACTGGATGCTGTTCAAATATAGTGAATTCAACTGGATTCCGATCGTGGATGACAGCGAGGAGGAAGGAAAGTGGCTCCAGACCCCAGGCGGGCGAACCTGGCTCCAGACCCAAAGCATCCAAGACTGGCTGCAGACATATCGCGGGCGACAATGGTTGAAGGCGCAGCACCAATCAGATTGGCTGCTGCCCGAGGGCGGGAAAGACTGGCTACGGGCCGTGGGCGGGAAAGATTGGCTGCAGAGGAGGGGCGGGCAAGACTGGCTGTTCACCAAGGGCGGGAAAGACTGGCTGTCGACTGAGGGCGGGAAAGACTGGCTGCAGTCAATGGACGCCTGTTGCTGGGTGAGTACTTCTGGCAAGTTTCACTGGGGCTGCGGACCCAGGCCGGGCGAGACTGGCTGCAGACCCAGGTTGGGAGAGACTGGCTGCAGACCCAGGCCGGGAGAGACTGGCTGCAGACTCAGGACGGGGAAGACTGGCTGTGGACCCAGGCCGGGAAAGACTGGCTGCAGACCCAAGCCGCGCAAGACTGGCTGCAGACCCAGGCCGCGCAAGACTGGCTGAACTCATCGGCCGCACAATATTGGCTGCAGACCCAGGATGGGCGAGACTGGCTGCAGACCCAGGCCGGGAAAGACTGGCTACAGACCCAGGCCGCACAATTGTGGCTGAATTCATCGGCCGCCCATCGCTGGCTGGATACCCAGGATGGGTGCGACTGGCTGCGGACCCAAGCTGGGCGAGACTGGCTACAGACCCAGGCCGCACAAGACCGGCTGACGTCAACGGCCGCCCATCACTGGTTGGATACCCAGGATGGGTGCGACTGGCTGCAGACCCAAGCTGGGAGAGACTGGCTGCAGACCCGGGCCGCGCAATTCTGGCTGATGTTATGGCGTACCCATCGCTGGCCACCCTTGGCAGCACTTTGAAGATGTTCCCACGTACTGTCAGACCCTATTATTTTGTAGCAAATATATAGTCTGAGAGACCCCCTCCTCCAGGAGGCTTCTCCCTAGTTTTCCAAGGATGTGCGGCCATCCCTCAAGAGCATGTAACCAGAGCCTCGTCACAGAGGGTGAGAACGGCCTCCTGGTATGTTCCCTGGAGAGCCTCAACATAGCAGCCTCTCCAGATGCTCACTGCCCGCCTCCCCGAGTATCAGCGTCTCCATATGTTCCCTGTGATGTTAATGTTGGCGAGTGTGATAGCGGATGTGTTCTGGAGCCTCTCCATCAGTAAATCAGAACGGTCTGTACAGAGCTGTACAGAGCTGTACAGCACGACAGATGGACAGCTTGGTCCCTTCTAGCCAGCTCACCACAGTAACACCCTTCCCTGTCAATCCCTGTACAGACACCCACAGACACCCCAGAGCTTCTTTTCTGTACACAGTTTGCCAGAAAATTTTACTGTATACTACTGTCTAGAGTACTGCTACTGTAGGCTACTGTCTAGAGTACTACTACTGCACACCGCATCTTCGTCGCTGCACGATCCTCGAATCTAAAAATATGGAGAACGACCAAAATAGATGCATTTCACAGATACGCGGAATCGAATACAAATGTAGGTAAGCGGTAGTAGACAGCGTAGACGTGGAAAATTGAGATCATGAACGCAAAACACCCAAACCTAATCCAGAACGACTCGCAGATGATTATGCTTTGTCGTGTCCCTCCTGTCGAGCTTGCAAGACTCCGCCCTGTATGAGTTCAATGAGTGTCAGTGTCCGAGACTTCGTTAAAAAAACTTACCATCCTTCTGCAGCCCAGTGGCGAAGTTGCCGCCTCAATTTGGGTCCGTGGTATGGGTCTCTGTTGACCTCGTCGAGTAGAACAATTATTGAGTTGTAAATAGAGCCATATTCTTTGGCGGAGAATTTCGGGAAGAGTTTGCCATTGCCGTTCTTGGAAAGGCCATCCAGGACGCAATGATACTACAAAAATCAGTTTGAATGAGTAGCATATAATATAGATGAATAAAAAAATACCGCGGTGCAAATCAAAGCCAGGCTATTCAATGGTATCGCCTTCTTGAAAATCTCCGGCCTCCTGTGAGCGACACGATAAGATCCGGTGTATAGGAAGCTGATGGCGGCCTCTCGGAGGGCAGGGTGAGCAGCATTGTTAGTTTTTCCCAGGTCATCCATACCATTGCGAAGAAAGAGCGAGTCCTCCAAAAGCACCGTAGCGGCGTTCTGTACCCATGCGGCACGATCTGGCGCAGCGACTTCGGGTGGGGGGATGAGGTTATACATGCTGGGCGCTATGGCGACTGCTAGTTTTTTCAGGTCGGAACGCCATGTTGACAAGTCTTCGAATAGCTAGGATAACAAAACATCAGTATCTAGACATGCGGCAATCGACGCACATACCAGTTTTGCCATGTCGGGCTTGTGATCGGGCCACAGACCTAGTAGATTTCATGAGTAAAACATCACGAGGAAGAAAAGGACATACCTGCTTCAACCTGCTTACCGCCTTCAAGCCATTCTACGAGAGATGATGTGAGAGCCTCGGTGACGGAAATGGGCAGATCATCAGCCAAGGTCGGGAACGCGTTCTCGATTGCATGCTGGGCACGGCAGTCCCCTTTGGCATCCTCAAGGAAGGTCTTCCAGCGTGGCGGGTACCAGCCAAGTTGAGTGGGCTTGGGTCCTTCAGGTGATTCCTTGGATCTTGAAGATTTGACCGTGGTAGCTGGGATTTTTGATTCGGTGGACTTCGCTTCAATGTCTTTTGTGTCGGAGGATCAGAGGAGATCAAGCAACTCAGGATTAGGAAGACGGGGACGTCCGTTTTTCTTGTGGTGATTGACTAAGACATCATCTGGCTTGGGTTCAGTGGCCGCCGGCTGCAGAAAAAAAGAAATTAGCGGGCTTCAGAAAAATAATTGAAATATACCTGGATTGTGTCATCATCGCTGGGGCCGCTTTCCACTGCCAAAGATCTCTCTGCTGTATGATCTTCTTCGTCGCGGGAATATTGGAACTCGAAGTCCGTCGGAAGAGCAGTGGTGACCTCGGGTCGAGGCGGTGGCACTTCCTTCGAGAAACCTGTCCCTCATTTAGCGCTCATGACGACGGAAAAACCAGCGACTCACCAGGATGCGCGGTATGGTACCCCTGCGATGCTCCCCAACCAACTTCCTCATCAACTTCCTCTTCGTCATCAGTAGTACCGCTATCACTGCCCTCACTGGATGCATCTGATCCATCAGACTGTCCTAAATGTCCATCGCCAACTGAGTGAAGGGCTGGGTCCAAGTTTTGATAGAAAAGAGTGTCAGATGGACGCGCAGCTGATGTGGACCTTGAAGGTACCGGTGGCGCGAAATCTTGCTTTGCAGATATGGTGATGGCAGCAGGAAGGTATTTGATCGCAGTCCTTGAAGGTAGTGGAGGCACAGAAATTTGGTTTGCGGGGGTGATGGGGGCAGGAAGACATGTCGTGGCGACATTTGCCCTGGCTGCGGCCACATACGGGTTGTTGAGCACTTGCAAGTCAGGTTCTGTGCCAGGGGGTACAATGGATTGAGAAAATCCAAACCTTGTGCCAGCTTCGCATTGATGGAAACTGGGTCGGTCATCTGCTGTCTCCAAGCTCGAGGGAGGGATAAGAGCATTCTTTGTCACCTTGGCTTTCTTCCCCCGAGGTTTAGTAGGAGTCGCAGCAGGAGGATCCACCGTATCGGAGGCACTATACGGCGGAGGGGGTTTCTAAATGTATTCAGTATTGCCATCTGTAACTACAGGTAGAATAATATACTTACCTTCGCACGACTTCCACGGCCCTTACGAAGTGGTTCTGGAGCGAGAGGGTTGACTGGAACATTCGAGTCGAGGGAGGTGGAGCCCTTGGGTTGGTTGGTCCGTGCTGGGGCACCCAAGAGGGCACCAATTCTCTCGAGTTGATCAGCCCTACCTCCCGTTCCTGCACCTGAACGTCCAGAACGCCGAGGGAGCAAGGAGCTATCTTCATCTAGAGTCGGCTGCTGCGACATGGAGAGTGACTCGGCCCCAGCCCGTGATTTCTTTGTTGAAATCTCTTGCCCATCAGAGTCCGTAGCTTTGCGCTTTGATCTCTTCTTCTTGGGGCTACTGCGGGTAGGATTTTGACGTTGGGTAGGCATGACTGGGGCCGTGGACGGGAGGAATATACTGTGGAGCAATATAAGTAGCACTGATTGAACCAGATTATCCCGGCTTTTTGTAGTAGTCTGCTGGCGGCGGAATGAGAATGATGATCACAAAAATGATTTCGAAAATATGACTCTACCGTGGCCGCAGCCATTGTGTAAAAGGCTGGGAATTTTACGAGTCGACTGTTATCCGTAGGCCGCATATATAACGTAGTAGAAAACTTGCAAGTCAAATGTCGAGGTAATGATGCTACATTATGTCGTTGAGGAAGGTTGGATATATTTATCATGTCACATGACTCGAACAGAATACATGCATTAATCATCGAAAGTTTACCTAACATTTGCGGTAAAAAATCAAGCTAAAGTACGTTTCGCTAAACACCCCTATCCAGTCTTACTCCTTTTGCCTTGGGTGCCATTTCCATTGTCCATCGGTAATCAGTGACTCCGAGTCGCTTGTTGTTAAGGCGTGTCCGGGGCACTGCAGTCTCGCGTATGGGTGATTGTGACTCCCCTTCTTCGCCACCGCTCCCAGAGCCTTCTGCATTAAGCCCTTTAAGTAACCACTGTGAGACGAGGAGCTCAGGCGATGGCTCATCGATCGGAAGAATCGTGATATGTCTCTCCAACATCCCGATTATGTCGTTGAAAGTTACCCTACTCGGTTCTCTCATCAGATGATACCATTCCAGCGCGACAGGGAGGAGTTTTTTGAAGTATGGATGGACTGCTCGGTAAGTTCCTTGACGTAGTGCTCCGTGTGCCAGAAGAATGTGTTTTGGCATCACAGCACAATTTGAAACTTGTCCGCGGACCATTGGCCCGGTATCCAGTCGGGACCTTGCTTGAGAATACGTTTCATGCCCAAGCGGACCTCTGAATTCGATACGATCCAGATGAAGATGTAAGAACATCGACTCAAGGTCATCGTGGTAGGTATGCTTGATCAGGGGGGCAGGGTTCGGTTTCGAATCAGAGGCCTTTTTGCGTTCATCCGCTCCATCTGGATCACAGAGGTGGAGCTGCAAGAGAAGCGCTCGAGACATTGAATGGTAATGTGCCCTAGACATTCTTCGTTAAAAATTGATATTCTTTAGTAAAATCAAAACACTAACCGTGCCCCCGACAGCATAGTTCCCCTTCTTCAAAATACTCACGGCGAACCCCCAAGTCTATCAGCATCCCATGTGTGGTCTTTCCCGTCGTCCTCGATCATCGCATTGTTCAGGACTACAGTCCGCGGTGGAGAATATTGCGCTCTTCCACCGCATCCTTCTGAACTAAACAATAGGTAAGTAAAATCTGTGTACATATTTATATCGTACTTACTCTTCACGATAGCGGCGTATTGAACTAAGCAACTCTAGCCTCGTGCGAAATTGATGCAAAGGTCTCCGCGCGCAGCTTCAAGACGAGGCGAACGTGAGTTCGAAAAATGTGTTCTTAAGGCTGCGCAAGAACTTTGTACCGGTAGTTTGCAGTTTGGTCGATTTTGTTCCTGGACTCGACGATCCAATGCTCGACGAGCTTAGGAACCCCTCGGACTCCATTCATCTTCCTCATCATGTTGACTTCGTTCATGGCCTCCTTCTCTCCCCCCAGGACCCAGTGTCCTTTATGATGAATCCTCGTTGTCTTTCCTGGCTAGGTAACAAACGGTACCACGACCAACAAGACCCTGGCTGGAGAAGATGATTTCGAGCATATCGTAGTGATGGTCACCGACGCGAATCTTGCCGATAGGTTCTGGAAGGGGTGCGCGGAGAGGGTCTTCGGGTACTTCGATAGGGAACTCCAGTGGGAAGTCGTCGTTATCTTTCTTTTTAGCGGTGCCCTTCGTGTCCATGGTATTAATGTGAGAGGACGTGCCCTCACTCTCCTCACTCTCGCCCTTGCTCACGTTCTCAGCCCTGCCCTCGCCCTCACTCTCGCTTTCGCTCTCACCCTCACCCTCACCTCGCCCTCACCCTCACCCTCACCCTCACCCTCACCCGCTCACCCTACTCACCCTCACCCTCACCCTCACCCTCACCCTCACCCTCACCCACCCTCACCCTCACCCTCACCCTCAACCCTCACCCTCACCCTCACCCTCCCCTCACCCTCACCCTCACCCTCACCTCACCCTCACCCTCACCCTCACCCTCACCCTCACCCTCACCTCACCCTCACCCTCACCCTCACCGCTCACCCTCGATATCATCCTCGCCCTCGCTCCGCCCTCGCCCTCGCCCTCACTCTCGCCTTCACCTTCACCTGGTTCTCGGGCAATGCAGTCGTCCTCGGCTTGCGAGGATTTCAACTTGTTCTGGATATGGAGGGGGAGCCAACTCGAGCGCGACTTCAGCGTTTGATCAAGCGTGTGCTTGAA